ATTATTATGGGCAGGATGCCTACCACAGTAAACAATATTAGCTGCTCCAACCCATTGTTGACTCATGCTGGGTTCTGGCTTATCAAAATAAGAGGTTAGAAACCAGCAGGGACCAGAGATCTTCTGACAAACTCCACAGGATATGAAGAACAATGTAAATGCTCCAGCCCTGGCAGATATATTTCTACATTACTGTTCCAGAGATAACAGCTAAGGTGAATCATTTCCCACCACCTACAGTACCAAATGATTTCAAATTCTGAAGGGACCATATTTATTTCATTGGTAGCTAGCAATTTACTTACCCGAAGATCATTATATTTATGTGTCTGTGAAATCCTCACAATAATTATACATTTGAGCTGTCTCAGAAGTGCTATATATATTCTCATTAGTCATGTACTTCCAAGGATATTATCATTTTTCCTCCAACAACCTTTGCGATACAAGTGGAAAGGACTCTACTGCACATGAATCTGGATTCTTATAGGCTTTAAAAAAAGCTTCTAGTTTAATCAAACAGCAGGGTAGCTCATATTCACATGCAAATGTTGGAAACAGTGTTGGGATAAAAGAACTTGATTTTTTTCCTAAATGACTTCACTGGTTGCATTTATTTAAAAACAAGTCACACTGCGTAATATGAGGGAGAGAATGTGAAGAAAGTTTTCATTCTGTAATACTTTCAAAAGAGGTTATAGGAATAATTTGGATAAGGTTAAACTGATTGGCTGGGATCCATAAAGCCCTGTGCACAAATGAAAAGCACTTCCATGCATGCATGGTCTGTTTTTTTGTGAATAGCTAATTTCCCATTCTAGTTGTAACCTCTTCTGCTGCATCATAACCCACTCTGGGGACCTCCTCAAGTTTCGGGTGGGGAGGGGAGCACCATGAGACTGAAGCATATCTAGGTGCTTACCTTGCATTCTTCTGATGGCCTTTTTTTGGAAGGGGGGCGGTATGATCGATGTTATTCCTAGTTTTTTGAACTGCACTCCACTTTGACTATGTCTTGGAAGGAGAGCAACATGGCACAGAAGAATTGTGGCCACATTACCTCATGGGCGATTGCACAGTGCTGGCCTCCTGCTGGCCATAAAAATGGGCTCGTAATGGCAGGAGTGTTCATTTTCAATCACATTACTGGGACTTTGTTTCATTACTTATAGTTGTGCATAAAACGTTACAATAGAATACACACTTACATGGGAGTAAGTCCCTTTGAACTCAAGGTAGTTTATTTCTGAGTAAACATGTGTAAGATTGCACTGAGTGGCAAACACCAAACAATTTTAAACTAGTTGTGTTGAGCTCAGATTTAGACTGCTTGTGCAGTGGTGCATAAAATATGAACATTAAAAGGCATAGTGACTGCTGAGAGGAAAGGAACACAGCAATGTTAGATTCTGGGGGAAATCCATCAGTGTGGTTTATTTGCATACTGGAATCAGAAGGGGATTGATTTTGCATGCTTATTGATTTGGGTGTTTTTTGATTAATTATGAGTCTAGGACATATTCAGAGAGTGGACTGAGATTTGGCATCCCTTTAAAATCGAAGAAGTTTGAATTTATAGGCATTTCAGTTATGCAAATATGGGGATATACACATGCATTTTATTAGACTTTAGTTGTATCAAAGCCCCAAGAACATTGTGCTGTATACTCAGGATAATTTGGGGGCTATGCTTAATACAAAAATGCTGCATAACAATTACTTTCTTCTTCATTATGAATGATTTCCACTATATCACCTTGGACACGAGAACAAGCTTGAATTCCCACCGCATGTAATTTATTATTACTGCTGTAGATATTGTTTTGTGTTAGAGTGCATAAAGTATTTCTAGAAATATATTGCAAAAAATCTACAGGGGAGGAAATGGCAAAATAAAACTGCTTCAGAAGTTATTGCGTTTTTATAATAGATCAGCACATTATTCCCATAGTAAAGCACTTTAAGAAAATAGGCTGGACGTTTTCATCAGAAAAAGCTTTTTTGCAAGCACATTATATACAGACCTTGTGCTGATGACATGGTACACATATTTAACATAAATTACATACGTGAGATATTCAAGAATCTAGAGAATAAACTCTGGTGGTTTAAGATTATTATTTTTTAAAATAAAAAACCAATTTAAACTAGCCTGGAAGTTACACCACTTGGCTTCTAAGCCTTTCCCCTAATTCCAGATATGTGAGAGTTTACTATGACTCAATATGAGGAAAAGGGGCTCTGTACATGCTTAGAACCGTTTTCCTTTTTAGAGATGAGCTATAGCACTGAAAACAGAACCCATGTTGCCCTGGCTCAAATTAAAACAAAGGTAAATAAACCTAGAATTACAGTGCAATCTAATGCATATCTACACTTAGAAGTCCCACTTTGTTTGTGGATTTACTCCCCAATATGTGTGCATAGGGTTGCTTAGCCCATGTAGTAAACAGAGAGAAGTCTCGTCTGCCATTTTTCTTACACACTGAGTTCTAAACAATTTCAGCTTGAAGACTGTGAAACTGGAACCCAGCTCCATTTCCCACACCACTTTTTCAGAACTATGACTAAATCATTCCCTCTGCTTCCATATGAAAACAAACTCAGATTATTGGAATGGTCATATTGTTACACAAATTATGGGGCAACCTCATCATCAGGGTGCAGAAATATTTTGTGTTGGTTGAAAAAGTGATGGACATAGAGTTTGATTTCAAATAGTTACCTCTGCATGCCACATCTCGAGTCAAGAGGGGCAACAGGTAAGTCATGAGCAGTAGCCTAATTCCACTGGTGAGTTCCCTTAGAAAAATGCTTGGGGATCATTGTATATCAACTCAGCATTATTAGTATGATTACTAATTACAACAGCAATGATGGTGCAATGCCAACTCACTAAGCTCTCCTTTTAGAAATCAACATGGGTATTTCATTTCCCACCATGCTAATATAGGTGGTTCTCCTGCTGCTCCTCGGTAAATTCAACATGCTCAACTTGCTGGATCCCACAAGACCAAAACTCAAGTTTACTAAATGTACAAAAGGCTTTACCATCATGTATACATTTATATGATAAACAGGAACCCACAATTACTCTTTAAATATATTAGAATTGGAAAATGTTTAAGAAATCTAGATTATGGAGAAGTAGATAGAGTTAACAAAGCTAGACTCTTTTCTTGCTGTTGCAAAACATGAATTTTGCTTTATTCACTTGTAACTCTAAACCCCAGATAAACATTACAAATGTAGCAAGAATGTATTTCTTCCTTCTGTAGGAGGACCAAGATTGCCCTCCTGAGTGTGCCAAACAGCATGGGGTACTTCACATATTATGTGATTGGCATGCACTTTACTTTGGAATCTGCTTGGGGATGAAATTGTTGGCTAATGCTGTGGAAATTTTGATTCTGCAATAGACAGGCTGCTTTTATCTGCCTTGAAACAAGAAATCACTTTCTTTTAATGATGCCACGCTCTTGGCTTTGCCACTGTTTTAATGATGTCATTAATTGTTTTTTGTTTCAAAATGTTGTGCAACAGCACCCCAAGCATCTCGATAGGGGGCCCCTTTACAAACAAAATCATCATCATCATTATTTCAGTAGCTACTGAGGAAATGTACTAAATTATTTTGGAAAACTTCCACAATAACTTATCTTGACATGACATTTCCACTGTGTATCGATGGAGGGAATTTTTATATGGATTGGGAAGAAGCTAATGTTGTACTGTTTACAGTATATTGTGATCCACCTTTACAAAAAAAAGTAAGGGCAAAATGTATCAACTGGCATTTAGATTATAAAGAGAGATGCATGTGATGCCTGTTGGGATTCAAGCCTTTATCAGGAGAAACTGGCCACTCTCCAGGCACCCGGCTTGATCTCCTGTTGACCTCCCTGTCTGCATTGCCGGCAGGATCCAGGCTAGGTCGCGATAGGCGATCCTTCTCAGCGTGAGAAGAACACACACCCTCTTTCCTGCCCCCCCCCCCCGGGCAGGGGAGAGAGATAGACAGAAACATATTTACATTCCTTTATTTCTGTCTTTGCAGCGTTATGAAAATCATGACTGCTCTCTTCAAGCTTCAGCAGTCGAGAGACAAACTCCTCCTGTACTTCCTGTACAGCTCATATTACACTCTGAGCTAATTCCGGTGCCCTCTGCACTGTGAATTGACTGTCCCTCTGTTTCCCACGGAACAGTCCCAACATTCCCATTATGTTTTGGTTTCAAGCTACCAGCTCGCGGCCGCATTGCTTCTATATCGTAACATAATGGAATCGTCATGCTTGTGTACCTGCTTGCTATTTTGACATTTTATGGCTTCTGTTTCATGCCATGGTAGGGTTTTTGGCTAAAGGTGTGAAATCCTTAACCTTATATGTATTAGAAAATTGTTGTCCTTTGAGTGTGACCAGGATGCTTGCATGCACAGCAATGATTTTCATATAGTAATATACAACCCACGAATCATTTATGGAACCTTGAGGGTGAGTAACACCCAGTAGGTGTTGGCAGCTATGCTGCAGAACCAGCTAATGTGAAACTGCCAGGCCAATATTTTCAAAAAATAAATGACACCATGGAGATGTGGTACATATATTATAAACTGTTACAGTGCCATGATATTTTGCAGTATGGCATCCATGTAGAGAGAGCTCTTGTGTTCCAGAATAAATAATATTGCCACAAAATAAGTGGCACCAGGCCAATCTTAGGATGAGTTGTCATCCTGAATAGAGAAAAATATACATTTCATTCATAGGTCTCCTCAGCTAAAACATCTGAAAACTCCCAACTACGCAAAGTATCCTTTACAACTTTGCATGTAAGCAAATGGGGAAGGAGTATAGCAAGAGTTACACTGATATGCCTCCCGCTTTCCTCAAAGCTCTAAACAGCTTTAAAGATGATTGATCAGATGCTATCTTTACCGACACATCTCATCCTGCAGGGACATGACAGAGGCATGGGCAACATCCCATGTATTCACACAGGTTGTTAAACCGATTGCCAGATGGAGGTAGAGATAGCTCAAGCCTCGAGAGACACGGTGAAAAATCTTGATGTTTTAGAGCGAAAACTAAAGTTATTTTATATTCAAGGCAAACATAAAACGTGTTTCCCTTTTCCAAATACACTGATCCTTTTTTAAAAATACAACACCCAGCTGTATAAATGCAACCACTCATCCAATTCCTGTTGCTTTAATGCCACTTAGCTTCTTAAAATAATTTCAGATCCAGGGGGGAAAAAGTAGAATGATAAAGGTGGTGTTTGCTAATCTTTAAAAGCCTATTGTAAATCCACACTGGAATGTGGTTTAGTAGCGTCTTCACATGGAAAATTTATTCTGTTGAATGTTCAGCAGGTAAAAGTTGCTGAGGCTCAGAGAGAGAGCTTCTCTCAGGCCTGACAGGAGCTGAAATATTAGGATTGGCATGGCCTTTTGAAAACCACAGATAATCGTTTGCAGCTGAAGAATTTAAAGCAAAGGACCGATCTGCATGGCTTTTGGGAAATCGCCCCAGAATGGACCGCTTGGTATTTGGATACTCGACAAATGAAGTCTGATAAATGGTATGCTTGTCAGTACTGCTTGGAATGGGTTCATGGGCCAAAAAAAGGTAGCTTTCTGAATGGTGTTGGCATGTCTCGCGTTGAAATTTCCTTAGACCTAGTCCCTAAAAGAGATGAAAGAAAACACATATACTTCAGGTTTTTCTCACTGTTTAAGGTAGCTAACAATATACCCTAATTACAGAACCATCACAGAATGTTTTATTAGCATATTTGGGAGCGCATTTTGATAATTGCAGATAAACAATTAATTTCTAAAGATATCATTCTCATCTGATATACAGGAGAAGCGAATACACGTCAACAAACTTGAAGCACAGTTGTGTACATCACTGAATCAGGGAACCAAGGCCAATTTAATTTTCCATAGTGAAAAAAGATGTAGAGTTGCCTCACTCAGTGTGAAGTAGACACAAGTATACACTGTGAGTGGAATTCAACTAATTTCTATGCAGAGTAAACCTACTGAAATGAATAGACCAAACTTAGTCATACTCATTAATTTTGATGAGTTTACTCTAAGTAGGCCTAGCATTGAACTCCACCCTACATTTTAATGCTGACCTGCTTCTACAGCAATGTGTGAGGTAGCCCTTACTGACACCATTGAGTCTGACATTTTGATCAAGGTTAGGCTGGACAGCTATATCATTCATAAAAGCAAGCATTTATTTCCATTCTTCTGATTAAGGACACTTATTGTGCACTTCTAAGAGCTATGTTAAGGGCAAGCAATCTGTCTTAAATGTTGCAACGAGACAAGATATAAACATAAATAAACAAGCAAACCCGTTAAAATTTATCACACTTTAGCATTGCATCAGACTGCTCTCTGGAGGAAGTGATGGGACCAATAAACTGAAGCTGAATACCCAAAAGACAGATGTCTTTTGGGTAGGTTGTCCTTAAAGCCAGGAATTTGGTAGATGGCCTATTATGGCGAGAGCTGCAATTCTTCTGATGGACCTTGTGCACAATATGTGGGTGTTCTTGGTCTCATCTTTGTTAGTGGAAGCTAGTGTATGGCTGATCTACTCTCTAAGGCCGCTCCTGGACAGATAGCTCAGCCACAGTGACCTGGTAACTTCCAGAATACTTAATGTGCTCTACCTGGAGCTGCCTGTGAAAATGATTTGTGAACTGTAGCTGGTACAGAATTCTGTGACAATAGTATTGACTCGCTTGTCTAGTTGTACTCTTATAAAACCCATTTTGAAGAACCTACATTGGCTGCCTGTCTTATACTGAGCCAAAGTTTTGAAGCCACTTAATAACGCTCCAAATTACTTAGGACCTAGGTTCATCTCCCTGTAAATTGCACCTGGCCATTAAGATTTGCTGGGGGTGCCTACTTGTCAGACCATCTTTGAGTGAAGGTCATACCTCTACAACTATATTTTTTTATAAATTTATTGCATTAGCCGAGTGGCCATAGCATGATATACATTGAAATAACAACATAAAATGGGGGTGGGGAGGTAGAGGTAGATATCGTCCTGGGCGAATACTTAAAAAAAGTGAAAAAAAAAAACAAACAAAAACTGCTGAGGCTGGAGGAGGACCGTTGAAGGGTCCTTCAGCTCCTCAGATTAGTCCTAACTCGATTGTCCTTGTACAATAAGGCTACTTGGAACTTCGTTCGGTTGTGCGGCGTATCGACTGCAGCTGTGGTGTTAAGGAAGAAGTTAGTGCCGCTTTCCTCTTCATCACACTAAGCAGGAAGTTAGCTGTCATCTCGGTAATCCAACAATCAGAATCCTGCAAAAAGAGGGACACTATCCAAGGCTGGATTGGGAGATGGAACTTATTCACGAGGGAGTTAAAAACCGAGATCTTTCATCTGTCCAGTTGGGACAGAAGAGCATTACATGTTCCATAGTCTCCAGGGCCGTGTCATTACAGGAGCATGTTCTGTTTGCGATGGGAACTCTGGAATAACGACCCGACAGAACTGCTGTAGGGAAACAGTTGAGACGGGCACAGGTAAAGGCCCTTCGCTTAGTCTCCGAAGAAATTGTGAAGCAGTATAGAGGGATCCCTTCAGGGGTGGAATAGCTAGGGCTAGGCCTGAACACGGTCCTCTTGCACAAGAAGCTGTGTTGGAGAAGTCAAGTTGCTGTAGTTTCTTTTAATTAGGGGTAGGGCCACCGGGCTGATACACTCTAAGTTAAGAACAGTTTTACAATTCAAATTGAGAAGAGAGCGGAATTTGAGGTTAATTGTAGTTTTCCAAGGGGAATTATGAATATCTCTTAGGATCAGATTGGAAAAGCCACCTCTAATTCGAGCATCCGATGCTAATAGGTGGAAGGTGTAGGAAATGGCTCGACTCCATGCTCGTCTAACAATTGAAGGCTGGGCGAACTCGAGTCGTAGGGCTGCACCTGAGACACATCTCGGGACGCCGGAAAGAGATCTCAGAAACATATGAAGTGGGCGATCCAGGTTACCTGATATTGCTGTAGTCCATACTTCGCATCCATATAATAATTTAGGGACGACTTTGGCATTAAATATTTGAATTGCTGCTGGAAGGTGTTTGCCGCCCTTCTGGTGGTAAAATCGGACAATGGCGTTAGAGGTCGTGGTTGCAGCGAGAAAGGCAGATTGTAGATGGGTGGTCCAGGAGAGATTATAGGTGAATATTAATCCTAGATATTTAAAGGCTTTTACCTTTTCTAAGTAGCCACCTGTGATCTTAAGCGGCTCCAACTTGAGTTTGCGGGAACGAGTGAAGTGGAGGACTTTCGATTTTTATAATTAATATTAAGAGCTTCCGCCTTACAATAGGCGATAAATGCATTAACTGCATTTGCTAGGTCCGCAACTGTTCTGGATAAGATGACGGCATCATCAGCATAGAAAAGGGAAGCAACGGGGTGGCCTGCTAAGTGAGGAGGATACTTAGATGCTAGCTTCAAAATGGAAATTGCATCATGAAGATAGAGATTAAACAGTAAAGGGGCCAAGAGACAACCTTGTCGGACGCCCTTGGCCGTTGGAAATGGAGTAGTGGGGAGCCGTTAGGACCAGTTCGGACGCGAGCTGTGGTGTTTGAATAAAGGGAGATAATTAGGGAGAGGAGGTGCGGATCAATTCCCAGATGGGCAAGTTTGGACCATAATCTCTGCCTAGGAATGGAATCAAAGGCGGCCTCCAGGTCCATGAAAGCGGCAAATAGGTGGCCTTGCCTTGGAGCAGTGTATTTACTGGCAAGGTGATAGAGAGTTAGACAATGGTCCATGGTTGACGCTGACTTTCGGAAACCAATCTGTTCTAGCGGTAGAATGTTCCTCTCCTGGACCCATGAGAGAAGTTCCTCCAGTAAAACAGCGGCAAATATTTTCCCGGGATGGATAATAAGCTGATGGGGCGATAGTTCCTAGGGATGTTTGGCTGGCCGCCTTTGAAGATCGGAACTATTATAGCTTCTCTCCAGGAGTCAGGGATGTCTAGGGCGGAGGAGATAGCGGTGAATACAGGAGTCAGGTGTTCGCTCCACCAAAGAGGATCAGTCAGGAAAAGGTCCAACGGGACCATGTCTGGGCCGGGGCCTTATTCCTTTGCATTGACATTATGATGTTGAAAATGCGAGTTGAGGTAAAGTTTATTGAAGAAGTGGGACTAAGAGAGCAGGAACTGAGGTCCGACGGGGATTGAAAGAGATCTGTAAGATGGTTTGGAGAAGCGAAACTAGTTGAATAATAGGCAATCCATTCATCAGCGGAAATCTGGGTAGCTGGATTGAATGGTGCCGAAGGTCTAACTAGGCGCCAGAAGGAGCGGGAGTCATGCCTCTCTACAGCCGAACGAAGAGTGGACCAAGCCTCAAGGATGTGCTGCTGTTTCTTGCAATGAATCATGTTTCTATATGTCCTTTTAATATCTATGAGCTTTGCACGGGTTTGGGGGTCGTTGGAAGATTTGATGATTCTGACCATTTTCCTACAACTAATGAAAAGGCCTTCCCAGTGGTACCTACCAAACTATGTAATGTCCTATATCTGGAAAGCTAGATGGTGCTACTACTGGTTGTAGGTACCAGCTAAAAACTTTTTAGCCCAGCTTCTAATTAAGTAGGATCTTGATGCATTAGACAAATTATTTTTCTAGTAAGGAGCAGCAGAGGTTATTCTGATTGATTTTATGTTGCTTTAATCGTTTTGTTTAAATTGCTATGTCTTATCTATGTATTTTTATCTGTTTGTCATCAGTTCTGCCTTTCACTCTTTTTACATCAATTCTACTATCATTTGAAAGTGGGATACTACAAAAGGGAGAATGAATTTGCTCACTTGGAAAAGAGACAGCAACTCTTAAAAGAAAGAGCCCCTTGCCCCAAGCAAAAAACACAATACTTACAGAATCCAAGTACTCTCCGACATTCAATAAACAATGTCTATTATCATGGATTGAAAATGGAAATGTGTTTACTGGTTTCTAAAAATAGAAACAAGAAAAATATAATAATTGTTATGCATGTGCAGTATTGCTGTAGCTTTCATATTCAACAAAACCCAATATTACATTCATGTAAACATGCCTATATGTAATGTGTTTCTTTGTTGGTAGTTTGTTAGTAAAGAATACAGATTGATTACATTATACACTAAATTTATAAGAGAATTTAATCTCTCCTAGTCATCTACACACTTACATAAGTACCCAAACTTTTGAATTAGATCAGTTTTATTTATAGAGGCACAAATTTTTAGACAAATACCAAGATTTCTTTTAGTGCTGAGTCTACAGCTAATGAAAGCTGGACTTCAAAAGGAAACTCGTAATTTAATCAACTTGAGATTTATGATCTTAGTGCCACCCACTGAGAAGATGCTATATATTATATGCTATATATTATATCAAATTACCGACTATATATTGAAAATGGCTAAGTCTCAAATATAGCAAGCACAAGTACACATGTTAAATTTTATTACAGTTAGTTTCCAATTTCTGGCATCTCATATTAAGCGACAGCCAGGAAAGCTAGTCTCTAAAGATTTTCTGTGATCTAGTGAAGTGAAAGCCAACTGCCTCCTGCAAACTCAACAAAATGCAAATAAAGAACAAAACAGTTTTAAGAGTCTTAATTCGGAACTACAGAGTTAGAGGGAACCAAATAGCCAAGTAGTGCAGCACCCTGCTACAAAATCCTTAATTTGGGGGATGAAAAGAACAAACGAGACAATTTATCCAGCTCACAGCCCTTCCATAATTTATCATGAGATGAAAGACCACAGCTAGTTTGCACTTTTATGTTTCAAAATAACTTTTAAAATGGCTGTTTCTAGCTATTTGCTATTTCTTGCTAGCAGGACCCCCCAAAAGTAAGTTTCGCCTTGTAATAAAAAATCATTGCAATGTATTTCCAAAACCCACTTATTCTCATTCCATTTCTTTCCCACTGAGATTGGCTGGACTGTGAGCTTGCTGTTGTAGTATATATGTATCTTGTAGTATGTGTATGTAGTCCTCTCCCTTGCAAAATGTACACTTCCATCACACAGACATTGGTACAGAGTTGGTGCATTGATGCCTCTGTGGAATCACTGATAGTGCTGTGTGAGACTTGGTTTTTCCTAGGAGGCTTGTTGCCTATGTGTTCCCCATGTTCTATGGTCCTGTACTATAGAACTGACTGCTATGATTAGGTTAGAACTCCCTCCTTTCCTCTGTGGTCCTGGATTTTTACCTGGCAAAAGGGATGTAGCAAATTAAGCTAGTGCCATCAGTATTTGGAAAGCTACAGGATTCAAACTGTAGTCTGCAGGAAATATTGTAGCATGAGAAATCAATTATTGCTCTTCTATCCATTGCAATCCATGGACTTTCAGCATAGGCATGGGAGCAAGGCAGCAAGCAAGCAAGATGACTGACAACTAGATTACTGACCAGCAGGGAAGTTCTCCAGTGCTACTGGAATTAATACATAAGAGAGCCAAGTGTTGAACAGCAGCCTGTCTAGATGATTGATAAGGAACAAACCCTTACAGTTGTTCCACAAACAGCTTACAGGCAGCAACTGAGGGTTTTTGTTGTAAGCAGCATTCGAAACTCCCATTGTTCTAGGCGCATTTTGCAACTGGGAATTGAATTAGCGTGAGCAATTTCTGAGCTCTGGGTGCAGTACTGCACCTAAGATTTCAGATTACAGCTGCCACTGCTGGCGCTGGGGGCGTTGGAGAAGAAATTCTTGCCGGCTCAACTTCCAAGATCACTGAAGTGTCAGGCAAGCTGATAGGTTCTGCCTCTCAGCTGGCCTTACAGAAAGGCAGCATTTTGTGGGACCTTCATAAGAATATTAAGGGTGCACGCAAGGGAAGCATGACTATGTTTTTTGCTGTGAGGACTAGACCATGTGAAAAATGAACATAAGATTTTTGGCTGCAGTTCATTCACTTTCAGCTTTGTATTCTTGTTATAAAAAAGTGCACCTAGACATTCCGTTGTGGCGCCCACAACCTAGGTTTAAGGTGCCATTTAGCTCCTAGTTTCTAACACTGGTTGTAAGACTGGCGTACTAACGAGGTCTTGATTCTAAGCATATCTTAACAATGAATTCCTGCACTGTTTAGCTTGAGCTTTCACCTTTATTCATTCCCATTTCTGTTCTTGAGATCCCAGAGAAGACTGTGAAGGGTCCAGAGCCAGGTGGTAAATTTAATTGGGATGCATCAGGTCCCCTGATTCTGCAGGTTTCCTGAACAAGTGTTTTCCTTCAGTGAAGTGTTGGGGTTTCCTACAGGAGGCCCTGACCCCTCTGGTATGTGCTGCATCTGATGAGGTTTCACTTGATTGTGGCACTGGAGGTACACTGATCTTGACATATGGAAGCTGAACTGGGCATTGCATTGTCAGCTCTTCCTGGATGATTTGTGTATGGGATTTTGTTTTTACATGTGAAGGTGTGTGGGCCATCACCATGCAGTGACTTGTGCCTTCTGCGCCCATCTAATGTGGCTATGGTTGGTGCACAATAGTAACATTTCTGGGGGCCCCTGTGGCAATGGCTTCTGGTGCTGCCATGTTATCTCTTGCTTATTCATATATTATTTTGCTTTTTACTTTACTGCTGGGAGGGCAACAAAACTGCAAAGGCAGATGTTGGTTTTGCTGTAGGGCCAGTCTACTAATAACAATTCTTAAAATTTTCTAAGAAGTCAATAGCATTCCAACATTATATTTTGATTGTTTCAACTGCAAAAATGTTTGCTTATAATTGCGAATATTGTGCACACGAAAAATTTATTTATCTGAATATTGCCGGCTTCACCTATTTCAGCCTGCCAGATTGACAGAATTCCAGAAATAAAGAGTTTCTGTTCTCTAACATGCATTGGAAAGCAAAGATCAGATAACACATTTAACTGAGAAACCTTTCTTTCAGGCCCCACCTAACACTTCTCAGCATATTCTCTATTTTAGACCATGAGTCTGGTTTTACAATTTTCAAAGAAGGATCTAGGTAAACCGAAAAAAATGACAAGATCTGCTCTGCCAGCCTAGATATCTACCCTAATACCACTGTAATCGATGACCAGAATTAACTGATAGAAGATGTCAAAAATTTCAGAAATCTTTTTTTTTTTTTAGATCCACTGAGTGCAGTTATATCCACGAACATTTCTAGGCCCTCTAACACATAACTAAAGGACTTATTTAAAATGTACTATGGGAAATACCAGGATTCAAAGAGCTACTTTAGGCATCCCCAAGGACTTGGGTACACCCTGGGGAATTTTTGACTTTTTCTTTTTCTTTGAACAGATCCCCATGTCATATCACAAACGGCTTTTGAAAGTCCCCTCAGTTTTAAAAACTGCTTGCTATGCAGGCTGTTTTATTTTGTTTTTTGGGAAATACAAGTATAAATGCCCCTTGGGTACATGGAACTAGTTCCACCTTTGGACCCCAGTTTATGTATGTAGTAAGTGAATTCACTCAGTCTTAATGATTAAATAATTCAGCTATACTTGAAACCATTTGCAAGACTGCAACAAAAGTAAGAACAATGTGATACAACTAAGGAAATGCTGTAGTGCTCCCTCTAAGCAAGTTAATTAATCTCACAGCTAGAGTGGTGCCTCACAGGGAGAGATTAGACAGTCAGCTGTTGCCCACAGTTAGCTTCCAGTTTCTTTTAAACTGGAGAAAAGCCTTCTCCAGCAGTTATTCAAAAATTGTTCAAGTAAAGTCAAGTCTCTCACACTGTGTTTTTGTGACATCATATACCACCTAATGGCAATCTGCTCATTCTGACATGTCTATTTTAGTTCATCATAAAAGGATCATACATACTTCTCAGAATATTCCTAAACAGTGGAAAAAACAAACAAACAACAGAAATAAATAGATGTCAAACTAATTAAAGCCAGATCAGAACATAATAGACCAATGGCTTAATAGCCTCTTTTAATCAGTGGCCAAAATGACAGATGGTTTAGAAATATAAATCCCCCTCCACCCTCAGACACAGATCTTTAGCCTTTTGCTCTATTCCTGTTTCTAAAACATGGTTGCTGTTACCGTGAGCTCAGCAAACACCAGACTAAGAAAGAATCCAATTAAACTTAACATGTAGTAGGTTGGAAACAAAAAAACAAAAAACAGTTTTTTATTCTCAAAGAGAACTATCCTGTGAAAGGTTGCATTACTTGGCTTTGATGTTCAGCAAGAGCATATTCCATTCAAGTTTTACTTCAGTTGAACAAATTCCCTTCAAGTTGCTAATTTTGCCCTTTTGAAGGATACCATTGTTGATTACAAAGTCTGCAGCTGCTTGAACTGTAGGAAGTAAAACCAAAACCTCTGGGATGTACCCTCATAGCTTCACTAAATCACTCTACTGGGAAGGAAACAGTGATATTTAACCCCATCCTTAAAATACGTTTGAAAAACACAGAAGGCATGCCTCCTAAATTAATATTACATACAGAAATAATGAGACTCATTTCTTATGTATGTTCTTGTGCATTCAGAAAAGAGTTAGCCAGCTTAATAAAATAGAATGGTACAGCCATGTATTCTTATGCTTAAAAACTTGGACTGCTGAAAGTTAGTTGTGAAATCCATCTATTTCCCTTCCTCTACATTATACAATCTACAACAAGAATGAACAGACAGAGGGAAATTGGTCACATAACTGAAGAACCATCTTTTCCCACATGAACCCGCTGACATTTGAGGTTCTGCTTTGGGTCCTGAGCAGATTGGCTGGGGCATAGAATGGTTGTGAGGGAAGTTGTAAATATGGTAGCCATTGTAGCTGTAGCGCCCAAACAGCCTTCCAGAATCTTCAGACCCATGAGAAGAGAAGCCCCTTTGCTCTTTCAGGCTTTGGTGATGGGATTGGAAAGCCCTCTGTACCAGTGGCGTAGCGTGGGGGGTGCAGGGGGGGCCGGCCGCACCGGGCGCAACATCTGGGGGGGGCGCTCGCACTCGCAGCTCTCTGCCCCTGCCTGGCTCACTCACTCTCTCTCACTGCAGTGCTGGCTGTGCGAATCCGATCCGAGCCGCTGGGTCGCCGCCCACTGTGGAGGGGGTGGGTGCCAGGCGTGCGGTGCGGAGAGAGAGCGAGGGACTATCTGGGGGAGGGACAGTGCAGCGGCCGCCCAGCGCAGTGCTGAGCGCGGGAGAGAACCGCACCAGACCAGCCCAGGCAGCAGCAAGAAGAAGCTGGCAGCGGCGGCAGGTTAGGGGTTAGGGGGCGCAAATTACTTGCCTTGCCCCAGGTGCTGACAACCCACGCTACGCCGCTGCTCTGTACACTCTATCAAGGGACTCTTCCTCATACTCCTTGGCTTTCCCCTCAATCTCACTGAATTCTGAATTTCTTCAGATTCAAACCCTTCTGCAAAATCTTGATATACCTAATATTCTCAGAGGTGGGTATATGTATCTATAATCCAAATTGTCTTAAATACACCAATCTCTCTCTCTCTCTGCATCTCAAACATAGTAGGTAGTGACGGAAGACAGGCGTCTTTGTTTTCTTTTAAGCCCCAGGTGAAAACCCAGGACTTGCTGGGGACTTTTAAGCCTCTTCTCCTGCAATACTTTCCAGGAAGAAATGCTCTATTGAATTGAATATATATTGCAATAAATGGGACTTACTTCAGAGTAGATGTGTCTAAGATTGTGTTATATGTTTATGCTGGAATTTTATTATTCTCTGCCTCAACTTCTAATCTGTAGATGTTTTATTGCATGTTATTCTATTGCTTTCATTGTTTTATTCTGTAAGGCACGGTGAGAGTTTAAGCAGAAGATCAGCTAATAAATAGTATACATGTATGCATACATACATTCAGAATGCAAGGCAATCTGTGCAGCTCATATTTAAGGAAGCCCATATTTATGTGCTTTTTCCTTCATCAAATGACATTATTTCCTGGTCCATTTGTTTGCAATTATAGGTGGTTGCTTTTTTAAAAAAAAGTAAATTAATAATATTTGAAAAATAGTTTATCCTGTCTACCATCTGTTTCTTGCAATTTGCTGCAATTATTCAAATAATTTGTAAATGTTTTTAATTATATGCAGTTAAATAAGAAAGATACCCTTTAACTGTCTAATTCTTGATATTTGTTCAGTAATCTGAACAATTTTTATATCCGTGTAAAGCATACAAAATGGATATACTGGAAAGCAATCATAGGTCAAGAGGTTCATTGGTGTTTGTACAGTATGACTGTTATTGTGTTTTTTTTAACTATTCCAGATCTACAAACAAAGTTGTTTTATCAATAGTGCTTTCTCTCTATTTTTCTTTTCTGTTTTGTTGGAAGAAGTGATACATCTCTCCATTTAGTTTTTATGAAATCATTAACAACAACAACAAAATGAGGATGACATGGGGACGACAGGTGTACAGCACCACAAAAAGGCACCTGCATCCAGCATTGAATGCACCTTATAATATACACCCTGAGAGGAGAACATGCATTGAGATAGATAGCTTATGGAGCTCTCGGGATTTAGCTCTGCTAACAGCATCAGGGTTGCCTCTCTCTGGAGGTCTATATGGAGCAGTGGATTTGACTGTCTATTTGCATGTTTAATCTGTGCCTCTACCTACTTTTAACCTCTATATTTGTACATGAACTCAAGTGTTACAAAACTCCATAAGCCTCCAGTGATCTCCTTTCAAAGGAAACAGAACCCACATAAGCACTGTGCCCTAGAACTTCCACTGCTCAGGAAAGTTGAGGTACACATAACATCATGGTCATGAAAATCATATCAGTGATTGCCCAGTTCAGATGCTATTTTTATCCACATGAACCTGTGCCTGAGAAAATACAGACCAGTTTCCATGACAAAAAATATTGCCAGTACCATCTCTAAAATATTCAGATATTTAAGCAAGATGTTTTCATTTATAACCTAATAGATGATTTTATTAATATATATTTTTTCTTTAGATCCAGACTGTCATGCCAGTATGATACATTAGAAGCTGGATTCTGATGGGCTTATATAATGTACTGAATAAGAGCTACTTAGAGCAGGGATGGAAGACCTGTGGCCCTCTAGCGCAGGCATAGGCAAACTCGGCCCTCCAGATGTTTTGGGACTACAACTCCCATCATCCCTGACCACTGGTCCTGTTGGCTAGGGATGATGGGAGTTGTAGTCCCAAAACATCTGGAGGGCCGAGTTTGCCTATGTCTGTTCTAGCTGTTGTTAAGACTTCCAAACTCCCATCAGCCCCAAGCAGATGGCCAAAGGTCAGGGATGTTGAAAAATTTAGTCCAACAATATCTGGAGGGCCACAGGTTCCTCATCCTTAAATCTTAAGGACATAAAAAACTAAATTAAGACGGCCCTATATGAAATAAGTCATTTTATTACATTTTATTATCAACATGTATAATACTATCGCATATAAACTGGACAAAAATACATTTGTGCAGTCAAAAGTGAAATTGTAAGTTAAAACTTCTGTAATACTTTACAGTGTACATTTAATAACTATCAACATATGCCCAGAATATTACAAGATTAATAATATGGGTAGAAAGTTACGTTTAGTTTTTAAAACTGAAGCTAATTTAATTTTTTACCTAATAAATAATCAGTCTAGCAAGTAGTCACAAACATTCATACATCAAATTGACACTCATGAATGCAAGAATGTTTACTGACCTTCTCCCGAACTTTGTACATCTGTGGCAATCTATTGTTGATTTGATTAGTAGCATCTAAATTTAGTATCTGTTTTTGCATAGAGGCTGTAAGAGATTCAGGAAATATTTGCAGCTTTCCAGACTGTGCAAACTGTGAAACATAAAAAGGAAACAAAAGTATAAAGAAAACATAACAAAATATAAAAAGTAGAAGCACATTTGTATTATTTGTATTGCAGCAACACCTAGAGGCTCCATTAAGAAGCAAGAATCCCACTCTACTTTCACTTAACAAACCAAATATCAAATGCAAAATAAAATATAATTCCAATTTTCAAAGCTTGGGTAGGTAATTTAAATATATGAATGAAAGCAATAGAACGCACATAAATTTCATAATAAATAGCAAGCCTATTCAATTGGTAGGGCTGCAATTCTGGTCCACTCTAGTGGAAGAGTGATCTTAAGTAGGAACAGGGTTTTTCAATGTTATTGCAGTGTTCACATGTTTCAGGAGAGAGCCAGACAGTGTCATAAACCTGCTCTGCATATTATTAACCGCTTCAGGATGAACTGAAGAATCGATACTAGAGCTGTGAACACTTCCTTGTACTGTCACTTCAGTTTAGAACTTCAAAATATTTTCCCAAAGGGTAGCTATGTTAATAACTTGCAGCAACAACAAAAATCAAAGACTCTTATGGCACCTTAAAGACTAATGGATTTATTATGGCAGAAGTTGTCATGGACTATAGCACACTTCAGATGCTGTTATGCTTCTGCCCATTATATTGAAGTTAAATCCTTCGAAGACAGAGGTCCTCTGGCTGGGACGGGACGATATGGGATTGGGGGGGCAACTCCCATCTCTTGCGGGGGTGCAATTAGTGCCAGCACCGTCTGTTAAGAGTTTGGGTGTAATCTTCGATACCTCCCTCTCTATGGAGACGCAGATTACAGCTATAACAAAGGCGGCATTTTTTCATCTCCGCCAAGTTGGCCCCTTATCTCTCTCGCCCTGACCTAGCCACTGTGATCCACGCGACGGTCACCTCCAGATTACTGGATTATTGTAACTCGCTCTACGTGGGGCTGCCCTTGAGACTGACCCAGAAACTCCAGCGGGTGCAGAATGCCGCGGCGAGACTCCTTATGGGGTCTTCGCTGCGAGATCACATTCATCCGGTACTATACCAGCTGCACTAGCTCCCGGTGGAGTACAGGATCAGGTTTAAGGTGCTGGTTTTAACCTTTAAAGCCCTATACGGCCTAGGACCCTCGTACCTACGGGACCGCCTCTCCTGGTACGCCCCACAGAGGAACCTACGGTCTGCAAATAAAAACATCCTGAAGGTCCCAGGCCTCAGAGAGGTTAGGCTGGCCTCAACTAGAGCCAGGGCTTTCTCGGCTGCGGCTCCAATCTGGTGGAACGCTCTGTCACAAGAGACTAGGGCCCTGCGGGACCTGACATCTTTCCGCAAGGCCTGCAAGACAGAGTTGTTCCACCAGGCCTTTGGTCAGGGCCCAGCCTGACTCCCTCCTCTGGCAACCTGCACAGAACTTTGCTTAACGGTTGCCATTAATTTGATTTTAATTAATTTTTATAATGAAATGTTTTAGAATGTTGGATTATTTGATTGTTTGATTATTTGTTTGTTGTTAGCCGCCCTGAGCCTGGCTTTGGCTGGGGAGGGCAGGATATATATAAAATTTATTATTATTATTATTATTATATGACTGCCAGCAGTGACGAAGGTAATGAGGTGTTTTTTTGGCAAACGGGGGGGGGTGGGAGAGCAGCATACTAACTGGGCAGTAAAATTTTGGAGAAGACAAATATTTAGACAAGTAAACCTGAGTGTTAGCGGGGGAAGAGAAATAATGGAAATACACCCAAAGGGGGGGATTGCTTTGTGTGTGTTGTTGTTATTAGGGGAAAGGGTGCACCTTTGATAAGATTATTGTAGAAAATACAGCTGTAGAAACCAGTCTAAGAAATCCTTGACTTTCATGATGACAACAAATCCAAAGCAACTGCCAACACTTGATTTCTTACAGGATTTGTCCACACTTCCATTTATCCTGTACTGTTATTACCTGTCCCTTATTTAAAGGAATGGTTCCTTATATTGGTGAAGCTAAGGCTGGACTGTGGGGCCCCAAAGTCTAGGGCCCCACAGCCCAGAGGGCTCTGAATGACAATCCAGAGAATGCAGAGTGATGAAGATAATGGCAAACAGGCCCCACATCAACCCCTGGATGAGCATGTGGGTATGAGGGGGGCACAGCAAAGCCGATACTCATAGCTGCAGGTGGCGCCCCATCCAGTCAGAGGTAGCCAGTTATATACATGGTTACATATTCTCATTTCATTGCAGTGGTACCTCGGGTTACATACACTTCAGGTTACAGACTCTGCTACCCCAAAAATAGTGCTTCAGGTTAAGAACTTTGCTTCAGGATGAGAACACAAATCATGCTCCGGCAGCGCGGCGGCAGCGGGAGGCCCCATTAGCTAAAGTGGTGCTTCAGGTTAAGAACAGTTTCAGGTTAAGAATGGACCTCTGGAACGAATTAAGTACTTAACTCAAGGTACCACTGTACTTTTACTTTAACATTATAGTATCCCTTTCTGCAACAAAAGGATGCTTGTTTCCAGGAAAGTGTGTTTAGCATCAGAGAAAAAGAATTTATATACTGCCCTATACCCAGAAGTCTCAGGGCTGTTCAAAAAACTGTCAGCCAACCTGGTGCTACAATTTTAAGCGAGTTCAGAATGCAAAACTGCACAAGTTCATAGTATCATTAGGGGTTTTTTAGATCAGGGTCTGCACATGACTTTTGCTCTAACTTAACAGGATTGTAGAAGTCCGTGGATTGGCGTATTTATTTGAAAATAAATGTTGTGTGCTTAAATTTCACACCTTTAAGTAATACACATGGCCTTATAAAACCACCACACACCCCGCTCCCCAAGACCGTTATAGGTGAAGGTCTAAGTACTTAGCTGCACTACTCCATCCTTGTTTCGTAGTGGAATTTAGCACTAAGACGAAATAAGCAACAGGCTGCAACCTGAGACGTTGGGCTATGCCTTTCTCTCCCTTCCCTTCCCTTCCCACACAAACACCCGCCGCCGACCAGCAGAGCTGCTCAGAGGCTCCTTCTCTAAGGGCTTCGCCTTACCCAGGCGCCATCCCGCGCGGTGCTGGGGTTGGCCCGCCTCCCCTTGGGCATGGCCTCCCCACGACCCAGCGCGCCCCGAGTCCTGCTGTAGTCTGGCGGGGTTCAGCTCCGCAAGGGAGCCGGAAGGGAGGGCTGAGGCGGCTCTCGTTGCCATGGTCACTACTGTCTAGCTCACGTCTTCTGCGCCGGGGACTCCCTGCATCACCCACCGACCGGGTGGAGAAGCGCCCTCCGTAGCTCGCCCAGCAATGAATGAAAAGGGCGAAGAAAACCCTTATTGTTTCAAGAAAGGCCAGCCTCTTCTCTCTATTAGTTTCCCGGCTTTTAAGAGGCAGCACTGACTTCGACTAGGCACACGGGAAGTTGAAACACGCGGCAGCAGATTTATAATTTATTGCCACACCGACGCGGGTGGATTTAGAAGCGGAGGGGTGGGTGAGAGCCCGGGGGAAGGGTCTCCTTCATTCATCTTAATAGGGGAGCGGGCGAACCTCGCATTCAATGCATTAGCCACATCTTTAAGCATCTCTTTACACAGCTGAATGCAAAGAACCACGGGGGCTAACCGCACGCATATGAATTGCAGTTTGTTGACAGATGGTCTGGGGAGTAGACCCAACTGCTGTGAAAGTTTTCACGCATGCAACCCTGCTCTGCATGCAAAATATTCATGTTTAGAGCTCATTGAAACCACAGAGAAGTGCAGCTAGCCCAGCCCTTTACTCAAAAGCTTAACGATTGGACCCTCACTTCATTTGTAAGGGAAGGACCTGTGGTAGAGCACCTGTTTTGCAGCGTTCGGAGACTGTAAACCCTGGAGAGGGTGTGCGGACAGTACAAAGATGGGTAGACCAATGGTACTCTGCCCTTCTGATACTCCTAACTAACCACTGTTTGGAGTGGCCTGGGATATTACATGTTTGGGGGTGAGTGGTTGAGAATCCACCATGCACTGTCTCAGCACAAGGGGGCACTTCTTTCATTCGCCCCATTTCACAGAAGAACCCCCTAACGAGAAATGATATAGAGAGCGGGCATTAATTATTTCCACTTAAAATTTGAACACACACAAGCTCTGTGGACAGAAGGCACAGGTGGAATCAACCTCACTGCTGCTCAGCCCATAGTGGCCTTTACAGTTTCCCCTCTAAATCTACATTTCCCAGGATTCATAGGAGTGTCTTGGGTTTGAGTTCTGGAAAAAACTACTAAGAAGCAAACAATGTCAATTGGCGAGGCTCCAAATTTGAGCCTACTACAATTCAGCTTTTGGCTCCGCCTCCACGTTTTAACCAATCCTCTCTGTCCGAACCAAACTGAGAGTCGAACCGCTCCCTAAGAGATCTCGCGAGAGTTCTCCTGTCTTTCACGCGAGCAAGGAAACGAAGTTAGCGCAGCGACGGAAGGGAGGGGGCGGAGCCTAGGTGTGCGTGGTAGCGTCGAGCTCTTTCCGGTTTTTTTCCTAGGTCGCCGGAATCTCCTCTCAGGGAAGCCAGTGAACTTCCGATTGTCACCGCGGTCGCCGCTGCCGGAGGAGCGAAGCGAATGGGGGACCCCCGGGGAGCAGGGGCCGAGTCGGGCCTAGCAAGGAAAAGCGACCCGGGGGCACCCGCGCCTGGCCCGGCGTCGCTGAAGGGCGAGCGAGAAGAGCCGAATCAGGTACCCTCACTCCGCGTAGGCGGCTGTTGACCTTTACGCGCGCGCGCTCCCACACAGCGCACCCTCCCTGGCCTCTGTGCTTTCGGTGTCTCCCCGCCATAGTCACTTACCCACGTTGCCAAATTAACGTGGAACCCGCGTGTCGGACCCTCACCCCCCCCCCCGTCGCTGTCTTAAAGGAAAGGAGCGGGGGCAAGGCGTGAATGAGCGCCCGTTTCTCCTCACACGCTTCGAGTTCAAGGTTGGGCCCCTCCTGGGAGAGAGAGAGAGTTGAAGTCAGAGTTCACGTTCAGCTGTGCCTCCAAATAAGCGAAGTGACGAATTTCTAATGTCGTCTCTCCCTGCCACCCCTGTCGTGCCCCCCCCCTTCCTTTTATGGTTCCCCTTGTACTGTTTTTATGTTCACTTCTGGCAGCTGGTAAGTGGGTAAGAGTAGCAAGGGGGATGCTGCGAAAGGACCAATGCCGAAAGGTCAAAACAATACACAGTGATTGTGTAACAAAACTGTTTCTTTTAAAGACGGAGCTGTTTTTATTCTGTAGCCCCGTGAGTGTACTAAATGGCATTCCTGAAATGGTTTTAGGTGCATCTTGGTGGTTGTCCCTGCTTTGCTCATTGTAATCTTGCACTGTGGTGAGTAGACACACGGCATAGTGGCCATAGCACTATGTCATAGCTGTCAACCTTCCCTTTTTTTGTGGGAAATTCCCTTATTCCAGTGCCGTTTCCCGCTGCTTCCCGTTGCTATCCCAGATTGTTAGATATCCCGGAGACTGTCCCCGGGACAGGTGAGGCTGCTGATCCCTTATTTTCAAATCTGAAAGTTGACAGCTATGCACTATGTGGGGCACCTCATGTTGGGGAGCCCTAGACGGTTTTGCCATGTTTGCCCTCTCCCCACCCCTGAAAGGTCTTACTTCCTTAGGGCCCATAGCAGCTGGAGGTGCAGGGCAGCCTTGCCAAGGAGTTAGGCACCTGGGTTAGCTTCTTTATTGAAGGTTGTGACTTGCATCACTTAGCTGAACAATACGATTGGAATACCTACGTAACATCTCTTCACCACTGTACAGTGGTGAATGCATGAAATCTTTCTGAGGTTGCACAAATAACAACCGCTCTCTTCATTACTGGTGTGATGAGAACCTTTCTACTTTGTATTTTGTGGGGGATCTTTTTATGAAAGAAGCAAGCGCTGTGAAATGGAGACACTAAATTATTATGTTGGGGTGACATTGCCTTAGTTCAGCACTCACCATACAAGGGAGTTAAAGGCATTCCTACAGGGGATGGATTTTCTCTGAATCTTGGAGTGAGAGTGATTTGTGTGGGTTTCTCATAGACTTTCAATGGCTGCAGTGGGTCACTCTTGTTCCACCCACATACTATAAATTATTGCCTCTTTAGGTACAGAGTACACAAGAAAGGAGATCATGAGAAAATTTGGTGTGCACCATTTCTCAAATGTACTTGTAGGAAAACATGATACATTCATACAAAGCTGCATCTAAACCATGGGTAGGCAAACCAAGGCCTGGGGGCAAGATCACCCAATCACCTTCTAAATACGGCCTGCAGACGGTCCGGGAATCAGCGTGTTTTTACATGAGTAGAATGTGTGCTTTTATTTAAAATGCATCTCTGGGTTATTTGTGGGGCATAGGAATATGTTCATTCCCCACCCCAAAATATAGGCCGGCCCCCCTTAAGGTCTGAGGGACATTGGACCAGCCCCCTGCTGAAAAAGTTTGCTGACCCCTGATCTAAACTTTAAAAAGCAAGCCATTATAAATATAGTTGGCAGATTGTCTGGGCAGAGTTTGGGCGTGCAGGACTTTTTATTGAATGGGAAAATACAATACAAGCAGGATGTTATAATACCTGTAATTGTACTCTGATCTCCTTATTCTAACCAAACTATTTATTGTTTGTGCAAACTAGGGTTCTGTGCTGTTTCTTGGGGGCAATGAAGTGAAGAGCAGTGCTGTGGTAAAGTATTCATCTGCTCCACCACAAGCAGCATTTGCCCGCCTTCAAGAGAAGACTGATCTGAAACTTCCGCCAGCGAATTGGTTACGCGAAAGTGCCAAACTGGGACCAGCAGGGGCAACTATTCTTGGTAATAGCAAGAAGGGCAAGCCATTTTCAAGGTAAATATTGGAAATATTATTTATCCCCACTCAACCTATAGAAAAGTTGCCCAAGTTTGATTAAAAGCAAATAATGAAATACTACTTAAAGAAATGTGACAAGTTAGTCAGAGTACTTAACTATTAAAAAAAGATAACATACATACTTTCATAAAATCAAAAGGTTACAAAAATATCAAACATTTTAATTTTCTTTTTTTTAAAAAAATGAAGCTAGTTAGGTAGTATTTGTGTATCCTATTTCCTATCAACTATTTGGCAAGGGGAGCTTTTCTTTTCATTTACGAAAGAGTCTGTGAATACAGCAGATGCTTTTGCTTACAGAATTATGGAGAAGCTATTTTTACTGCTTCCTGTGGCATCACACATTGTTCCAGAAAGTCCTCAGGTCCTCTGACCCAAGTGATTTTGGCAAAAATATCATTTTACCCTTTCATGAGTTGAGTTCACTCAAGGATATCTGGATCCAACACTAAGAGAGAGAAAAATCTTGCTATGTAATAGATTTGTAATGATGATTTGACATGTACCTATAAATATATTTATTTATACAGTACTTTAACTAATACAATTCTGCTTCAATAGAATGCAATTTTAGTTACTTTTAATGTTACACTTTACATTTTTTATTTTTAAAAATAGCTTTGGCATGGCGTATGATTTTATTGACTCAATTGGAAATGATGTGGATGTTGTATCTGATTCTGAGGTATGTATACATTGCAAATAAAGACTTAACTCAAAGTTGTTATTAATGAAATTAAGTTTTTTAAAGCTCTTACCTTTGGAAAAGAGAGCCTTTTGATGAATAGCCATAATGAACTGGGTTGTGATTTTGATAATTAAATGCTTTACTTTTATTCAACAATTTTACCTGCATTAGTGTATCATGTATCAGCAAGCTCACAATGTGTTGACAGCATGAAAGGTGTACTTCTGTCAGTATTGAGATTTTATATTGCTTTTTAGAAGAATAGTGGCGTAGTGCATGTCATCTAATTTAAGAATGCGTAAGTGTCATCTATTATACAATGGGTTGGATACAAAAGTGCCATTCTGTTCATTCAAGGGGCTTGCATCAAGCAGAGCTTCTGTAAATAGAAGTGTACGTGTTGGTGATGTTTGTGATTCCTACTTCTGTCTGCATTCTCTCGAATCACTTTCAACACTTCTGGTATGTGCATGTACACTTCTGGACAGGGAGCTACAAAGCAGAGCAGCCGAAATTCTGATCCACTTCGAAGTATAAATTAAGAATAAACTCTTTGCACAATTAAAGTTTTTATAAACTGCTGAAGAGCAGGGATGGGCATCATATAGTAATAATTGTTTTAAGCAGTTTGTGTCATCATTTCTGAAATTAGAACTCTCCCTCATGGAGCTGTCACAGGCTGCTTGAATTTTTTCACATATTTACACATTATAATGGTACCGTTAGTGGCTAAAATATTAATTAAATCCTACTTTTAGTATTACTGACTCTTGTAAAGGTACCACTGAAAGATCAAATAAGAGTTGAAAGTATCCAGTTGCTGTTGTGCCAGTGCAGATATCTATATTACACAAGTAAGAGAGGCTGTAACTTTACTGAGTATCCATGACTGCCGCTTCACATAAGAAATTCCCTTTTACCACATGAGGGTTAGAAGATTACAAACAGGAGGATTAGAAACTCTCCTTTCCCCACCCATCACTTTTTCAACTCTGACATTACCTCACCCCAAACCATGATTTGACCTTTCTCATACTCAGACAAGCTATGTTTCATGGCTGCTTTTTTGCTTCATTTTTAATTTGATCAGCACTCTAGTCTCTAGGTACAGCAAGAACACATAACTCATCTGTCAACTCAGACATCCTGTCAAACCATAGCTAATTGGAGTATATTTGGATAGGATGGGTGGGACAGAGAAAAGTAAGTTCTGTTGCATGAGCAGAAGTCCACTCATCGGACATTGGAGGTCTTCTACTGTCTGATTCTGGTTTGCCAATTGATTGCTGTATTACCAGTTTGATTGACATATAGCAGAGCAGCCCAATTTTTCATACCAGGTGGGCTGCAAGAGTACTTTGACATAGAACCTGCAGGCAACACACTACCTTGTTGTGCATGGAAGAGCGTGTTGCAAGGGCAGATTTGACACCCCACCCCCCAGGCTGTGTGTGTGTGTGTGTGAGAGAGAGAGGAGAGAGAGAGAGAGAGAGAAATGTTGCTGAGGGCTGCCAAGAAAAACCTTGAGGGCCGCCAAAAAGGCACATGGCCCTTCAGCCACACATTGAACCACCCAGAGATACAGTGGTACCTTGGTTCTCGAACTTAATCCACTCTGGGAGTCCGTTCGACTCCCGAAACCATTCAAAAACCAAGGCACGGCTTCCGATTGGCTGCAGTAGCTTCCTGTACTCAAGCAGAAGCCACGTCGGAGGTTCAGTTTCCCAAAAAACGTTTGCAAAACCGAAACACTTACTTCCGGGTTTGCAATGTTTGGGAGCCAAGCCGTTCGAGTACTAAGGTACCACTGTATATGATTCGATAATTGTGGTCTAAAGTTGATGCTTTTATTAAATGTATTACTGTCCATTTTGACCCATGTAGAAAATATACTTAAATGTTTGAAAATGAACAGAAAAGTTTGTCTATCTTTTACTCTGCAGAATATTAAAAAGCTTCTTAAGATACCATACAGCAAATCTCATGTCAGTATGGCAGTACACCGGATTGGGAGAACTCTCTTACTAGATGATCTAGATATTCAAGAGCTCTTTATGAGATCATCACAGGTGATAAACTTTGTCGTAGTTATTTCTTTGGCCATATAGTGTTTCCATTTCTTGTTTAATGTTGCCTTTTCCCTCAATGACATAGGAATTATGGATGTGTAGCTATCTGCTTAGCAATACAATAGCTATGCTAGAGAGTTTGATACATCTTGGATTATGACCCAGAAAATGTCCATCAGTGCTTGATCTTCATAAAGCCACTTTCTTTTACATTTAGTACTGTTTCTTAAAATGAAATGCAAGTATCATGTTCTTTGAAATATACACTAAAACAATTATTTAAGAACTTAGATGTTGAAGTTGTAAAAATGTAACTCTTTAAAATAGATATGAAATGCTTTATTTTATACAATATCGTGTTCATTGAATATCTTTAGTCAGGTAACTAAAACACTTTACAATATTAATTGTATTCTTTTTTATTTATATTACTTAGACTGGAGATTGGACATGGTTAAAGGAATTCTACCAGAGATTAATAGATCAGAAGTGGCAACGAAAGAAGAAGAGCAAAGAACACTGGTACCAGAAAGCTATACTTTCCAAATTTTTATACTACAGGTATCTTTTGTAATTTTCCCCCATAAACTCTGTTCTGTTTTTTCAAAATTAATTGATCCGCTTTGTGTTTTTCCTGGTATGCATCTACGCCTGAAGTAAAAATAAGTTTTTCAAAACTTGTGCCACAAGTTTTTTTTCTACAGAAGACTAATATGGCTGGCCCTTTGGAATTTAGCAACCAGTTCATTGTTCTTGAACATTAGCTGAAATGCAGACAAAAGCAAGTGCAAAGTGATCTTCTTGACTCATTCCTCGCGGTTTGCCACCAGACAGCATTCCCCATCCTCAAGGGGGGGGGGCTTCATTTTTGTCTTTCACAATGTATATTTTATGGTTGTAGGCTGCTGTGAATTTCTTTTTTGGGGGGGGAGGCAGCAGAATATAAACTTTTAAAAGAATATTGGAGAAGTGCAAGGGCCTGCTGCAAAAGGGAGAGCTTAAAACACCCATGAGTGTGCAGCTGTTTGAAACTGCGTGGTAAAAAATGGGGGGCTTTAAAATGTGGTGTTTTGAACATGATTTATTTTTAATTCCATTTTCCCCCTAAGGGCCAACTATAAGAGCTAAGGGAATTAAATGATCTTGAGTTAGGGCTGAGCAGTGAGATGGCCAAGTTTGCTGCTGATGCCACATTATTCAGGATGGTAAAGACCAAAAGGGGATTGTAAGGAGCTCCAAAGGATATCAATAGGCATCAAGAGGAAAATGTGTTCATTGTCAGTTAGTGTAAACTGATATATATTTGGGTAACCTCCGCCCCCAATTCACATATACCCTGAAGGGGTCTGAGCTAGCAGCGGTTGTGGTAGAAAGCTCAGTAAAAAGATTGAACCATGTGTGGCAGCTATGAAAATAGCAAAGTCCATATTGTTGGTGGTGGTTAATTTATATACTGCTTAATTACCAAGGTGGCTTCCATGCAGTTTACAGAATAAAATCAATTATAAAAAAAGGTATGCACATAATTTAAACACAAGATAAAACAATTTTATCACAACATTAGAATGAACGTCACAAGTAAAATGTGCAGAAAAGCAGCACAGCAATTAAATCTGTTAAAACAGGAAATAAAAAAAGGGTCAGGTCAGGAAATGTCGAGGATAAATAAGGAAAGGTTGTTTAGTGGATGTTTAGTGTTGGCCATTATTTTAATAACACATAAAAGAAATCAAATAAGGAACTCTCAATATTTGACATCTCTTAGGTTTTTTCAGAATTGTTTGCACTGAAAAGATATACTACTATATTTGGACTTACCTGTATCATGAATCATTGCATTATGTTGCTGTGATCTTCATCTGTACTATACTGCAGTTGTTTTCTTTTATTTTCTTTTTTGTAAAATTTAAATTTAAGAAAATACTACATAGGGGGGGAAACAAATACTGTACTGACAGACATGTTGGGTGGCCAAAAGCCCCAATGTTGCTATTATCTGCTTCTGGAAATCAAAATAGATGATAGCAAATAATAAGATGCGAAAAGAGTCCCAGATGTGTTTGATTTTGATATCATATTAATAGTAACAATAAACAAATACTCAATGTTAAATGGTACGGGTTGAGAAGTTTCTGACTAAAATTGTAATGTCTGTTTTGTTAGCATCAATGGTGATGGAGCTGCTCAGCCTGTTCCTCCTGAAGAGCAACATCAGGAAGAAACAACTGAAGATCAAACTGCCGAAGCAGGACGGGTTTCTTGGCCAGCCCCTTTTGAAATGCCTTCCTCACTTTCTGAAGATGCAAGTGCTTCTAATCAGGTTAATTTGGCAGGTGCCTTACTTAGAAAAGCAGTCTTGATGCTTCATAGGCATGCTTGTAAAGATGGTGGCAATATACTAAAAGAAAGAGTAAACAATTATTTTGCAGTGCCCAGTCCAAATACTGGAAAATAGTTTCCCATGAAATCTTAGTTTACTTTACATAAACAGTTACTATTCAGAAGGGGTCAGGTGGTACGAAACTGAGAGCAAATATTTAGAGTGCAATCTTGCATATACAGTTCACCAGGGTTCAGCATTGCTGTGCACCTATGGAGAGGCTTTATTGCGAGCCCGTGACTCTACTGTCTTAGCTGCCACTGCTGCCTGTTCCTGCCTTTGTGGTGATTGTGTTTGGGCCTAACTTCAGTCCTCTGCTCCCATCAATGTGTGTATTGCCCATGGTGGTGGCAGTGGCTCCTCCATTTCTTCCCCCTGCACATCTTCCTGAGCAGTAGAGGGTAAACAGTAGTAGCTGCTGCTGCTGCTGTTAGTTTATCTGCCACTCAATGAGTCGTGGTGGCTGTTAGAAGCAGAAGCAGCTATCACTTGAGAGGGAGCATGGATGGCTGCTGCTAGTCACTATTGCTGGTTACCTGTTTGCCAAAGTAAGCTAGTGATTTCCTGCTGTCTTCCTCTGTTGATGGTAATGGTTGCTCCTTGCAGGAGACATTTTCACGGTCCACTTTGGTGGCTGTTTGGCGGCAAGCAACAGTTGCAGCTGCCTGCCTCTGTCCATGGGGAGAGGGAACACAACAAAACCTGATGCTAGTGCTGAATGCACACATAGTTGTGGGAAAGTCCTGTTGAAGTCACTGTGACATACTTCTCAGTTAGCATGCTTTGGATTGCACTGCTTATGGTTTGGTTCGAATGCGTTTCAGCACAGATGACAAAGCTTGTTGATCAGTTTTCTCACATAGAAAAAAGTTGTGAGAGAAGATTTGAGAAAGATGGACTCTGCTTTCTGTTGTGGTGCAGTTGGAGTTTACGTTTGTTGCTTTTTTGTTTGTTTGTTTGTTTGTTTGGCAGAACTGGCTCAAACTAGATTTTGAGTAATACTTTTACCAAAGCTATATGAGGGTTTTATACAACTTTTTCCTTTTGCCAGAAGCAAATGTAATTTGCAGGCACAGGAACTTCTTCAGAATGGATTAAGCTTGCCAGATTGCAGGTCTGGGAGCTTCTGTGGGAGAGATAAAAGAAATTCCTCCATAACTCTTATTAGGGAAATGCCTTTATCAGGCCCGCTAAAGGTGTAAGATCCATATTAGTTTCATGTGGTTTTTTTGGGGGGGGGAGCAGTTGTTTGTTTGTTTCTTATCTTTAAATAATTGAAAGCTGGCTAAGTGTTGTGTGTACTCTTTAGAAAACTTTGCATCTTCAAACTAGCCAGAAGTCTTTCCAGTACTTGTTTGTGTTGGGAGGACACATCCTCCAAAATGTATTACAGGATCAATCTGTCCCTATGCTGTCTGTTGAATAGCTCTGGAAGATTTCCCCCCTCAAGCAGAGTAGCATATGATTTTTTAAAAAAAAGTTAAATGAAACTTTAATCTTTTTTAAAAAAAATCAACCACTTCTCATCTTTAACAAATAAAAAATAAAAAAATTCAGTAATCTTCAGTGCTCTACAGGCAGCATTTTCTTGCAAAATTCATTGTCCTAGAGGAGAGAATCATAGAGAAATAGGAAGGCATAGAAATATAAAAAACAGAAATACTGAGTGGTTTTGTGGGGGCCCTGATCTGATCTGTAAGTGGTGGTCTGACTTGGGGAGGGGTAAAATCACTCCAATTCACCTCAGTAATTTGCCCCAGTGCAGGGTGGTTGCACAGTGAACAAAACCTTTGACAGTTTGATCATCTGCTACATACGTTACTTAAACCAAGCTTACTTACTCTCAGCAGTAGAATCACTTATATCCTTGTGCTTTTCACAGGGAAGTGTGCCTCATGAACCCTCATATGTAGTGGGGGATGTGTCCTCAGTCCCCAAAGAACAAAACCTATCTACTTTGTTCAGTGACGGGGGAAACAGTCAGGTATGGTTTTATGTGGCATCTGATCTAAAAAGTACAATCCCCTTACTCAGTTTGATCTACAGGGTAGCTGAGAGAGAAATTTCACTTGTACCAATTGTTTTGTGACATCTGTGATCTTGATCTTTATTGTGAATGACCAGCATAGTCATTATGCGCTGTACTTAATTTTCTTTCCTTGAAATTTGCTTTATTGCATATATGCAGGCTGTATTGTATTTTTCTTTGTGTAAAGAGAATGGTTTCAAATGCTTCACTATTTCCTCTGCACATTTAAAGGGTCTTAAAAATGACTTTGTTCGGAACATCTTGTGGACATTTGAAGATATTCACATGTTGGTTGGATCAAATATGCCTATATTTGGAGGAGGAAGATACCCAGCTGTGAGCTTGCGTCTCAGGTGAATTACTAATCACTTAAAAGCAGTGCAACATATTTTATAAAGCAGACTAATTTTGCTGTTTGGTTCACTCTGTGTGTCTAGCATGATGATTAATCGTGGTTTTGTGAGCTGGGATATTGTTTATACTATGGGGTACCTATCACCAGCATGCTGTCTCTGGCAATCGTTATGTTGTCTGATAAAGATTCTGAGTTCCCACTAACTTGAGGGCCAGAGTCTACTCAGAGTGGCCATACTCAGAGTAGACCCATTGATTTCAGTGGGACTACTTTGAGTATGGCTATAGCCCCGTACATTTAATCTTGATTTGACTTCTTTACTACTTTGAGAAGTTATCAGAGTTATTTTGAAACCTTTAAACAAACCATCATCTGTAAAGTGTTATAAAGACTTTATAAGGCCACAGTCCTGTGCACGCTTACCCGGAAATACAATATTTTAATTAATCTCACATTTGCAATCTGCCTTGAGATTTTGAGAGAGGCTAGGGTGGAAATCAAAATATTGCCTGTTTAAAAAGCCTTGATAGATTTATTTCCTGTATTTTGATGACACTCCCTGCTCCTGTTGTTTTGTATTCTTTCCATGTATTTCCCCCAAATATTTATTATTATTATTTATTCAATTTATATACCACTCTTTATCCAGAGATCCCAGGTTGGTGTACAACATTAAAAACATAATTTACACATCTTCAAAATAAAGACATAATACATGACATAATAATACACAGTATAATTTTAAAAATACTCATAATAGCATTCCTCCAGATTTAACAGGCCATAGATTATTTAATGGCCAAAGGCCTGGGTAAAGAGGAATGTTTTTGCCTGGCTCCTAAAGACATGTAATGATGGCACCAGGCAAGCCTCTATGGAGAGAGCATTCCACAGACGAGGAGCCCCCACAGAAAAGGCCTGTTCTTGCATTATCAACCTCGAGATCTGTCATGGAGCAGGCACATGAAGAAGGGCTTCAGATGATGATTGCAGGGTCCGAGTCAGTTCATATGAGGCAGTCCAGCACTTTGAATTGGGCCCGGAAACTGATGGGCAGCCAGTGCAGTCAGGCCAGGAATGGTGTTAATATGCTCAAACCATCTTGCCCTGACTGCCCAATTCTGCACCAGCTGAAGTTTCCAAACCATCTTCAGAGGCAGCTCCATATAGAACACATTGCAAATAATGTAACCTAGAGGTTACCAGAGCATAGGCAACAAAAGTTAGGCTATCCCTGTCCAGATAGGGGTGTAGCTGGGCCACCAGCCAAAGCTGACAGAAGGCACTCTGTGCCAAGGCCACCTGGGCCCCAAGTGACAGCAATGGATCCAGGAGCACTCCCAAGCTATGTATCTGCTCCTTAAGAAGGAGCATAACCCCATCAAGAACAGGCAGTCTCCCATCTATCCAGTCTAGGGAACCACCCAGTAACAGTGCCTCTACCTTACTTGGATTAAACCTCAGTTTATTGGCTCTCATCCAGTTCATTACTGAGGCAAGACACCAGTCCAGGACATCAGCTGTCACACCTGTAGTTCTTAAAGGAGAAATAGAGCTGTGTGCCACATAGGGTGTATGTGTAAACATGTAATCACAGTTCTTTCTTCCGCACAATTGGGACTGTGGTGGCTTATGCTTTTCTCACTTCTGGCCTCTATACCTCACCTGGAGACTACTCTTTCTCCCTACAGGTGATTCCCTAACTTACTGGTTCTTAAAGTGTTGCCTTAGAAATGCTTCTCATAAACTTTTTTTATTCACAGTCTCAACCTTTTAACACAGTGCTGTAGCCAATACCAGAAAGTAAAAAAGCAGTTCTTGTTTAAAAACCATGTGTTTTGTGCTTTTCTCAGCCTTTGTATGTACCCTACTGACTAAAATGTATTACAGATACTCTATGAATTTTGAACCTAACTGAAGGGGAACAAAGTTTCTATTTGTAGATTTTAATGAGTCTGATTCATTTTACTGAAATAACACTACATATATTTCTGTTTGTAGGGATAACAATAAACCAATTAATGTGCTAACTGGCATTGACTATTGGCTGGACAATTTGATCTGCAATGTGCCAGAACTTGTGATGTGTTTCCATGTTAATGGAATTGTTCAGGTAAGCTTTGAGTTCTGTTGCTCTGATTACTGTATTTGTTCTTGGTCAGTAAAATATGATTGCACAATTGTTAAGCCACAGTTTTCAAGCAGGTTTTTTTCACTTAGATGACAACCGGTTTAGGGCATTGGTGTATTGAAAAGGAATATTTTGTTGATACTACTTCATAAGCACATTCAGACTTCGCAAGAGATTTTAGTGGGCACATTAATAATGAAATTCTTAAACCACAACAAAAATACGAAAGGTGCATTGGGTTAGTGTGTATGACTGTTAACCAGAAGGTTGGTGGTTCAAACCCACCCAGACAAGGTTGTGGGCCAGATTCCTGCATTGCAGGGGGCTGGATTAGATGACCCTCAGGGGAATGTTCCAACTCTACAGTTTTCTGATTCTAAGAATGCATGGAAGGCAATTACTTCCTTGTAGCATAAACAATACTTCTAATTGGTTGTTTTGTTTATTTTAGAAATACGAAATGATTAAGACAGAGGATATACCCAACTTGGAAAACTCAAATTTCTCTACCAAAGTAATAAAAGATATTGCTCAAAATATTTTATCATTTCTGAAAGCTAACTGTACCAAAGAAGGGCATACTTACTGGCTGTTTAAAGGTGAGCATTTTTCCATTTTTCTTTAAAGGTAACTTGCAGAATTACCATGATTTAGGTTAGGGAAGATTCCTAGGTTCATAGACAATTGCACAATATATGGTGCCAGTATTTTTGCCTCTTTCCTGAGGGTCTCTGCTGGGCATCTGGCAATGTAGATGGTGCCCTGTCTCTCCCTTCTTTCTTTACTTCCTCCCTCCCCATAGCATGTGGTGGCAGCATGTTGTGTACACATACTAGGGTGCTCCTGCCACAGACCCATGCTCTGTTAGACTAGGGGCAGCAACTTGGGCTGCTCTGGTAGCTCAGGAAAAGAGCAACGTCTTATTACATGCACAATGTACCAACAGACAGGAACAGAATGTTGCTCCCTCTTGTTTTTTGTGCTTCCTTCATTCCTACTTTTGTGATGCTAGGAGGGAGGAGCTTGGAAGCGGAGCAAGGATTAGGGAGTCTAAACTGAGATCACTCTAGCCATTCTGTCTCGTCTTGTTCTTTCCTTGTTTGATAATACTGGAGTGTGACCAAAAATTCTAGTTTTTCCTTATTTTATTGTAGGACCCATACTTTTTCAAGCATACACTTATGGAAAAAATATTTTTCTTTCAGCAAGTGGAAGTGATATCGTAAAGCTGTATGACCTGACCACTCTCTGTGAAGAGACAGAAGATAAATACCAAAACCCCTTCACGATGCCAGTGGCAATTCTTCTTTACAAGTAAGTTTGCTTTGTATGGTTAGTACTATAAACACAGGAAAAGGTCTGAATGATACTGTTCAGCTTGAGGATTACAACCCAAATCTATGCAATCTGTAGAACACATGGGAGAGTGCTAGGCTTGTAGCCCCACTGCAGGAAGTCAAGAAAGCTAGCATTTCTCTGCTTCTGTACTGGCGTACTTTGCCGTTGTAGCAGGATGGTGGCAGAAGTCACTATGGGCATGCTAAAGAGAACTTCATGATATTGGTAGAGAACTATTATGAAGCTGTATTGAGAGAGAAAAAGTGAAGTGGGGCTGAAAGTGGTTTCTTAACTTCACTGTAAGGCCAGCCAGAGCAATTCAGTGTCCCTCCATGCTGATGAGTGTTGGGATCAGAGTGATTTTTTAAAAACCCTCCTGCAAATGTCAGGGTAAAGCTGATCTTAAAGGGGTACAAAATATATAAGCCTAATTTTCTACTCATCTGTTGTATTCCACAATTCTTTTACACTAGAGGGTAAGTTCTGTTTTCGTGTTTCTCTTAGCGTTATTAAATTTGAGAATTTTTAATATAAGGGTAGTGTTCATGTTGATGAAGCAGAAGAGTTCTTAACCTTTCAGTATATTTAAATGCATTCCTTTGAGGGGTTTTGAGTTGGAAGCGCAGAAGTAGGAAGTGCAAGAACAAAGTATTTGATTGGACCAATGTCAAGTAAGGTCATGATAGCCTCCAGATATTATCATTTCTGTATAGTTATATCCAGAACCAGATGCAGTATTTAATTGTATGATGTAGCCTTTGTCGCAACTAAGGCAAAATTGATTTTTTCTGGGAATGTGTTTTGAAATAATTTTTAATACAACATACCATATATGAAACTAGCTAATTTGGAAATAATAAATACAAAATTGATAACAGTTGTTTCAGTAGATGTTGCACGGTCAGTATGAGAGGGCCTTTATAGTTTGCTTTCTGTTCATTTTACTTTCTCTTAGAGTTGCTTGCAATATGATGTTGAAGAAAAACCAAAACAGGAAGCATTATGGTACTATCAGAACATTACTCCTTAACTGTGTGAAGTTGTTGGACAAGGGTAGACATCCTCAGGTAAGAATTGTATTCTGAGGCAAATGTTCCCAATACCAGTGACACCTAAAGGGAAAACACTTCATGGAGAGAGAGGTCATAACTAACCCCATCAGAATAGTTAAATGAATTATGCATTAGTCATTTTATTCCAATGTACAAGTATAGGCTGCATATGCCCTAAGCAAAGCATCTGGAAAATTTATTATATTCACTCCTCTCTCTTGCTCTATTCAGTTTCAGGAGAAATCCCAAACCATGTGCATTTAGCATTATGTGAATGATCAGAAGCAAACCTTGGGCTCAAGCACTCCCGTTTTAGGTGGTTCAGTAGGATGTGTATTTGGGTATGGGTGATGATCTAGGGGAGGGGTGAGTTGAATGGCCAAGAGAGAAGGGAAATTTGGCTTCTTGTAAACATGGTGGTTTGCCTTCTGTTGGAGCAGAAAACTGGGTCATCAAAAAAGTGGCTTAATCTCTGCCTTGTACTCAGTTTCTTAAAAAGTCAGGTCCATCTCATTCAGTATTGCCTATATTGCTTGCCAGTGACTCTCCGACAGGGGAGCCCTAAGTGCAGATGCCAAAGACTGAATCTGGGAACTGGTGTTTCTCTCCCCAAAAGGCCTGGCTGTTCTTTATTCCCCTCCCACACTCCAGACAAGGCTGATAGTTCCATTTTTTTCTTCCTTTCCTAGCCCCTCAGGCTTCATTTTTTTCTTCCTCACATTATCTACCTTTCCTTAACTTTTAAAGGCATAAAACTTTTAAAGGCATAAAAATGTTGGTGTCTATAACTTTGAGAAACCACTTGAATTGATCTTTCCCCTTTTCTGAATAAAGATTATTGCTTCGGCAAACTACATGCTCTCAGAACTGTTCCAGCTTGATGAGCCAAAAAAAGAAGAGAGTGGTGAGTTCCCCTTAAATGGAAATTCTGATGAAAGCTACAGTGAGGAGGAAGAGGAAATGCCTGATAGTGATGAAAATGGTTCCTATAGTACCAGTTCAGATCCTCCTGATGACAACAAAGCAGTTGCTGTAATAAAATCAGTTGGAGAACTGTCTGTACCTGAAAAATACAAATCTACTCATCAAATACGTGTAAGTGTTAACTGGCTCAATTGAGATTGAATTTTGTAATAAGACATAATCGTGTTAATTAGCATACCTTTGCCAGGGAAATTAGTATGAGGTAAAGCTTTCCCTCAAATGCCAGCTATCACCACAATACTAAAAAGGCATAGAGGAAGGTGTAGTACATTTTCACCATATATATGTATTTGTCTTCCATAGAATAATGTGTGGAAAGTGAATAATTTTTTCTTAATAGTTTATTTCTGAAGATCGGGGGTTTTCTGAGTGATGTTTTTGAGGAAAATAGCCAGGGTCAAACTAGGGCAGTAGGTCCTGGAAAATAGATGTGGGTGCAGTATGGTGCTTATTTAAATGTTTTCAGTCAGTCGTCATTAGCTTAGCTTTATTATATCCTAATAAGAATATTGAAAGCCTGAGTCTATAGCCCTTTTTAAAGATTTAACTTTATTGAGAACATAATAATTGATTATTCCTCTAATGGCTTCTGATGAGAGGAATTTCTATTGAATTCTTCTGATTCAATGGAGCTGTTTTCTTTTGTCTTTTCTGTTCAGCCTAGTTGTGCATTTCCAGTTTGCCACGACACTGAAGAAAGGTGCAGACTAGTGCTCAACTATGTTCTTGAGGTAAGTTTTGTTTTACTAATTGTTTTAATGCATTGTATCCTAACATCCTTTGAAAATGCAAATAATAACTAAAAGACTTTTTCTTTTTGTTTAAAACAGGGCTTAAAATCTGTAGACAGCAGCATCAAGAAGGAAAGTGATCTTCCTGCAGCAGATCCCAGCACTCCCATTCCATTAAAGTATGAAGATGAATCAACAAGTGTTGGACCTGAGTGTCTTGAAAAGCAGATGGCCTTGTTTTTAGACAAAAGTAAGTTTGTCTGACTCCCTCTTCTCAAATTTAGTAGAATGGTTAAAAAAAATGCTTTTTGATATAGATATTTAAGTTCCTATAATTAACCTTTACCAGTTCACATTCTAAATTTTAATTCAAAGATTCCTAAGAATGAATTGCTTTATTTTTTAATTATAGTGGGCTCATTTCGGGAAGTTAAACATTCTAGTCAGTCAGGAATGATCCCTGGATCTTGGCAGTACAAAATGAAGCTTCAGCTGATCTTGAAATCCTCAAAGGCTTACTATGTTCTCTCTGATGCTGCTGTGAGTCTTCAGAAATATGGGAGAGCATTACGGTACATAAAACTAGCTTTACAGTGCCATGGTAAGTTGGAATATTTTTATTGTAGGTTCTAGATATAAAATGGCAATTGGTTATAATACTCAGCCTATGTCTGCACTCTACATTCATGAACAAGAAGGAGCTGCTATGGACTTCCATGTTTCCCTCCTCTCCTCCTCCTGTAGCTGGGAAAAGAACTTTGGTGGAGTTTAGATTCACCATCCATGACACATGACTTGTTACATACAGACAAAATGTTGTGTGTTAAACACTGGTTAGTTACAGAAGTCAGCTATATAATCCATGGTTTGTAGCTGACGTATTTAGAAACTGGCCAGAGTTTGTTTCAGATGGTCAGACCTAATAAGGCCTACAGACTGGAGATTTCCCAGCACTGTTTTAAAGCCTTCTTTAAAATCACACTTCCAGTACATTCCCTCTACACTCCGGTATTTTGAATTCATGTGCCCTTAGAGAGATTGCAAGGAACATGTGATGCATTTTACCACATTGAATAAAAAGCTGAAAAGAAGAGGTGATATAGCCCCAGAACCTGAGTGTGTAATGTTGCTCTAGCCCTGGGGTAGTCAACTTTTTATACCTACTGCCCACTAATGCATCTTTCTTGATGGTAAAATTTCCTTAACCCCCACCAGTACTCAATGGAAGGAGGATTCAGCTTGTGCCGTAGAACCTCCTACCGCCCACCTAGAATCCTGAAACGCCCACTAGTGGGTGGTAGGGACCAGGTTGACAACCCCTTCTCTAGCCAATGTACAGTTGTCATTATAATATTTGAGAACACAGCTGTGCTTGGTACTGGCAATCTAAGTTGACAACTTTGAAATTGTATAAATAAGCATGCATACATTAATGCTTCCAGAAGATGAGGAGGAAGAGGATTTATTGAATTTATATACCATCCTATATCTGGAGGTCTCAGGGCGGTTCACAGAAAAGATCGTACATGTGCACAGTTTCTTTGTGTGGCTTCATATCAAAAAGGTATCCTGTTCACTGGCTTCCTTTCTTACTTCCCTCCAACTAGATACATATTGCTGCCTCTGCACCAACATGCTTTCTGAAGTACTCCTGTTTCTTTGTCAGAGTTTAACTCTTTGTGGTGATATCCAACTAATGCTGGCCCAGAATGCAAATAACAGAGCTGCATATCTTGAAGAGTATAACTATCAGACAAAAGAAGATCAGGAAATACTACATAGTCTTCACAGAGAATCCAGTTGCCAAGGTGATGATTTAGCATCTGAAATACAGTGTATTCAGCTAATTGGTTCTTTATTTACTCCTGATATTTATACACCACATTTCACTGTACAGGATCACAAAGTGGTCTACACAACAATCTGTAAAGCAATACATAAAATAATGCTTTGTTTAAAACCAAAGGATACAGGTGGAACCAAAAGGTAAAGGTAAAAACATAAGGGGCATCAACACAGTTGTAGGTTGGGTTGTATATATTTGTAGCATAGTTTTTGGAAGGTCCTGTTCATAATAGGAGAGAGGTATTTGCAGGTGGAGTCAACATTCTTGGTCAAGATGCTGCTGATCCCATCCTTTCTTCTTCCCTTGCTCTGTCTTCTTAAAAGACATGACAAATGCCCTGGACCAAAATAATATTTGCATAAACTTTAAAACATATCACACTTGGCAGAGGATGGAGACCCTTGTTGGTTTCATCCATTGGCAGCAGTTTTTGCTAAAGGTCTCACTAAACTGTAAATTACCATGGCATCTAAATACAGACAGTGGTGATAAGACTACACAAGACAAATATAGACAGTGCTGAAGTCCCTGTGGAATGGTAGTTTTCACTCTCTGGGTGTCCCCTGCTTAAACTACTGAGTACAGGTGTTGGCTTCACAGCTGCAGGGTTCAGACAATTGCTCCACTCCTTTGAGGAATGGGGGTTATGGGGCCAGGTGAGCTAGTCCTGCCCTTGTCACCATGCCCCATTTTCTGCATGTAAAGAAGGGCCTCTGTGGGTAGCAATCCTCTGTACAAGGGGAGTGCTTAACTGTGTGGCCCCACAACTGAACACCCACTCGCCCCGAATAGGGCATAGAGAGAATTTCATTATTTCTAACCATATAGTATCACTTTGCAATGAATGCTTGAGACACTTGTGCAGCAATGTTCCAGACAGTACTCAAAATGAAAATGGCCACAGAAAGGTTTTTTCCGCATTCATAAAATTAAATCAATATAAAGTATTTTTATTACAAAACCATTCATTTTGCAGAGCTTTTAAAAGCTGTAAAGTTCTTTATACACAGATTATAATCTCTTGAGTAGCTTTTGTTAATTGTTTCGAATACACTTTTATGGTTCTTTAGAAATAGTGATATAGCAGAAATTTACAGTGGTGTGTTAATTTTCTCTTCTAGTATTTTCTTGGGCTACTGACTTGTCTACAGATTTGGAATGCCAGCTTTCAATTAGCTGCAAATGCTATGAGGCAGCTAATGAAATTTTGCTTTTTAGTAATTTAAAAGGGCAGAATCCAGAACAATATACACAAGTGCTGAAGAGAATGGGTAACATCCGAAATGAAATTGGAGTATTTTACATGAACCAAGCTGCTGCTTTACAGAGTGAAAGAGGGGGCAAGTATATATATCTCTTTCTATTTATACACACACACACACACACACAGTTTTCTACTGGTGTTTTAATTTTTTTTCGATATAGGACTTTAATTATCTGAAAAGAAGACTAGAACTGGAAGATATGGTGAAGCTCACCTAATCATGGTTTATTGTGCGGTACAAAGCAAATTCAGTTTTTGGAAACTGCAATATATATCCTAAGGCTAATTGAAACAAAAGCCCTGCAGTGGTGATGGAACCACTTCCATCACAAGGGACCGGTTCAGACTTAACATTACCATTGCCAACCACAGCAAAATGATTGGGAACAGGGGATTTGATCTTCTTCTTCTTCTCCGCCGCCTCCTCCTCCTCCCCCTCCTCTCCTGACACTTTCCTTGAATGCCAAGCTGTGTTCAAATCTAGCTTAATACAGAACTTGCATTAGTGGTAATCATTACTAATGTTTAGGTTACTCATAGTAATTTATTTAAAAACTGACAAATAAATTTGAACCTTTTTGCTGTGGGGTGGGGTAAACAGATGCAGTGTGTGGCCCTGCAACCCTGTGCCATTCCTTTATCATAGGTAAGGGACAGGCTGCATTACATCTGCACTGGCCTGTACAATTGCTTGGCACCAACACCTGGAATTAATTGAACTGAAGATAAGGATTTGAAACATTTTTTCTCTCTAAATTAGTGCTGACATATAAGCTAGAGGCCTAGATTTTGTTTTTGTTTTTTTCAGTCTGTATGCTATAAATATGACCAATAGTGTTTTCGGGTACATTGTGCAGAAAAGGTAGACGAGAATATGTACCATAGGGAAGATTGTCATAGAAAATCATATAGGCTAAATGTTTCTTTATAACCAGGCCTTTGGCTGATTAAGCATTCTATAGGCTTTTCGGTGTGTTTGTGGGAGGTGGGGTTATTGGTTTGCTTTTGTTTTATTATGTATTTTGTGTTCTCATTTTGTATTTGTATGTTGTGAACCTTTGGATAAAGGTCAGTATACAAATTTAATAAAGGAAGAATTTCCCTGTTGAGCACTAGTTTCTTCAACAGGATTTTGCTAAATTTGAATATAATTAGTTATTTATAGTGAGGGGGGAACTAAAATCACTTTGTTTTTAAATGTTTTTTAATGCTGGAGTAGTTGGTGAAATATTCTCTTTGGAGGCATCTTCCCTTTCTGGAGGCAATTGTCCTTATGGGTTTTATAAAATTACATTTAGGTCCTTTAATGTAGCACTTTTTGAGCCACTATAAATAAGAAAATACAGTTCTCGCTGGCAGCCATCTTGGAAGCCATATTTTTGAGAAGAAAGACTGTACTTAAATTTGAGAATGGCATTAAAATAGCTAATCCATGGAAGTACACATACTACTGATTTCTTAAAATGTACCTCTTTCTCTTTCTGCTGTCTAGAGAACAAAACTGTATCTGCAGCAGAACAGCAACTTTGGAAGAAAAGCTTCTCTTGTTTCGAAAAAGGGATTCAAAACTTTGAATCCATTGATGATGCAACCAATGCTGCTCTTCTCTTGTGTAATATGGGAAGATTAATGCGGATTTGTGCTCATGCTCACTGTGCTGCTGCAGTAGACTTCAAAAGAGAATTTTCCCATGAAGAGGCTCTTTATTATAATAAGGTAACAACCACCCCAATCATCTTAAGCTGATTGCAATTCCTAGATAGAAGAGTAGGTCTCTACTGTGATTAGTGGATGCCTAGACATACAGAAATCCTATGTTGCCTTTTTGAAATGAATATTTATTGAGTATTTCTGTCTTGGATTTAGATTATATGTCTATGTAAGTTTAGTTCCAAAAATATAAGAAATGTTTACAGTGGTACCTCAGGTTAAGTACTTAATTTGTTCCGGAGGTCCGTTCTTAACCTGAAACTGTTCTTAACCTGAAGCACCACTTTAGCTAATGGGGCCTCCTGCTGCTGCCACGCTGCCGGAGCACGATTTCTGTTCTCATCCTGAAGCAAAGTTCTTAACCTGAAGTACTATTTCTGGGTTAGCGGAGTCTGTAACCTGAAGTGTATGTAACCTGAAGCGTATGTAACCCGAGGTACCACTGTACTAGAATAGGGATGAAATAAGCTTTCACTCTGAAGATCCATTTCATATTCCTTTTCCACTGGCTCATTTCTACAAGTTACTGCTTGTATAATTGGTCTACTCATGAGAATAATGTGATGTCAGTTAAGGATCTTACGGAACTCTCAGTGGCAGCTCAGTTGTAATGAGAGGCGGCTATTGTGTTCATGCCCTGCTTTCCTAAGGCATCCATGAGAATGCATTGTTGGACTAGATGAGACTTTGGGTTGGTACATTCTTAGCTTTTTTGGTTGTGCTTTTTTGCATGCCCTGTAGCCTTCCTCATGAAAGATGCAGCTAAAACATCTGTGGGTACTCTTATCTGATGTTACTTAATACTTATTTGAGTAATCTGCTAGTGTAAATAGGCAAGTAAATATTCTGAACCGACATGGTCTCACCAAGTTAATCAAAACTTTCTTGTTTAGAATCAAACCCTTGATACTGAGGGGAACAATAGAGACCATGGTTAGTGGACATGTACTTCTCACAGAGTTGTTCAGCCTGTTTTTACTTTTATAAAAGGTACTGCATTGGGGGGACAAGTATAGGAGGTTCAGATTGCAATTGAGTTCATTGGATAATGTATGGAGAATATTTAAATTAGCAGTGAAAATGTTCACTTATCAGTGTACATGCTGCCAGAGGGGCTAAAATACTAGAGTGATAATTATGTTTAATAATAGGTCATAAGCTGTTCAATTATTGCAGACACCCTGTATTCAGAATCAATAAGTATTCAGTACCTACTATGTGCCTTGACGTAAATATTAGTAATGAATACAAGCCTGTCAACAACTTATTTTACTATTCAATGATTGAATTCTGTAGGCTGTTGACTACTATCTGAAGGCCTTGAGGTCCCTGGGTGAAAGGGAAGTTCATCCTGCTGTTTGGGATTCTGTCAACTGGGAGCTGTCTACCACCTACTTTACTATGGCAACTCTGCTGCAAGATTATGCTCCCTTATCCAGAAAGGCTCAAGAACAGGTAACTGTGTGTGTGTGTGTGTGTGTGTGTGTGTGTGTGTTGTGTGTTTGTGTGTGTTTTAAGAACTAACCATTCCTGTAGCACTTAAAATAGAAAAAAGGAAGAATGACTCAGATTCATGTTGAATACAGTGGTACCTCGGGTTAAGTACTTAATTCGTTCTGGAGGTCTGTTCTTAACCTGAAACTGTTCTTAACCTGAAGCACCACTTTAGCTAATGGGGCCTCCTGCTCCCGGAGCACGATTTCTGTTCTCATCCTGAAGCAAAGTTCTGAACCCGAGGTACTGTTTTTCAGTTTGCGGAGTCTGTAACCTGAAGTGTATGTAACCCAAGGTACCACTGCATAGCATTTGAAACATCAATAGAAAAATTAGGTGATCATGATGATGATTGCTGCAAGAATGGTTTCTTTCTTAGCTATATAGGCTTTTTACTTACCTTGAGCAAATACTATTGCATGCATCCCTGTCCTTTCTGAAGCCCACACTCTGGTAGCAGCCATATGTATCTATGATGACAGATCAATGGTAGATTGTGGCATCCTGCATAGTGTTGTACAAATGTTAATTATTCTTTGATGATCTCTCGTAGCCGAGTAAGATTGTCTACCATGAATTTGGTCTTAACAGTGTGTCCGTGACTGTAGAGGCCAATTCTGGATCCACGCGTCCTTCCACAGTGGAGACATAGGTTCCCAGGCAGGAGTTGATCACTGCGAAGATTTGCCTTCCTCTTAGCATGTTTTTCCCTTTCATCCTGAGTTTGTGCTTCTTCAAAGTCCATGACGCCTTTGGTAAAGGCTATTCTCCAATTGGAGCACTCACAGGCCAGTGTTTCCCAATTATCTGTGCTTATACTGCATTTTTTTAGATTTGCCTTGAGAGCATCTTTAAACTTCTTTTGTTGTCTACCGGCATTTTGTTTTCCATTCTTAAGTTGGGAATGGAGTAGTTGCTTTGGAAAATGATAATCAGGCATCCGAACAGCATGCTCAGTCCAGTGAAGTTGATGTTGAAGAATCATTGTTTCTACACTGGTGATCTTTGCTTCTTCCAGTACACTGACATTAGTTCACCTGTCTTCCCTGTATAAATGTTATGGGCGTAGGAGCAGTATTTCTTAATTTTTCTTATTCATGAAAATAAATAATGCCAAATACTCTATTTTGAGAAATTCATGTATTGCAAGGTATTACAAATTACAAATTTTGAAAGCTTTTTCTTTGTGTGTTAGATAGAAAAAGAAGTTAGCGAGTCAATGATGAAATCCTTGAAATATTGTGATGTTGACACAGTGTCTGCACGGCAGCCCCTTTGCCAGTACCGGGCAGCTACAGTTCACCACAGGCTGGCTTCCATGTATCACAGCTGTTTGAGAAACCAGGTATTTGTCCAAAGAGAACCTACAATAATGTGTCTCTGATGGTGCACACTTAATATACATTGGTTAGTATATATCTCATATGTAAACAGAGGGGGCATATTCTTTTATTTTTTAAGCATAGGTTTGTTACATTTTTTAAAGTGTGAATTTCTGACTTGTTGATTTATGATTGATTTATGGCCACATCAATGTCTGCATGACACTATTGGTTTTTCTAGTAGTTGGTAAACTTCTTTTATTCTCAGTAATTATGCTAGCCTTGATACATCAGCAGTAGCCTCATTGTGTGGTACTCTGGCAGGAAGATGTTACTACATCCAGTAGGTTTCTAAACATATTTAATAGCACGTATATTTTTATAAAAAGAATCTTGTAAAATAGTCACAAGGAGAAATTGATTTCATATGCTTCCTGCTAAACATGTATTTTCTGTAAATATTTAAGCAGTTATGTAGTAAGCATTGTTAAAGGGGGGGGATATGCTTTACCATAATACATAAAACTATGCTTTTTATTCACCTGAACAAATTTTAAACAATATTTTTTTGTTAAAGGTTGGTGATGAACATCAGCGGAAACAGCATAGAGTACTAGTAGATCTTCATTACAGTAAAGCTGTGAAGTTTTTTCACCTCCTGAAGGATGTGCCATGTGAGCTTCTTCGCGTACAGCTGGAAAGAGTAGCATTTGCAGAATTTCAGATGGCAAGTAAGTTGAACAGTTGCTCTATTCTGAATAAATATTATCCAAACTTTTTTTCCAAAAATAACTGATGAACAGCAGTTCCCTGGGATGAAACAGAATTTGCTAATTGGTTCACTGGACTTGTCTTAAACTCAAAATATTATTAGACAAAGAATTTGGTAATTGACAAGTACTTAGTATATTAATATCATTCTTATCTACTTCTAGGTCAAAATAGCAGTGCTGGAAAACTAAAGACTTTGTCTGGGGCTTTGGATATAATGATAAAGACCCAGTCTGTGTTTCAGCTCATTAGAAAGGAACTTGTTGCTGAATTTGAACAGGTAAACTACTTATTATTATTATTATTATTTAGATGTTTGTGGTTCTGTCATGTTACATGATTATTTACACTGGTTTAGAATTGAGTAAAATATATGTGTTTGAATGGTTGTGTTATACTTAATGTCTGTATTTTTAAATACCCCCCAGCAGCTTTTTAAAAATTTCCCTATAATTACATAATTACATACATGTGCTGATACTTAACTCTTTGTTTGTTTGTTTGAGTAAATCTGTATACTACTTTTCAAAACCAAAGATGCTCCCCAAAGCAGCTCACAGTGGTTTTTTTGTCCTTTCTGTTTAGAGACTTGAGGATAACAAAAGCAATGTAGAAAGTGTGCCTGCTGAAGACTCATCCACTAGCCTCAATAAGGAGGAAATTGTAAAACTCCTTGGTATATTTGAGTCTCGGTTGTCTTTCCTCCTTCTTCAGTCCATCAAACTGCTTACATCAACTAAAAGGAAAGTTGGGTAAGTCAGTATATGGTACTATTTCTCTTAACTTCTTTACTTTGCATGAATTGTTTTTTATTGTGCTTTGGATCCAAACTATATCATTTACAGAAAAAGAGTAGCAATAGCATTGTTCTGCAGAGTTCACTCAGTGCTATAGCAGATGAGGTTTGTAGTAGTACTACATAAACAGACCCATTTGGGGATATAGTTTTTTGTGCATTTCTTGCACAACCCTGTAGAATGATGTGTAAAAGATTCGTTCCTTGAAGAGCATATTGACATCTAGCCAAGAACTTTGTTTTGTCTTTTAAGCCTATTGTGTATTGCAGGGCTGTCCAACTTCCAAGAGACTGCAGTCTATTCCCACTATAAAAAAACTGCCAGTGATCTACCCAATGGATTGACCAAAGTTGTTTTTTAGGGAGCCAAAGCTGTTGAGCTCCGCCCCCCTTTGCTACATTGGTGAGGGTCCAAAGGCAGACCAGAAGCTAACTCAGACATCCCACAATCATCCAGTATATCGTGATCGACCTGTAGGACACGCCTGGTGTATTGTATTAATTTTATGTTTGGCGTATTTGGGAAAATGTTTTGTGTATTGGCCTTTCGTGGTGATACCATGTATTCAGTTGGGAATGGAGAAGAATTGGCATTGATGTTTCTGTAGGAAAGGCATTACCATTGCTTATGGTGCCTACAAGGATCAAGCAATCTCTCTTTACCTGCACTTACAATAATAAGCCTGCAGCTCAGGAGGAGGAGGGAGGAAAAGAGAGTAAATAAAACGCATGCTGTTGCTGTGAGGTAAAGCTCACTCTGTATGTAAGAGCTGGTAGATAGTACAAAATATCTGTTGTTTTTCCCAGCTTCAAGATTATGTTATGTTCTTAGAGCTAGGCAAAAAGAAAATTGGGTTTTGATTTTTATTTGTGCAAGGAAATTGCAAGAGTAACTTGTGTGCTAAATATAGTATAGCATGTGTGCTAAATATAGTATAGCAACTACAGTATTCCAAGTGTAAAGAAGCTTCATGGGGCAAGATGATCAATACACGATAGGACAGAGTAATAGCAGAGTGTTTGCTGTGCTTCTCTTTTTTCAGTTTTTGTATTAGAATTCTGAGTCTCCACAAGGTGGCAGTATAAATACAGAAGGCCAAAACGTAGGGGTTGTTTTTTTCCAGAGTAACTCGTTTACTATATAATATGTTAGCACTTGTAATTGTTCATGGTGTAGTATATTGTGCAGATTTGGAAAGGCTAATAATGTCATGGAAAAATATTTAGATTTTTGTGTATTCTACTCTTTGAATTACTAGTAATTCTCTTTAGCTTTTTCTAAAGCCTGGGCACATCAATCCCAGCTACATAATTTTTAAATATTAATTTTTCAAGCTTTCCAAAAATGACAGCAGAAGGGTGCTGTAGCCATTTCATTGTATCTGGAGCTGCATCAGAATTGTACTTCTGCCATATCTGTGCTCAGTTTCCTCAACCTCATAATGTTGTCATTTATTATTACCATGTATTTATTTATAGACAAAAATGGTTTCATGGTGATTGCAGGAGTATAAAACAAGTAGAAAACAACATAATTATAATTAAAACAAAAGAAACAAAACCCAGTGATCCAGTATTAAATCTCCCTCCCTCTCTCTCTCTCTCTCTCTCTCTCTCACACACACACACACACACACACACACACACACACACAAATACAAATATACAACAACAGCATGATCACTAGCACAATTTTCAACAGGGTCACACCCGTTTTTTCCTGGCAAAGCTTGTCATGCAGGGCAACCAAGCCAGTTTTAGTGCAGAACTCATGTCTAAACCCTGATTGAAATAGAGCCGGACAATTAAGTCTCATCCAAAAGTAGCCACAGAGAATACTGCTCAAAGGATAGGTTTTGCCTGCATGCTATAATTATCCTTTATTAACTGACATTTTATCATCTTCAGTCTCCTTCAGTGGGTATGATGTCATAGTCCTGCCTTTTTATAAATACAAATGAGTTTTTAGATCTTACTCTATTTTAGTTTTATGTTTGTTTATGCTTACTTCTTGTAAAAAAAGAACTAATTAAAGTTCAATAAGTAATGATAAATGATGCTGTTGTATAGTACCCCTATATATCAACAAGAGCAAGGGCCACTGTAGTAATATTACGGCTGCCAGGGACTGCTGCTCCCTGGGACTATGGTTGGATCTGAGTGTATGGTCACCACTTGTGGTTATGTGTCAGACGCGGGTGGCATTGTGGTCTAAACCACTGAGCCTCTTGGGCTTGCCGATTGGAAGGTCAGTGGTTCGAATCCATGCAACGGGGTGAGCTCCTGTTGTGCAGTCCCAGCTCCTGCCAACCTAGCAGTTCGAAAGCATGCCAGTGCGTAAATAAATACCGCTCTGGTGGGAAGGTAAACAGTGTTTCCATGCGCTGCTCTGGTTTCAGTGTTCCATTGCGCCAGAGGCAGCTTAGTCATGCTGGCCACATGACCCGGAAAAACTGTCTGCAGACAAACGCCGCCTCGGCCTGAAAGTAAGATGAAGCGCTGCAACCCCAGAGTCGCCTTTGAGAGGACTTAACCGTCCAGGGGTCCTTTACCTTTTACCTATGTGTCGGTGCTGGGATATTACCAGCTAGTAATACTGTGGCCTCGTAAGCTTGAGTTGTTAGGCATTTTGTAGGGGAATCAGCTTAATATTGAATGTGGTGATCCAGTTCACACAAGCACACAATTACTCAGGAGTTACTGATTTGCAGCTGAATGTATGAACAGACACTGTTTAAAGCATAATTCTAAAGTGCTGTGTGTGATTGTGTGCTCCTCCACAGTTGAATCACAAAGTCACGATGTGATCATTACAGCATGTTTTTAGTCAGTTGATAAAAGAGAGGCATCCCTAATAGAAAAGAGGACACAAAGGGAAGTAGAACAGAATTGCTATAAAGGACAAAGCACATTGGTATATATAGTCACTGTGCCATGTTGAATGTGTGCTCAGAAAGTTAAATTGGCTTAGAGAGCTAAGGTCACTTTCAACTCCATTGTGAGGCTTCTAATGGACCCTTTGAGTTAATAATTCTGTAGTGAAAGATCAGGGGTGTAAAGAGGTAAGCCTCGTCAGACATTTGATTGTGTTTTCTCCCTTGCTGCTAAATGTTTGGAACACCTGAAGCTTTTAACTATGAGAATGTAACTGCAGACAAATTGGGGTGGGGGGGAGAGTGGTATCTCCAGAATGGGGTGTTTAGCTAGGAGGCTTAGATATTGAGAACTACTAACCAGCTTTATGTATCATTTGGAATGCATATGCATCATCAGTGGAATATCAATGCATAAACCATCTATAATAGAGCAATGCATGGATAAAATAGCTGCTCTCTCAATTATAAAATAACTTTGCTGTTTGGCAATGAAACAGTTTTAAAACACTTATTAAAATAAATACTTAGTTCTGGATATTCTAATAGAATTCATTGGAATTTTAAATTTACTAACTGGTTTGTCTGCATAATAAATAAAGCTGTCAATTCTATTTGCCAAATGTTAGGAATTTAATTGCTTCTTGTTTTCTTGGATCAAAGTATTTCCAGTGGCAATGCTTTCTCTGTATAGTTCTGGATAATGCCAGCTGTGGCAGTTGTTCATTTTTGAGCACATTTTATTAGTGTCTAAAAAGAGATGGAGAGCTTGCACTAACAAAAGCAAAAGATCTAAGCTTATTCAACACACCTGAGTTCCTCTGACAATTAGCATTGTGATGAAGCATGATGAAAGAGAAAGGTTTTTCTAAAAAGTATTAATGTAGAGGTACACAGAGGCTGGTGCATACAATGAGCTATTGTGGTGAACCCAAGTAGTTGAAAAATAAGTTGCCATTAAAGGAGAATGTAATAAATGGAAAGATTCAACCGTGACAAAAGTGAGATTCCATTAGTACTCGGAAAGTGTAAGTGTTGCACACTTTTGAGTTGCACTGATGAGAACATGAAAAACAGGATAAATGGTATTTGCTCCAGGTGGAAGGAGGATGAATTGTGGTCCTGCTGTCTCCCAAGGGTTACTGCTCAGCTAAATTCCCCTCTATTTGCTCACAGTACAGGATCTTCCCTTGCACTTAAACCTATTTTCCTATGATAGAGGTAAGGGAAAGAATATGCTAATAGGCCCCTTGTGTCCGCATGATTAAGGAGGATGTGGTAGTGGTAAAAGTCTAAGTGGATAGGTTTTGATCCAACATACTGCAAGCAGAGTTCTGCCACCCCAAAGAAAGCTGCTCCTAGGGTAAAGGATGTGACACAAGAGGCTTCATTTGGCAGGGCGAATATGTATAAATCAGGGGATCTTCTCTTTGCACAAATAAACATGCATCTCACACACATTATTGCTCTGTTGGAGCCAAGCCATTATCTGCAGACTTTGTTTATGCATCAAGTACTAGATTAACCTAGTTCCCCCCTTTCTTCCAGAGGTAACAGTGAAGAAGAAGAAATTCTTAAGACCAATAAGAATGTTTATTCACTTCTCTTGCGATCAGCAGCAAATAAAAACCTGACTCTGCTAGAAAGAACGGAAGTTGTTTTAAACTTATTGGAAAAGCTGACTCAGGATAATGAAGGCAATATTCTGGGAATTCAGTGACCCACCTTAATGCTTGTACATGTTGCAACCATTGAATCAGTGCCTTGCTCAAAAAGGGATTTGTGGTTCTCTTCCATAGATCGCCTGCTTTATTTATATTGTTCCATATTTATAAGTTTGTACAGTTGGAAAATAAAACTATTGTTACCCTTTGAATGCTGTTATGAATTAGCATATATTTTTGTTTTTACACTTCTGGGTTTGTTTTGAAATGCTCAAAGAGAAATGTACAGTTAGTTTATTTAATCTGAACTGTAATGGGCTTTGTATTGTTGCAAAGCAGAATGGTTTTGCTAACACTCTACTCTGTTTCACCAGGGGTGGGGAACATGGGCCCCCACAGCTGTTGTTGGACTCCCAACCCTCAGCATTTGTGACCACTGGCTGCATTGGCTGGGCCTGATGGGACCTGGAGTCCTGTCACATCTCAAAGGCCACAGATTCCCCACCCTTGTGTTACAGCAAAAGTCCCCTTTGCTGTTTCTTTCCACTATGCATTCTCTGCTAAGCAAAACGTCCGTGAAAGGCACATGCCAGCAGTATTAATTAAAACCATAACATTACAATTACAGATTCCTCCAAAAATGTGCCTTTTGCACTTCAATGCAAACACTTTAAATAGACATTACTCTGAAAAATGAAATGGGCTTGTTTGTACCTCACTGTCACTTTTTCAGAAATGTGAATAAACAGTTGTATATTGAAGAAATTTTATTAAAAATTTATCCCAGTGGTCAGCATTTCATTTCTGTTGTCTCATTTTCCTCCCAGAAAACCTCAAAGGTATCAGTGCATACAAAGGTTACTGTGTTGGTTCTTTTGTTTGTTCTTTTGTAGAGGTTTGTAACACCATCAGGGAACACAAGTTTCTTTTAAAAAGGAATATTGTTCCTGCATTGCACAATAATCTCATTCTGCAAATGGCTACCATTTTGCCTAACCAAATATTCCGAGTAACTTGAAAGATTGCTCATTCTTGCTTTTCCACAGAATCACTTTCTGTTGCCTGCTGTGTCTTCTCTTGTGTATGACCGACAGGCTATATTATCTTGTATTATTTATTAAGCGTCATATGCAATGTTCAAAATTGTGACCCTATGGTGTCTTTGCATGTTCTAATTCGGCTCAGATACTCACTGCATGATATGACTGAGCTACCAACCAATAGTTCTCTCATCTTATTCTGAGTCACTTTGACTCATTGGCTTGGATCCTAACTTTTATTTTGCTCTTGGGGTTTGGGGAACCCTTGAGCGGTGTGGAGAGCTGCAGGCAGCCAAGGGAACATGGTTTCTTCTATAAAGGCTACACTATGTTGGTTATTAGCAACCTGATTCTGTAAGCATTTTCTACATAGTAGCTATATAGATATTTCAGTGAATTATATTTTTTAAATTTGCAGCTCCAAAAAGATGTATAGTCCTTATCTGGACCACCTGGAGTGCATTTTAAGCATCACTTCCTTTGGCAGTTTGATACGGAGTTGTTTCCAGCTGCAGAGAACATTTTGTGCAATGGGACATTTCTCTTCCTTTCTTTTGTCCCCCATATACCCATGGGATATGCTGTGGGCTAAATTGTCTGGGCCTGCAGTGGGAGGGCATAATTGTCCCAAAGCAGGTAGGGAAATCTTGCACAAGATTCTTCTGCCCAATACCTGGTGATTCACCTCCACCCTGTTCTGGATAACACAGCCCACAATGTTTGGTAGGTCCTGCTGAGTATCTAGAGAGACTTTTTGTGGGGGGTGGGGGTGGGGAGAAGGAAAGGGAGATCAAATGAGCTACCTTAACTTGTGCTTGTGCAATGTTCAATACATCTCATGAGCACAAGAACTTTGCTACAGGTAAGCTTGGAGAACACGTGTGGATTTTCCTCTAATAGTTGGAATTTACCTTTTTTAAAAAGATGTTAAATGAAAGGCCACATCATAAGTAGTACCAATAGATTGTATTACCACCAATGTAAATAATGTGAGATAACCAGCTTCGGATAACCAATATGCTTAAGTCTAATTAATGCATGAAGGGGTTAAAACCAGAGTAAGCTCTCCTGCCATGCTTCTTGAAACTTGGGAGGGACTAGCTTATCAAGCCTTTGTTCCATCACTCTACCCAAGATGCTCAGGATGTAAAGAGATCCAAGCTGGTTGTTCCAAGCTCAGATTTCATGGCTCTAACTTTCTTGAGTTCATATATCAATAATTTAGGAACTTTCACCAATGTAACTAAACCAAGTTTTACTGTCTGCAACCTTTTCTGACTGCTATATGGAAAAGCACACGAACCTGACCCGTGGGGAGTTTGTAAGTAAACCATTTTTAACTTAACCAAATGTGTGTCTTTTCTATGCTAAGGGAAGAGGGAAGTTTTGAAACTCACAAGGATATATTTTAAAAGTCTAGCAGCCTGTATTTCCACACTTTAATATTCTGCATATGTGGCGATTTTAAAACCTCTGCTGGGGTTTTTGCCCCAAACCTGGATGTTAGCATTCAGGAATTCTCTTTCCTATACGCCTATTTTATTTTTTGCCGCCAACAAATAAAAGTACTTTACAATTCTGTTGGTGGCGTCTTGCCTACATTATCATCTTAATGAGAGTGATATTTTTGATATTCAGCATTTTATGTCAAGCAGAGTAATAGTGATTGTTTATATGTATGAAATATCTTCCAACTATTATAGATAACTTTATTATTTTGGCTATTGTCTAGAAAGAGATTCTGCTGGTGTTTTTAGAGTGAATTAAGCAACTGCCACATAGCTACTGGATGTTTTGTTGCATGCTGACATTTTCCTTTTATGAGGAAGCCAACTGTTTGGTTTAACTTGTGCTATCTACATAACAACCATCGCCTATATCCTTTTGTGCTTCACCTATTTAAAGGTTAAAGAGAACCAAAGTAAACCTACATACCGTATTAACCATTTCCAGTCAGCTGGATCCAGGTGGTGTTTAGAGTAACAATGGCATATATAACTTGTTCAAGAAGCCATTTTAACTTGCAAAAGATGCTGATAAATATTGTAGCTCATTTTTTCCCAGGCCTTATATTTGACCAGTTTGCAGGGAATCTGTCTTGCAAAACACTTTACCCCCCACTCTGAATGTAGTACTTTAAAAGTTTGCATTGCTTCCTAATAATAGTGTTTAGAAAAGTTGAGTGAAGGCAAAACTGTCCAGAACAGAGATAGGTTTTCCAAATGCTAGGCAAACAGCTTGCTGTAAAACTGAGTTTCTTGCTAAGGGGGAAATTGGCAGGTCTGCATCTCTTCTTTCCTACTCCCTACTGTAGATTTAAGGCTGCAGCTTATTGCTTTGGGGCTCCCATGTGAAGAGGAGCTAAGGGTTTGTTGACATTAGATTTTTTTATATATATAAAAAATCAAACACTTTAACAATTGGGCAGATAACAGGGATTGAATTCATTCTACCTAGCCTGACTCTAGCAGTCTGGATCATAGAGTTATGCTGACCACTGACCGCAAAACAGTTGAATTGCTTTAGTGCCTATAAACTCTGTCCCTTATGTTTTATAAGCAGCAATTCTCTCCCCTCTAGTCTCAGTTAATGCACTTTGGCATCAGAGAGAAATTACACAGCAGGAACTGTCATTACCCAAGCCAGAGTACTAAATAACCGGTGTAATGTACCTTTTCTTTTGCTCTGTACTGGGGTAGTCAGGCATCATGCCTTCTGTCTAAGCAAATTAGGAGGTGATACTGATGTGTAGGCTTGATGCTCTTCTATGGCCTCATTCTGTGTTGTAAGACAGCATTTGTTTCTCCTTTATATTCTAAGCATTATTTATTAAGAGCCATTATGTGAGTTAGCCTAAATGAATCAGTGCATTTTCTTTTAACTTTTCTTTCTGTTAGATGAGCCCTGTTAAATCTCTTTTAATTAGTAATGATGGCTCTACATTTTGCTATCCAGCATATAGGCAACAATCCCAGAGGCATAATAAAATCCACAATATTCAAGTACACAGATTATCTAGTACTGTTGCCTTTGGTAGAGAGCTGATCATGTTAGACAGGACAAGGTTTTAGAATGCTGTAGCAGCCTTCTACTAATAACATTTCACCATAAACCACAGACAAAATGTTGTAGTTCCAACACATGACTGAACAGTAAATGGCTGAAAAGTAGATGGAGGCCCCTTTCCCTTTCTTCAGGCATCTGAAGTGGCTTTGAAAGGGACATCCATGCTTTCATTCTTTTCCGTCTACATGAATATGTTAGTAAGGCAGTAAATGGAGTAGTTTGTTACAACTCCCTTCCCCAGTGGTGGTGCAGCAGTTGTCCCAAGTTCTCCCTATGATTTATGAAAACAAAAATACCCTAGTTGCATCAGACCAGAGGTCCACCTGTACTTTGCACAGTACTGTTTACAAACATGGCTTAGAGTTGATAATCCTCTCTTGCTATATTATCCTACATCTGTGGCAAATTTGGAGGCAGTTTTGTGCAAAACATTATTCCACAGTGGTGGCTGATGCTCATTGGGATTGCTAGGGAAGAATGGAGGCAGGTGAAGCCAAAGCCGACTAATTCTAGTCTTGTCTCCATCTTCTGTTCTGAATTCCACAATAGCAACGTGAGAATCAAGAGGAGGGGACAGTCACCGCCATCCAGTGGACTGCTTGTTATGGAGGAAGGCAGACAGGTTGGTATGGCAGTGCGCCATTTGCCCCAGTGAACAAGATTCCACTGCTATTCTGTATCGCCATCATGACCAAGAACCAGCGAGAGATATTGTCCATGATTCTGAACTGGTCTAAGTACAACAGAAAATAAAATGGAGAGAGAAATGCAAAGCTTACAGGGAGTGTTTCCCTGCTACCTGTCTTAACATTTTGACAGGTCACACAGTAGGACTTTGTAGGTTGATCTGAATGCCTGGCAGTCTCATAGGGGTGTAGTTGGTCCTTCAGATAACATGATCTCAGAACTTTGAGGGCTTTAAAAGTTCAAAACTGAAACTTTAAATGGACCTGGAAATGAAACTGGCAAAAAGTACAGAATTGGCTCCCACAAGCATTATTGCTGCTGCATTCTGTACCAATGGAATTTTTTTAACTGAAAGGTAACCACACATGGAGAGCATTATTCTAATTCATTGTGGATGTAACCAGTGCATGAGTCACTATGGCAAGGTCACATTTCACCAGATAGATTCCAGCCAAACTCAAGCTGTGGCCCCTATCGCAAAATCAATTTAACTAGGTGACCAGTTCTGGCATTGCAAGTGAGGAAAGGAAAAACCTCTACTAACTACTTTTACAGCAGTAGAACCTCTGAAGACTACTGTTCTTGGCAATCTTGAGATCACTTTAGCAAACTGATGTTTTTAACAATTCTAGACTTTTGAATTGTTTGTTTTTAAATTGTGGAAGTGTTTGCCACCCTGGCCTTCTTCAATAAAACATACAAACGGTCTGAATTCACAAGGTTAGGTGCCTATGTTTTTCAAGGTATAACCAGAACATCAAGAATATTTTGTAACTTGTTTATTGGAATTGTGACTTGGAAATCATTCTTTCCCTCTTTCCAATGATGATGCAAAACATGATTTAAACAGGAGCACACAATGTGCTTGTATAAACTGAGATACTTGATATACAGAACACTTGTCAGAAGCGACTAATTTGAAATGAACATATTCACAGCCTATGATCAAATATCCCATTTATATGCTATTATTCACAGTAGCAGAGAACGTACAATTACGAAAATCTGCATAAGGTGTAAAGTACATAGGAGGCAACCAATATCCCACCCCAAGTGTATGGTGGAGTGTCTCTGGAAGTCTGCTTTTAGTCAATGGGCAGATTTCATGTAAAGTGTCCAATCAGCACGAGGGTTTTCACTCATGCAATTGAGCTTTCTCTTTTCTCTTCCCTCTGCTTCCCATCTGAAATTGGCTCAGGGGCGTCAGAAGAATTCCCAGAACAGCACATAGGGGATTAGTCTGTCTGGCAGGTTGCAATGCTTGCACTGACCATAACCCGACATTGAAATCTACCCTGGATTTCTGAAGGGAACTTAGGTGCAATGAAAATTGCATCTGGATTATAGCAACATTGCTTACATTAAATGTGAGACTTAATTAGAAGGCAACAGAACACCTAATGCTTCATTATTACTATTTCTAAAACTTAAAAAAAAAAAGCTCACATTTATCAGGGTAAGATTAGACAAGCTGTTAACTGTGCTAGACGGCTACTATTACTGTCCATTTTAATTTGTATTTAGCACCACTGTTAATACAGTATAAAGGCATGCATTAAGTGTCTTACATGCCAGAGCTGAATATGACTACTAATCCCAATGAATGTTACACCCACTGACAATAAGTTTTCATTTTAGAGATGTCATTTCTGCGAAATAGCGTAATATCCAATGCACACAGCCTTAAAATCCATCAGTTCTACAACTGGAGACTCCTTTTAATGCAAGCAGTGAGATCCTCTGGAGTTGGGCTACTGGCAATGCAGCTCACTGAGACGCCTTGAGCAGTTATAGCTTCAGCTGTTGTTGGACCTATAGCAGCAAACTGAAATGACACTCGTGTTAACACAGTAGAGACCGATACAGTATTGACTTCAGCTCTTGCTATGTCAGCCAGCTGCCTGATAACATTTCCCCATGTAGATCAACACCCTAGCCTTTCAGAAATGTATTCCAAACTCATGTATGTATGTGGTTTTGGATCAAGGGCTAAAATGCATCCCTTTTCATTGGTCTTCAAGTTGCAATAAAGATCTATTGAACTTATTTTCTCATACCAATGAAGTTTGGACTAATAAATGTCAACGTACCCTCTTTAACTTACGTCTGGTACCAATAGCCAGCCTTGAAATTACATACCAAGCAAGTTCGCACTACTAATTCAAAATTCAAGTAGGGCAGGAAATTAAGCCCCATCTTAATATATGCTGTGTTCATGCTCAAACTATAGAATGGCTTTGCTCACACGTCATACTACCCATCTTTAATGGTTTAGTGTGAACATGCTGGTCTCTCCTGTTTTGCTCCTCCTTGTTGGACCCACTTGGTTTAGCATTACATCCAGACCAGATATCATGGTTTGTCCTGCTCAAAGTGTAAACCATTACTAGATTGGGATTGTGGTGCAGCTGGGCAACTCTTTGCACCCTGCCCCCACTATTTATCCCAGGGTGAAAGCAGCTATTGATGCCAATAGAGTTTTCAGGATGGTGACTTTCATCAGAACTGCAACATGGGTGGAAAATATGATCTCCCTCCCTCCTTGTGTTGTGGCCTCAATACAAATCTCCACCCCCACCCGGGTGGTAAAATATAAACACATGTGAATATGCACTCAATGTCACAAGTGGTTGATAATTCATATTCTGCAAACAGTGAAGTGAAGAAATAAATCAAGTGAAATGGTGTTGGCTTCCAATGGCGTGCATGCCTTTGCTGCTTCTTTTCCCTGCAGTTATTCCATAATGGTTGTATATCAAACTCTCATTACTGTTTGGTTGCTAACACACTGAAACATCCATAGATTAATGTGATTCTGAGTCAGTAAATAAGTTCTGTATCCCTCGACACTATGGGAAAAACATGTCCCCCAATTCATAAAGTGTCTTTCTACAAAGGATATTAAGGCAATTGACAGCGAACAGTTGCCACCCACAGCACAAAGTTAAGAGACAGAAAAGCTTAAAGCAAAATGATAATCAGGAATCCAAGACCCTTGAATCAGAATTCTGTTTGAACCAAATGCAATATTACCTCTCCAACAGATTTGTACCTTAATTTGGGGAAAGAGATCACCAGCCAATTCCTGAATCTGCTTCATACAATATTTGACGCCAGATGGACTGAAAAACGTGATACTTGCAGGAATACCCTGTGGAAAAATATTTAAAAGAGAAGGAGAGCTGATATTTCTTCCTGGTTGAATCTCTTTATGTATGTTCAACCAGGGTTGTTTTTTTGTTTTGTATTCACCATGGCCACTTTGCAGCTTAAAAGTCGGTTCTGAAGTTGCTGCAGTGGATATTACAGCTAGCGGGGGGCTCGTACCACATGTACATATAGCAACACAACATCACATTTCATTTGCTGTTTTGCCCAAGAATGCATGAAGTTTGATTTTTCCAGTTTGATTGGGAGGAGGTCACTAGAAGACCAGGCTAATGTTTCCTGAAAGAAGTCCTTTTTATTCCTGTCTACAAACAATTCCTCATAGTAACATAGTTACTTAAAGTTTTGTAAATGAACCTCACATTTCTAATTGTAATAGGCAACTGCGTAGCTTGGGTTCTACAGTCAAGATCCCACAGCCAATATAACCTCTCCTTTCTAATGCACTTTTAATCAAACAAAAATCCTTCAAGGGCTCCCTTCTAAACTTACTCTGGGCTACTGATCCAACACCAACTATATGCTCCACAAATGACCATGCAGAGTCAAGCATTCAGTTGTGTGGAAGACAGCCTGCTGTGGCATAAAAAAATATACGTGAGCTAGAGAACTAATCTCAACAATGGCATTAGAGTAAGATCTCTCCTAAAAGTATTCAGCATGGAAAAAAACAGCATCCCTACAAAATTCCTAATTCCCACTGAGGGGCACGGGCGGAGATGGTGCAAATGAACAACCTGTGTTAACCCTTTACATTCAACAGTGTGAATTCCCTTAGAACAATAAATTCTTTACTGCAGAAAGGGGAAAAAAAGATTTTTCTACAAAAAAAAAGGTTTTAGGAAGTACAAGAAGACGACAATAAGATATAACCTCAAGTCCACCTAATTGGCAGCAGCCCCATTTACTTTAGTGGGACCCTTCTAATTCTAGATCGCTGCCATAACCCCTCAAAAAAACCCCATGAAGCTGGGAACAAAACACACAAGTTACCTGGAAGGTAAGATTATTTGATTTCTTTCTGTGAGAGCATCTAAAATAGGTTGAACATCTCAATTGCAGGAGGAAAAAAGATATATGTCTATACCATTAGTGTGGTAAGAAATGTTCAAGGATTATATAACATAAAACCATCAATAGGTTTAAGAGCTATTGTGTTTCGTATCACAAAAATGTCTGGGGACCACTTCCATTTTTATCAAACAAATGCATTATATCTAAGATGACTAAAAGCACAGCCAGAGGAATTCTGCCTCCACAGCTAGGGGAGGGGGGTGGAGAAATTGCTTAAGCAGCTTGCTGGTTGTCCTTGGCAATAGTAACTTGACAGACAACCAAGAGAACGTAATAAAAATAATCATAATGTAGATAAATGCTCACTTGGGAAGTGAGATACCTGTTGTGAGAAATAATTCCTCAAGGAGTCTTGAAGATTAAGATGTTGAGTAGTTTGGTAAACAGTAAGGCCCTCTAGTGCAATGCCTGCAACAAAACAGTGAAATATATTACTGATTAAGCTTATCGGTTTCAGTTAAATCAAAACACAAACATTTAAACTGATGTCATCCTGAGCATTAATACTAACATGGATGGGTATCTAGCAGATGCTGCCCCAAATCTAAAATAAACAACCACCTCTTTGTTTTGAAAACAAAATTATTTGGGGGAAAAATATTTTAAGGGTTTATTGTCATTTACAATAAACATGGAAAGACTTGCTAACCAAAGCATATGAGATAAACTGAACAAAAATCCCAGACAACACTATGTACCAGTGTGGTGTAGGGGTTAAGAGCGGTAGACTTGTAATCTGGTGAACCGGGTTCACTTCCCCACTCCTCCACATGCAGCTGCTGGGTCACCTTGGGCTAGTCACACTTCTCTGAAGTCTCTCAGCCTCACTCACCTCACAGAGTGTTTGTTGTGGGGGAGGAAGGAAAAGGAGATTGTTAGCCGCTTTGAGACTCCTTAGGGTAGTGATAAAGCGGGATATCAAATCCAAACTCCTCCTCTTCTTCTACCTGAATATTTTTCAAGGGCTAAAAAATGCAGGCACTGTAACTGAATATGCTATGCCAAAATAGCATGCTGAGTCATCATCACCAACCCCAGGAACCATCTTAATTGATTATTTAAATGGCAGTGACCTGCCTTGTTGTGCTTGCCACAGAAATGGGTGAGGATGACTTATTGTATATGGGGATGATGTATAGGTTCACTTACGCACCACTCTTCTGATTTCAACAAAGGCAAACATTGGGCACACACTGAAACTTTGCAGGCTGCATTAGGATGAACTTGCCCCTTGGACTGATCCAGGTTGTCACAGAAAGAGCATCAACATAAACTGCCCAGTAGCACCACTGAGATGGCAATGTTTGATGGAGCCCACAAGTATGCAAAGCCGGTTATTGGTCTGATAATTGGCACTGTCTCTCATGCACTCTGTGTTTCTCAAATTGAAGGACCAAACTTCAAAAATACTTTAAACGATTTAAATCAAACCTTTCCCACTGAGCATTGTTGGAAGTGTTTCCCTTTTGAGAGCCCCGCAAGGAAAAAACAGAGGCAATGAATTGGGTGACTCCCCTGTTAGAAAAAATAAAATAAAAATATATTTAATTCATGAGGTCATTTTAAGCACAAAGTCCCCAAATAACACTTTTAAACCATCACACTACAAACACACAGTGAAAAGTATGATATGTGTTACTTGCACCCTTAAGACTACTGAAAATAAAGTTCAAGGCACATAGGTGTTTCACATATAGCAGAAGCTCTTTAGCATGTTTTTTTATTTAAAAAAAACAGGTTTCCATTGCCAAGACATGGATATTTTGGCTAAAGAGTTCTGGCAAAAAGATAAATTGCCTTGCTATGCTCCATTTCTTTGCTATTCAACAGAGAGCTACCAAGCACAATGCTTCCAATCATCTTAATAAGTTTTCTCCCTCCCCTTCAGTCACTTGGCATTCCTCATACTTGTTTAGCTATTTAAAGACTCATTTCAGCTGAATAAATTTGCTGTCTGACATTCCACACAAAGGAAAGGTCAAGGCTGTCACAAGAAGGAACAGGGTGGTTTGAAAAGATGTTCCAGATACAAGTTGTCTTATTGGGGATATATAACACACCCATTTTCTGGTCTTTAAAATGGACATTCACTTTTTTGAACCCCTACAAGTTCTCTTAGGGGAACCATCACACAAATGTCCTCAGACAGACCTTCTTATTGGAGAACAGTCATCCTTGCATACATTCATACAACATAACTAATATGTTTTTGTAAATCAATTTATGGAATTCACTGTTGCAAGATGTGCTGGTAGTCATTAGCTTAGCTGGTTCTAGAAATGGATTAAGACACATTCATGGAAAGGAAGTCTATCAGTTGGCCACAAAAACTATACCTCTGAATATCAGATGCTGGGGACAAAGAGAAGAGGGCTGTTGCCCTCATATCCTGTTTCCCAGAAGAATCTGTATGGCCACTGTTGGAAATTCAATTCTAGACTACATGCAGCAGGGCTCTGATACAGTCGTACCTCGGACATCGAACAGAATCCGTTCTGGAAATCCGTTTGACTTCCGAAACATTTGACTTCCAAAATGTGGCTTCTGTTTGGCTGCAAGAAGCTCCTGCAGCCAATCGGAAGCCACGGAAGCACCATCAGGCATTCAGCTTCCAACTGAAGGAACACTCACTTCTGGTTTTCAATCATTCAAGCTGACTGTATTCTTATAATGATCTGGTGTTTTCAAGAGGCTCATGGTTCACACTCCATTACCCAACCACAAGCAGAGAGATTATCCTGGAGCAGAAGAAGGGTGTGGTCCTTTGCCTAATGTGTACAGCTTGCTTCTTCAGAACTGATTTAGGAAACGCCAGGGAGAAATCACATGGCTCCTACTGAAACCTCATCTCTATTCTACTCATTCTTCTTAAAGGCACTTTTGTGCCCTCACCCCCCAGCACTAGATAGATAATATAGATTTATGTATATATTTCTGTTGCATGCTTGCACATTCAGGATCGGTGCATACACATATTAAGAAAACATGTGTTGCTCTTCTGAGCCAAGCTAGGAATGCCTGGAAGGTTTGCCCATGAAATTAGGTGATCTGGACTGGAGAAAGTGGAGGGGTAAAACAATTTAAAATTCTCTGGTCCTAGTATTTGCAGAGGATTTGCTTTTTTCCAAATTGTTTTTAAACCAGATAAAAGAAAACATGGTTTGGGGTGTTTATTTTAAATGCTACAAGTACATTCTTGCCTCTTAGTCTTAAGCTCCTGAGTTTTCTCCAGGGTGAAGAAAACAGGCTCATTCCAGTAAAATCAAGCTGAGGGACCTTATTAGGAGTCTGCACAGATTTATCAGAATAACCTAATTGCAAACTGAAGTTTTATTAGGCACCACAGATATGTTAGTAATAAATTACAGGAAGCAACAAAGGACTTGAGACAGAATACAGAGCGTTATTTTGAGAGATAAAAGCAAAATATGTTAATATCAATCCTACCAAGGCTTGTGTCGGTTAATTGAAATGCCAATGTGATATCTGAAAAGTAATGCTAATCTTTTTAAACTTGTGTTTACAAAAAAGAAGAAGAAAAAGAATAACAGCCTGATAGCTCTGGCCTACGTAAGAGGCACCAGCCCCGGCAGTATCTCCTTCTTCTATAACAAATTATGCAGAGACATTAAATTCTAAAAGACTTTAAGATCTGTCTCGAGGAAAAAGACTAACACTACCTATTTAATTAAGGAGCCAGTTGATATATTTGCCCAAGCAACTCAGCCAAAGTCAGCTCTGAAGACAATGCAACTATTTTCATACAGGTCCTACAGGATTCTGGACTTTTCATTATCAACCAGGATAGAAAAATATGCATTCTGTATAAAGCATAACACCCCCCCTTTTTTTAAAGAAAATGTGTATGACCATAGAAAATGATAAAACAATAACCCAATCATTGAAAAATGTTATTCTGCTTACGAGAACAAATGTATTCAGCTAGTTTTTCAGCATTCCCAGAGCTCTCTCCTTGTGATGTGAGACCTATTTCAGCCACTGAAAGAAAGAGAGAAAAATGATTCCTTAGAATGAGTTTAAAGTTCTACTGAGTCAGTGAGGATATTCGTATTTTAAAAAATACTTTGTAACATTATCATAAATCAATGTTTAAAATGCGCTTTATAGAGATACATACAAGAGAGAATTATAATTTGCTATCCAACGACGTGATCGACGGGATGGAAAACAATGCAACAGTACAGCCACGTAACAAAACAGGATTCGTCTTTGTAGCCCAGATTCTGATAACTGGAACACTGCCCCAAGGAGTGCACCAAATACTTTTTTGATCCACAGCAGCTGAAGCAATGCAACATGAACAGCATGTATAGCAGCAGTGCTTTGCTTCCACTTCTATTCAAGATGCTCCTACATGGGTAGGGGTTCCTCTGCCCATCTCTAAAAATTGCCTGTTAAAGATGAATGTTTGCTAGTGTGATGTAGGACTGGAATTAGAGAAACAGGTTCAAACTGCCATAAAGGGCAAGCTATAAATGTGATAAATGACAGTTTGCCCTTGAATCCTCCTCTCTCTCATTGTAGTAAGAAGGACACAAGTATTTTGTGTGTGTAAAGAGAAAGTAGGAGTTTGTGGTAGAATTAGGAGAGGGATCTGTCTGGAAACCTAGGTTCAGAGTGGAAGGATTTAAATGTAAAAACCCAGGACCCTGTGCTGTGCCAGGAAGCATACTTGCAGCTCATGCAATCAATTGAGTATTGGAATAACAAGCTCTCTCAATCTCACAGCAGAAACAAGGTGCACTGCAGCATTTTGCAGGAGCCGCAGTTTCCAAAACAGTCTTATTCAAACCACACTACAGCCATGAGTCATAGCACAGCACAGCATATATATTCTCCGTTTCCACCTCCTGACCTGCACTGCTAAACCTGGAATTATGCAAAACTGATGGACTTTTATAAAAGAGAATGAGCTGAGTGCCACCAGTGCTTGGTAACACCACACTAAATTCTCAGGTGGTCCATCCTGGAGGTTTCACACAGATATTAAGTGAAATCAAAAGCAGATAAAATGTCCAGAAGAACCAATGGGGCTGTACTTTCCCTGGAGGTCCCTAGACTGACCAGCAAAACCAGGGCAATATCTATTTTATGCTCGAGTCAGACTGTCCCAGCAGGACTCAAAAAGGCCATGGAAACTCTCTTCACTTAAGAGTGTGCTCAGTTACCTTCTCAAAGAATGGAAAATTTGAAAGTGAACAATAATTTTAAAAAATATTCTGGGTCGGGGAGATTTTTTTTTTTAAAAAAAAGAAAACATCTGTTTCTTTTAAAGAAGATGACATTCTGCCTACTCTGAGAAGGGCATTAATCCTGAGACAAAGAGGCCAGTTTCTTCCAGCACCCAAGGCTGGGATCCAAGATACACCTAACTGGGAGTAAGCCCTATGGGGCTTACACCCAAACAGCCATGTGCCAGGCACCGTCCCATTCTCAAGCGAACCTAATCAGAAGTGATCCAATATATTTTCACAAGATGGTGAAGTTCAGTCTGTAAGTTCAGTTTCCATTGGCTAGAACCAATGGATCTACAGTGGTACCTCGCAAGACGAATGCCTCGCAAGACAAAAAACTCGCTAGACGAAAGGGTTTTTTGTTTTTTGAGCTGCTTCGCAAGACGATTTTCCCTATGGGCTTGCTTCGCAAGACGGAAACGTCTTGCAAGTTTGTTTCCTTTTTCTTAACACCGTTAATACAGTTGCGACTTGACTTTGAGGAGCAACTCATAGAACGCGGTGTGGTAGCCTTTGTTGAGGTTTTTAAAGACTTTGGTGATTTTTGAAGCTTTTCCAAAACTTTCCCGACACCGTGCTTCGCAAGACAACAAAAATCGCAAGACGACAAAACTCGCGGAACGAATTAATTTCGTCTTGCGAGGCACCACTGTACTGCCCCTTACAGCAGTAAGTCCAAAAGAGCTCCCAAGGGTATGATGTCCTCCCAGACTTATTCACACCAGCCACTGGTTTAAAGGACCTTGTCAGGTGGGCCTTCTATAGCTGCTCTTGCTCATATGATTGCTTGCTCCCTGGCTCCAATCCCGGAAACCTGTGCTTCCTGCCTTGACAACAACCTAGGCTGCTTATGGCTCAGCATCTTGGCATGAGTTTAGATTCAATCCATTTTCATTTCCTGGTCAGATGGCATACAAGCCACTTCTAAGATTTTTGCTGGCTGACAAATATTTTGACCATTAAGGAGTAAATAGTAGGGAACTAGAAATAAGCATCAGTATCTTTTGCAAAGTATGGTGTATAGCTTTTTATTAATATTTTTATAGGCCTTTTTAAAATGTGGCTTACCTAGTTCAGCTGTAGCTTTTCCCACCACATAAATGGATTTGGTATTCCACTTTTCTCTCAGAGAATTTTTCCAAACTGTGAAACGTTAAAATTATGTGTAAGCATTTTGCAATACAGTATAAATACTAAAATGCTGATTTGGACATGCCCCACCAAAGAATGTTTATTTGAAAAATATGTGAGCTCAGCAAAATATGAATAACTATTACTACAGTATAAATGTCAGTGACTATGCAAAGCAAACAAAAATGTGTTTTTGCTCAGTACTCCAATATGCTTCGAAAATTTGGATGGATAGATGCTTCTTTCAGTTTCTTGTCTGAAGCTGCTTTCTTAATCCATATATTTAGAGTGCTTCCAGATGGGTGTTCATTGTGGGATGGGTGCTGCTCATGGACTCAGTTTTTTCACAGCGTCCACATGACGCTGCTGGCATCAAAATACTGACATTAACACAGCACTACTCAAAAGAAAAGGAAGCTAGGGCATGTAATAAGTTCCTAAGCAATGCATTGAATTCATACCACCACTCATAGGTAACTGCATATCCCAGTACAAAAGGATGTGGTAGAAAACTTCTGAAAATATCTGATCCAGTGACTCACTAGGATTGCAATCCTAACTCCACTAACTGGGGCAAGTCCCACTGAATTCCATAAGTCTTCCTTTTGAAAAGACATGGTTAGGATTCTGCTGTAGGATGGTAAACACTTCCTCCCCCCCCAAAAAAAGAATGATGGAGAATTCTAATAGCCCTTCAACTGTTTATACACTCAAGGGCTTATTTTGGGGGCGGGGATGCATTTTAAGGCATATACAGTGGTTCCGGAGCCCCGTTCGCATCCTGAAGTCTGTGCAGGTCGCGATTTGCCGCAGCTGCGCATGTGCGTGACATCATTTTTAGCATCTGCGCATGCGCGAAACCCAGAAGTAACGCATTCCATTACTTCCGGGTCGCCGCAGAGTGCAACCCGAAAACGCTCAACCCGAAGCTACTTTAACCCGAGGAATGACTGTATCTCAAGAGAAAACAGTAATTCACCATATTTAATGGTATTGTCTAAATTCCCACTTACCGTTTTTTTTAGCATTATCATCCAGACATAATCTGAAGGCTTCTACAGCTCTTGGGCTGGTAAAAATTAGTCCAGAATACTGTTGAGGGTGAAAAACCTATTCATCAACAAAAATTGAGAAAAATAAGTGTAAGTTAACGATGAGAAATCAAACACAATAAAAAGTCTTCCATCTGCTGCTTTTTAAAGCAGCAGGTGTCCTTAGTAGTATTTTCACCAAATTACTAAGTCATGCATTGACAATACTGTCAAGTCTTTTTGTTTGTTTGTTTGTGTTTTCTATGGTCTGAGTTCAACAGCAGCCTATCATTTTACAATATAACTTTGACGTGTTGGTGGCATGACCTACAGCTGACTTCAGGTCAGTAAGAAAACAATTGCTTGATGGGACTTCAGAATCCAAGACTCTGGAGTTGTCACTGAGTGTCCACAGCCTACTGTAAAGTTACCCTAGGATAGCAATAGATGTTATTGTGTGATTCATTGCCTAAAGGGAACTGTACCTTGAATAACTGACAAGTGAATTTTTGATATCACTGTCTGTATGCCTGCCTAGACATATTCTTTCATAAGGAGGAAATCATGTGTGTTTAAGTTGGGCAGCCTCAAGAACTCTAAATTTTGAGAATCCTTGTCGACAATAATAGACTCATTGCTTTCCCCACAACTAATGGGGCAGGAAAAATTATTGTGGAACATCATAATAACTGTTCAACTTTCTCTCGGCAGAATCAGTGAGGTGTAGAACAACAAACTACCACTAAAAATCTGATGCTCTGCTCTGCTGAACTGAAGCAACAGCTTACAAGGTTAGAAGAATGGATCTCAGCACCCGCAGATCAATACAAAAACTAGGTTCTAGCCTTAGCCTTTGTACACAAGCAAGGGCACATTTTACCAGATGAAAACTGACCCCATAAAACATCCACGGTATGCTGTAGCAAATGGAGTTCTGGTGAAGCTTCCACCAGCTTCCCAGGGGTCTTGGTTTCCCCTACAAAGCTTAAAGGATGCCATAGCGATACTCAGCCAGAATATGTAAATCAAGGATCACCAACATGGTGCCCTGCAGGTGTTGCTGGATTCCAACTTCCATCAAGCCCAGCCCTCATGGCCAATGATCAGGGATTATGGAAGCTGTAGCCCAGCAACATCTAGAGGTCACTAAACTGGCTACACCTTATATAAACCCTCAATGTAATTATGTGTCCAAGTCAATTACGGTGATCCAAAAAAATAGCCCTAAACATGTAACTAGGGCTTTCCTATTGTAACCTATAGAAAGGAAAGGAGCTCTGTGCACTCTCAGAACTTCACTGGCCATAGCCAGCAAAGCAAACTCCAAGGACATTCAAGACTCTGGACTATGGCTCACTGTCTTGGAAATGTGAAAAGGCTTAGTCTGAAACAGAAATATTACTTAAGCTTAAAAATACCATTTATATATAATTCAGTTACATAGTTTAGATACTGATATGGCTTTATAGTCTAAGCCTTCAGCAAGCATCTACAATTCCAAATCCCATTATCAAGCATATTTGTTTGCATGCTTGTGTGTGTGTGTGTGTGTGTGTATATATGTATACAGAGAGTGAGAGAGAAATCTCAAGATTTATGTTTCTTTTAAGCATCCCTTTAGAGTACTATTTATATAATGCAAGTGTAATTACAGAAATAGCACCATCCGGACACTAGCTCAAGGGAACTATACCTGTGATCAACTGTGGCTCATAATCCTAGCTGTGGGCATAATCAGACTCAAAGCTGGCTCACTTACTGATTGGTATTTTTTCTACATCCCAGTAGCTTTGCTTTTGCAGCTGAAGGGTTTGGCAAGAGATATGCGAAACGAAAGAAACCTGCCCCAGAGTAACCTCCAAGAAAATAAAATGCATTTCATGCATTTCCAGTGTGCTAGGAAAGGCACACTGGCTTCTGTTCCCCTATTTAAATGGAGGTTAGCAGCTCTTTCCTTAGCTTCAGAAGCACGTGCTCAGCTAGTAATGAGGTTTAATTACTCAAATTTATAAACAAGTAATTAAAAAAAAATTTTTTTCCTTTAATCCTGTGGCAGAAACAAGTGTCCTTGTCAAAATGGTAGCATCAAAGCAGGATCATCCACAGCTCAACTCATTGCAATTTTGTCATCACACTACTTAGTATTTAAAGCTCTGTTTCAGTGACTGACAGGCCCTATAAGACCATTCAGTTCACAAGCTCATAAACATACTGAAAAAAATATTCATTTAAGTCACTTAGATACCTAAAAAAGCAGGAATTTTTTTTAAAAAAATTCTCATATATTTTAATCCAGGTTGTCAGGGCACTAAATTCACCTTTGAGATTTAGGATGCAGCTTTAAACATATGTAAGTAGAAAGCAACCCTTGGGGCAATGAATGGGACCAACTTCCAATTAAATATTCTTTGGAATGGAGTATAAAATGGTAAAAGAAATAGGGCTCTTACAGTTCCAAAATGCATGTGTTAACTGAGCGTCACATCTAAAACCCCCAAACTGGTAAACAAAAATCATATTCAAAGAATATATCATTTCTTGCCAAACTTCCCCAAGCAAAACAAAACATGAATGGCAAGGACTTTAGATAAATTCAGTATGCATGCAGTATTTGCATGTGAACACATTTTTTCACCATTGTTAGATAGTTGTATTTTATCATCTTTGCAGGAGTATCAATTCTCATGGAGGTCAAGCCAAATAGTAAGGTTTATCCTTTCCTCCACCACGGACTGGTCTCTCCGCTGATACCAGATGCCCCTATGGCCAAAAGCAACTGAGGTTCAAATAGGGCAGAGACCCCTTCTAGTCAACATAATGCTATATACCATGGCAACCTACATTCCTAATCCAACAAATGGGTTTTTAAAAATTAGATGCTTTTTTTTCCCCCCTGAACAGGCTATTAACAGGAAGAGAATGTTAAGACTTACCCTTTCAGAGAAAGCTTGGAGAGATGTAAATTCAAATGCTAAAACTGGGATCAAAGTTGCTTCAAGCCCATGCAAACCCAGTTCCTATGAATGAAAGGACATAAAATTTTGGGATAAGATAAGGATTGACACATTAAAATTATTCTTAACATTTAAATCAGCTAGGTAACTTAGGCTGGGAGTAAATGTCACGGAAAACAATTAGATTTACTTCTGAGTAGACATGTATAGGATTGTACTGTTGTTTAGTGGTAACAGCATAACTTGGAAGAAATCATGATTAGGTAAAAAAGCAAACTTGCGTTTTTATTTAAAAGCCTGCTGCATTGGACCAAGTGCCTTAAGTTAGTGAAAAAATGCCCCTGCGTGCATAATATGTTCATAATTACAATAATAATTAATTATGCTAGAGAACATGCAACAGCTGCCCTACGGTGTAAAGCAGTTGTCCTTCAAAACAGGCCTACATTTGGTTATATGTAGACTAAATAGCTTTGCTGTCCTTGCAATCATGCAGCCCACTTTAAGAATAATTATGGAACTTCATATCTGCATGATTCCCTTATGTACTTCACGCACCGGTCTGTGTGTAACATGGATAAAACAGCAGATTATTGTTGCATGTTTCCTAGCGACTAGAAGTGGTATTTTAATGTACTCTTCATACAAGTGAAATGAAACCCCAAATAAATAAATAAACCGCACAGCTGTTGGCTTGGTTTACACCTAATGCTAAACCATGGTTTAGAATCATGAGGAGCAGCTGCAGCAAGACTTGAGCTTGCACATGCCTTCGTTCCCCTTCCCTGACATAGCTGTAAGCTTCAACAATACATTCAACATTACATTCAACTATCAGAAATGTGTTTTTCCTTGTGAACCCCTATCTTGCTTCAGAAGATGCAGGCATTTTTAGCGAGGCCACTTCACATCTTAAGGTATTGTGGGGGTATATGGGAGACAGCTATATTTTACACCAACATATGCTTCCTTAGAATCCAAACTATATGCTAACTACCGAAGCTGTACAGATCAGTTTGAAACAATGCTGTCCATCATCTGTTTTCAGGAAACAATTGCTACCAGGCAGAGAAACTTGACCAGTTTTTTCCCCTGTAGCAGAGAAGCTTGAATATATGAAGTCTGAGAATATAGTACACTTGAAGGGTATATTATTAACCTTCTGGGTTACTAACTTTAAGCATTCCCCTCCAGCTTAAACTGCAAACGACTCTTTCCAGAGACGTAGCGGGAAGAGAGGACATCTATCTGGCCTGCTGCCCAACCTGGCAATAGCTATACTTTTTATGACAATGCAGTTGTACCCTATTTATGATCTGCGGACCAGTGGTTGTCTGTGGCTATCTGAACAGGTCCATTAACCTAAAATGCAGAACTCAGAGTTAAGTTGAATGACAATTCAGATACAAATAGCTAAATTTAATCTCTTTCGAAAGGTTACTTACTTTTATATATGGATCTGGTCCGTTTTCACTTTCTTTAGGCTCTTTCAGCAACAGAACTTTCATTGTTTACTGGAGAATACAAAAACACAACACAAAATCGTATCTAAATTGGATCTAGAGGAGACAGTGTCTGCATTAGTTGAATATCACAGGAAACAGGACAATTAACAACTGCACTGAAGGGCCGTTGGTTGCACAGTGAGTAAGCAGCTAATGTGCATTCTCTGGGCAGGAACATCTACCCTGATAAGGCGAACAAAATGCATGTTGCTTTCAAATGATATGGCAAGGAAAGTAAGAGTGATAAGACGGAAAAGGCATTCATTTTTCTTTTAACTCTACTAGTGCTAAAATGACAAACCTTCTTAAAAGTCTGCCAGACCAGCAGGACTGCAAAAATCCATGTAATTGTTGAGAGAATTATTTTCCAGTACAGCTATCATTTAAAATATTTGCACATGCACTACCTAGAAAGGCCACCCTGAATTATTTTGTTGCCCTGCACAAAACGGGTAGGGCTGCACCTGCCATGATTTCCGACTACATTCCTGTTTAAATATCAGCCTATAAATAAGTTACCCCCCTCCCCACAATGCACTGCAGAATTTTCAAATCTGCAGATGTCCAGCAAGGGACACCACTTTTTTGCTTTAAATGTATTCTGAAGAGAGAGGGAAAGAACCTGCCAAATCCATATCCAATGAAGGTTCTCTCACATTTTCTTCACAAATGTAATAGTGGCACAGGCTGCAAACCACCAGGCACACTAGCTAAGGTTCAAACTCCACAAGCAATGTATCCAGGTGTGCCAATTTTATTTATACAGGTCACTGACCCAATTCAAACTGCACACAGAATTTACACTGGAGATTGCATGCTTGATAGTATCCACATATAAAAACCTCTTGTACAGTGGTACCTCGGGTTACATACACTTCAGGTTACAGACGCTTCAGGTTACAGACTCCGATAACCCAGAAATATTATCTCGGGTTAAGAACTTTGCTTCAGGATGAGAACAGAAATCATGCAGCGGCAGCAGGAGGCCCCATTACCGTAACTAAAGTGGTGCTTCAGGTTAAGAACAGTTTCAGGTTAAGAACAGACCTCCAGAACGAATTAAGTTCTTAACCCGAGGTACCACTGTACATGGAAAGCTTAGACACATCAGGACAAAGTTAGTTGAGGCTACAGACTTCTCTTTGACATGTGACCTTTCAGTAAGATGATTTTTACATGCATGCATTTTTAAACCAGCAACCCCTCTGTATTCTGAGGTAGTACGCTAAGGGAACAACCCTAAGGCTAGATCTGCTACAATGTGCAGGTTAGGATTCAGCAGATCTCCAGCTGAGCTGGGGGTTTTTTGGCTCAGCTGGGCTAAGCCTGCATAAGTCCCCAACTCCAGCTCAGCCAAAGATACACTGTGCTAAGTCCTTCATCCCAGCTCAGCAGTTACCCAGCTGGCTGAGCCCAGTGGAATTTCAGCCTGTGTAAACCCAGAGGGATGGGACTTAGGCTGGATCCTAAGCCCATTCAGCAGGGTCACATGACTTGGGAACACTAAGTTAAGCTGACAAAAAGGATGATGTAACTCAAGCTCTTGTTTTCCCTCTGCCAGGCTTTGGTCAAGCCCAGCCAGCAGTAGCCCCACACCTGGTCAGAGTTTGGATCTGGTACTACGCCAGCGTAACTAAAACCGTCTTCTCATTCTTAGGACTGCTTCCTAGCACAGCTGTGTCTGCTCGTTTGAATTGGTTCCCAGAGCATCTAGGTGCAACTGCATTAAAGGGTCACAAATAGGCCAAGCTCCATCACTAGGCTAACTGTGGAATACATGTGAATGTTGCATTATATTTAAGATAATCGGTAGGAACTAAACCCTACATAAAGTCAATCAATTGTGAGGCAAAGTGGCCCATTAAATTGTACTCAAGTGTCTCTCCATCATGTATCTTACTTCACCACTGGGAAACAAAAATAAGTATCAGTGCAAGTTTTCCGAATATTTTGTAAATCAGCATTTCAGGTATTTATCATTTCAGAAGCTAAATATATTTCAAAATAGACAAATTAAATGGAAATATCCCATGAGCTCAGAGATAAATTAATTCAAACCATAACCTAAATGTTATTTTCACACTGATCCCAGAGAGTGCAATGTATAGAAGACAACTGATAACAGGATGTATGCTTTTGAGTTTGAAGAGGGATCTTTTGCCAGGATAAAAGAACAAAGGCATTCTGAGAACAGATATTAAGCTGCAACATAAATCATTTCTTGAAAAACAAAACACCCAGCTTCGAAACCTGTAAATATGCTGGTTGTTGACCAAAGTCACCCAGTTTAATGGGACTCTGAAAACAATTTCTGGATTTAAAACCAAAACCAAAACTCTATTCAAATCCACAGGCAAGGCTGGAAAAATCCCCTAAAAATGTAATGTGGCTGCCCATTTTCAGGGGACACAACTCAGGGGCAGAATGGATATATACAGTGGTACCTCAGGTTAAGAACTTAATTCGTTCTGGAGGCCTGTTCTTAACCTGAAACTGTTCTTAACCTGAGGTACCACTTTAACTAATGGGGCCTCCCACTGCCGCCGTGCGATTTCTGTTCTCATCCTGAAGCAAAGTTCTTAAGCCGAGGTACTATTTCTGGGTTAGCGGAGTCTGTAACCTGAAGTATCTAACCTGAAGCATCTGTAACCCGAGGTACCACCATACTGGGTTTCCAGCACAGAGGCAGATGTAAAGGTAAAGGGACCCCTGATCATTAGGTCCAGTCGTGACCGACTCTGGGGTTGTGGCGCTCATCTCGCTTTATTGGCCGAGGGAGCTGGTGTTTGTCTGCAGACAGCTTCCTGGTCATATGAACCAGAGCAGCGCACGGAAACACCGTTTACCTTCCCACCGGAGTGGTACCTATTTATCTACTTGCACTTTGTGCTTTCGCACTGCTAGGTTGGCAGGAGCAGGGACCAAGCAACGGGAGCTCACCCCATCACGGGGATTCGAATCGCCAACCTTCTGATCAGCAAGTCCTAGGCTCTGTGGTTTAACCCACAGCACCATCCGCATCCCTGAGGCAGATTTAGGGAAGCGCAAATGGTTCGCCCACACTGAACGCAGAGCCAAGAAGGCGTCACAGGGGGCACCAGAACAATGACGAACAACAGAAGGTGAGAGGCAGGGGAGGGGTGCCAAATATTGGCATCACACAGGACACTGCTGAAATTTGGAAGCCCAAAGTCCACCACTGCCCAGCATCTCAAAAGGCCTTGGGCCCAAAGGCTGGGAAACACATTGGTCCAAGACATTAGAGAGCTGCTACCAGTTAGAATAGAATAGGCAAGACTAAGGCTAGATAAATTATTAGTCAGATGCCATATGACAGCTCAATACCAAATTTAATTATACAGCTCTGGTGCCTCATTACATAATGGTGATTCTCAGGAATCTATTCCCCATATTGTAGCTACATCTTAAAAATTTGGTGCGTGGTTTGCAAAATCTGATGTCAAATTAACTAAACATTCACTTCCTGGAAATCAATACGTACTTTTGTCAGTTTCAATATTTTGAAGGTATGCTTACTTATCCAATTCAGCCTTATGCTTACTTTTCATACAGTACACCTGAGATGGCAGGCATGTAATGGAGAAATACACTTTGACCCACATATTGCCCATAGGGGCTACATCCGCAGGCAAGCATAACATTCATTTTGGCCTCCAACCATCAACGAGAAGCCTCTGGAAATAGCTGGTTGTCTTTTCTTTTTAAATACAGACTGGCTTAATCGGAAAAAAACACCAATTACAAGGTGACACAGACTGCATCAAATATAGTGATGACCTCATACGCCAAGGCTCTCCTGTAGGTGAGATAGTCCTGGAAATAGTTCGGACTCTACATCATTTGAACGCATTTTTTCTTAGCAATTGTGTATCAGAGTGACTAAGTTATCACTGCAAGTCTAGGCATTATGCCATCCCAACAGATGCGCATGAATATAGGCACCCAGGAAAGAGAATGTGCATGCCCAATGAGCTAGCTCTCAGCCAAAATGGCTAAAAACAGCTGTCACTTGCTGAGTTTGTGTACCAAAGGCTACAGGAGTGCATCATCATCTTAAACTCTCTCGCCGCCGCTCCCCCCGCCGCCCAATTACAGCAATATCTTCTTTTTCAGTCAACTGAGAATTATATAAGGAGATCCTGCTGGATCAGACAAAAGGCAGACAACCAGATCCCTATGTGAAGCCCACAAGAAAGACCTCATTGAAACAGCATTGTCTTCTCTTGCACCTTCCAGCAACTGGCATTCAGAAGCATATGGCTTCCAGCAGTGGAGGCAGGACACAACTCTCAAGGTAAGTTGTCACTGATAGCCTTCTCCATGTTTTTGTGTTTAATATTGTCTTAAAACCATCCATATTTCAAGCACTTGTAAATGAAAATTTATTTTGCATTGTTGCATCCATCATTGATCTCTTTTTTTTAATGCTGTGTATCCTGTTTTATATAAGGTTTCAAATTCCACAGAAACTATAAAAATACACCAACAGTTTTGAAAACTTTCTCAGTGCTATTTTGACACAAACACTTCAAAATCAAGGAAGGATTCTCCACACACATGCCAAAATATAACCTTTCTTGCAAAAAACTACTACTACTACTACTAAAAATGGTAGTATTGCTGGTCAACATCCTATGCACAATCTCAGGAACAGGACTTTACGTTGCTTTTGGCAAGGCTGCACTACAAAATATGAGTGTTAAATCAAAGGCTCGTGTAACTGCAGAGCATAGGATAATTGGCACAAACACATCTTTAGGCAGGCTTGTGAAAAACTCCTCTCTGAAATGCTGGAGAGCGGCTGTCTGTCAATCTTCCTCTGCGCCACCATTGGCTAAGGTCATGATACACACTAGTATGTACATATGCAAGTACACACTACATTCCGATGCAAGTTGACCACTGGAAGCCAAAACTCTGCATCAACTTACATATACAGCAGTTTCATCCATTATCTACCATCAGTAAATTCTACAGTGGGGTTGGCTAGCCTTTTCTGGCCAGGGACCACATGCCAGCAATGAATGTGGCAAAAGCAACAAGCCACTGACAAAATAAATTGCACATGGAAGACCAAAAAAGATTGGAAGACAAGTTTAAAAATCTCTTTCAGATGGGTACATGAACTTATTTATTTATTGAGGAAAGCAAAGGGCACAATGCCATCATTTCTAAACTGCCTCATGTGTACAGCTGTCAACCAAACAGAAGGGAGATATCTGCACCGTGGAAGTTCGGCTTAGAAAAAAGAGTTATTAACATTCTTGCAAGTTAGCTGAATACTGCTCAGCAGCCAAGCCCCATGGAGCAGTATTTCCACCATGAGTGCATGCGCAAGGACCCGGAATGGCTGTGGCTAGCATCTTATGTCTGGATCTGGGGCTTTTAAGCGTGTAAAGCAGCATAGTATGTGGCAATTTTTATTTCAGAAACAAAACTCTGGCACGGCAGAGCAAGGACATAGTACCTTCAGTTACTGCACAGCAGGGCCGATGAAGTTCTTTCCTGGGGCACTATTTGCCATTTGTCTACATGCCAAACAAATAAGCCTCTCTCAAAGAGAAATCAGCTAAGCAGAGGAAGAGGTAGGTTACATTAGCATGCATGGCCAAACTGCCACTTTTATTTCGAAAAATTCCTAAGTCCTTTTGTTATGACCAACCAAAATGTCACAAAATAGTGAGCAAGCTTTCAAGTTCACCAGAATTCTTCATCGGGCTGGATGTTAAGCAAAGTGCTGGGAGGCGGGGCAAGAAGAGAATATGTATGTGAGAAATAAATAATAATAATGAAAAGCTCGCTTGTAACCAAAAGCATATCTTCCTTGATCAAAACATCGTGTTATCGTATAAGCCAAACGGACTGCGGACGTAAGTTGCTCCCTGACTATTAATCAACAGGAAAGAGGGGAAAGCACTCTGCACATGGCCAGAAGCTCTCGTTTCAGTTACATATTTACCCCAGCGCTCAGGCCTGGCACTGGGAGCAATGCGTTGCTTCTTCCCAGGCAGGGCTTGGCTCCTGAAACCGCTGTCTTGGTGCCCAAACCTCCACCGCTGGCGACCCCCGACGTCCCCAGGGGTACTCCTTTGACGAGGAAGGGGCGGAGGGCTAACCCTGTTCACGACCCTCGCAGCCGCAGGTTTCCCGCCTTCCCCGCAGGCCACTCCAGGCGGCACCGGGGGCCCCCGCCCACCTGCGCGCCCGCGCTCACCAGCGCCCAGAGCGCGGCCTTCCTTCCCGGCTCGCGGGCGCAGGCGCACAAAGGAGGGGAGGAGAGCTCGGCAGCATGGCGTCTCGGGCTAAGCGGAGGCGAGCGGCAGGGCCGCCCGAGTGCCGGGAGGAGGAAGGCGGCGGCGGCGGCGACACGGAGGACGACTCCTCGGAGGAGCCGGGCAGCGAGGAAGACAGTGACGACGACGACGACGAGGAAGAGCTTAACCAGGTAAAGGAGCGGCCGGGGTTCGTTCCTCTCCCGCCGCCGTGGCTTTGGGAGCACCTTCTGCCGCCGCGAAGGCCCCTCTGCGCCTCAGGGTCGTCGCTTGGGACCCATGGCGTCGGCGATGTTTCTTCTCTCGCGGAAGTGGGGGGTGGGCGTGGGGAGACGACCACCGGCGACCCTCTGACCTGTCTTTATAGCCCCCACCTGCCTCATCCGTCGAGGGGGCTGGAAACCAAAGGTTCCTCGTCCCTGTTGTAGAGGCAGGGGGGGCTGCATGGGAGGGCAGGGCTCAGTGCTGTTTTTTTTAAGGGCCAGGGCTCATCCTAAGACCATATGAAGTAACTTCAGAGAGAGATTGATTGATTGATTGATTGATTGGCGGTTCTCTGAGTATGTGCTAGGTTACCCGCTGAAAGTGCAGGTCAGCTTTTGCCACTAAGAGTGCAAGAATAGATTGGTGTTAAAGCAGCTTTTGCCCAGTTGACAGATGATGATGACGATTACTATTTTTTTTATACGCTACTTTTTTCGTGGATGAGACTCCAGGCAGCCTCCAGATAAAAACAAGAACCACTAAAAGCATAGGAAAAAAGCAATGATATGCTATACGCCTGTATAAAATCTGTTTAAATAATTGCAATAAGAACAGCATGGCACCACCAGCCCCTTAATGAAAAGCAGTCAATTCTGAAAAGCCTGTTGGAACAAGAAACTTACGATTGCTTCGGGGCATATTAACACCAGCACAAAGTTTGAAGTAGGCTTAACAGGTCACTTTTGAGAGTAGTGCAACTAGCACACTGACACTGTTACGCTATTTCTTTCATGGGACAGCAGAAGTAGGGGGATCTGCTTCAGGGGCTGTCTTGTGAGTGCCTGCCGGTAAGATTGGTTAAGTTACCTTAAAAAACAGACAGGATCTTCTCCATGGTGGCCCCAAAACTGGAACTCTGTTCCAGTTGACATATGCCTTGTCGCTTTATTACATACATTTAAGTTGGCCTTGAAAAACTTTTCAATGCTGCATTTAACTGGGTCGATAGATACCTGTATGTTCAGAGGAGCATGCTAAATGTAAATTACAGTGGTACCTTTAGTTATGAACTTAATTCGTTCCAGAAGTCCGTTCTTAACCTGAAACTGTTCTTAACTAGAGGCGTGCTTTCGCTCACGGGACCTTTTGCTGCCGCTGCGTCGCCGGCACATGATTTCCATTCTCATCCTGGGGCAAAATTCTCAACTTGAGGTAACTCTTCCAGGTTAGTGGAGTTTGTAACCTGAAGCGTTTGTAACCTGAGGTGTTTATAACTCGAGGTACCACTGTATACACATTTCTAGTGTTACTTTGTGAGGATGTAGCCTTAAAAAATTGCTTTAAAAATAAATAAATGAGACAGTTCGTTGCACAAGGAGAGAGGATGTTGCTGATCATTGTCCACCCTCCCCACACCTCATTTAGAGTAATTTAATAGATACTACAGATTGCCACTTGTACATGGTAAGCATCTGTATCAGGTAAATCTTTAGTACTTCTAAGATTGGATGTTTCCAGTCCCCCCCGCCACCCTCTTAACTTCTTTTGAGGTCAATATTTCATTGCAAACACCTGTGTGATTGTCTTTTGTGCTTATTTACAGGAAGTAAATATTGAATTTGAAGCTCATTCAATATCTGATAATGATAAGAATGGAATAAAAAAATTACTGCAACAGGTATCTATGTTTCATCTGGTGACATTTGTAGCTTTTTATGTGAAAATGTAATGAAGAGAAAGAATACAAATGCCATGAAGAAATGATAATGCGAATTAGTATAACTGTGACTTGAGTTCATGAGTCCCTAAACTATTGCAGAACTTACATAGGTTGTTCTGTTGCATTCTTAAGCATCTTCACACACTAATCATTTGCAGTATCTGTATCCAAGTTTTGCAATATTTCAGGGTCAAACTGAACATTTATCTTAAAAGCATGTTTGAATTCCATGCTCAGGATTCCGACATCTTTATTTTATAAAACTATCCGGGGGGGGGGGATGCTGAAGGAGGGGGTTAACTCTTTTCTCCCACTCTGCTGTATTTGCCCTTGAAGCTGCTCTGCTTGTTTGTGAGCAGGTGGAAGTGGTTCAGATCAGGGACCCTGCTATTGCATTCAGTAAAGAAAAAGACATGGAGAATCCCAAGCGCTGGGTTCAAAAATGCCTTTAACGTGCACTCAGTTGTGTCTCAAGCTGGAAACTTAATTTTTTTTCTGATTCCTAAATTGATTTCAACCCCCATGCACTTCAGAACTGAAGATCATGCCACAATTCTGATATAATAAATTCATATGACAGCAGGGCTAGTCTTCTCTAACCTGGTGCCCTCTGGATGCTTTGGAATAAAGTTCTCATAATCCCTGATTGTTGGCCATTGTGGCTCAAGTTGACTGGCGTAGCCTATAACGTGGAGAGCACAAGGTTAGTGAAGGCTGGTATAAAAAGTTACATTGTGGCACTGAAAATATATGAACAGGAAAAGAATATGAATACACTCACTGAGAAGAGGGGTTTACAACACAATCCTATATGACTGCTCAGAAGTAAGTCCCATTGATTCAAATGGTACTTATTCCCAGATAAGTGTGTGTAGGATCGGATGCCTAAATAGGGTGAACCTAAATGAATTGTACTAAAATCAATTTGTTTTGGTCCTAGAATGCTAGCCTAATGTTAGTTTTCATGGAAATTCAGTCTATGGCTGTTTCTAGCTTTCAGGGATAGAACACTAAAAGTTGTGGCTGGCAAATCTGACTCCACAAAGCAATATGAATCTTAATAAGTGATCCAGAAAGTGTTTTCCTACTAAAACCCTGCACCACTCTTTCCCTTCCAGCTGTTTCTAAAGGCTCCTGTTAGTACAGCTGATCTGACTGATATATTGATACAACAAAATCACATTGGGAGTGTTATTAAGGTAAGAGATCTAAACCCATCTTAATTTATGACATTTTATGGAATAAATCTGTTGATGGTTAACAAGATATATTGATCCTTGGTTAATATGACATTTGGGGCTGAAACATACATGCTTTATTCAGGGCATCTGTCTACAGCACATATGGTCCAGGAGTAAATAATGCATATCAACAATTATTTAAGCAAGCAACAAAATGGACTTTCCGCTTACTGCTATGGTAGCAGTACTTTTGATCCAGCACTAGGAGCATGATGATTTTTGATAAACAAAAATAAGGGATAAAAACACATATCTCTAGGGGGCAAAAAGCTAGTTTGCATCTTTTTCCTAATTATACCTGCCCGTCCTGATCCGGTATAAGTTGCAGTAGACCACAAACAGCATCTAATCTTGGCAAAATAAAAACAAAAGAATTTGAATGCAGGGCATTACAGAAAGAGAAATTATTCTTGCACATGTTTTTAATGGGCTACTGGTCATACCTCCACCATTGATGGGACCCAGAGCAGAGCCTACCCTACAGATTGCACCCTTACTTTTAATACTGAAAATATGAACTTTTGGAAATACTTATTCTGGCCACACTTTGGGCATGGAGTAGTTGTTATTTGTTGTTGGTCATGCCCACTAAGTGCTTGCAACAGTCACAGAAAAATGTACTGCATATGTTACTTATAACACTGCCGGTTATGCTAGTTTCCATTTTCCCCTGGTAAACCGTCACAAACAAAACAAAACAAAACCATTGGCCAGAAGTTGTGGCACAAGAGAACAGCACATCTACAATACTGCTGCCAAGTCTCTGAAACATTCATAAAATCAATGGACTTAGATTGGGACATTTCACCTTGGGAACTGAGTTGCCATCAGTTTTTACTCTCAGCGACCTTTGGTTTATGTTTCTGTGTCCACTTATTCTGAGAAGGTGGCCCACTGCTCTGCTTGTCTGCTTGTGCTACCATATGGTTATGCAAAGGGATGGAATACAGAACAGCTGGAATGTCAGTGGTCAGCTGGGAAATTCTAGCAAAATTCTGGTATGATTGCAAGTCTCTGATCCTTGATAGTTAAAGAATCTAGACGCAGTTTTATCATTTCAGATAGACATTTACCGGTATCTAGCCGCTGGAACTATGGAGCAAATAGGTCACAGTCTTGAGGTGGATATAATGGCACGGTTATAATAGAAAAATTATTTATTAAAATTTGTTCTTTCAAAAATGTGCTACAAGGACGACATACAGCCCAATTCTACGAATGCCTACTCTGAAGTAAGCCGCTTTGTGTTTAATAGGCTTTTTTCCTTATATATATATATTGACATTCTCTTCTTGACTATGATGCTTGCAGAAAGACTTAATAGAGAACATGCATTTGGTTGTATTTTCTCCTTTGTTTTCTGTTTAATAGCAAGCAGAACTTTTAGAGGAAAGTGATGATGATGATGATCCTGATGAGGTCTTTGGCTTCATAAGTCTGCTGAACTTAACTGAAAGGAAGGTCAGTAATACTACTTTGTATTTAACTATGATGATAATCTGCCTGTCAATTAAATTTGAATATTTTGGCACCTCAGTGTTATCCATCCTTTTCCCTTTTTTATTTCATATAGTTATGTTTTCTTTCTGTCTGGCATCAGAGTGAACACAGTCAATACAAATAGAAACATCTGCTGGAAATGATTAAACATCACACCCTTTCCAAGAAAAGGGAGTGGAGGAAGCCTTCATTAAGAACATTTTTTGTTCAGTATAGTTGCACGCAATTCATTGGGGTCAGAAATACCTCACAATATTAAGTACAAAAACCTACACAGGTGGGATGTGGGATCTAATTGTGGCCACATTTTTAAACATAATTTGTAATTAGCATACATATAGCATAATTAAAACTGTTCCACAAGTATAGCAGTCCAATACTCATAAGCTTTGAATTATCTGTAACAATAATAATCTCAGAACTTGCAACTATAGTACAATAGGCCTGCAACATACTTTGGGTTACGTTCCAGGCATTTGCGCACAAAGGTAAACTTGTGCAAAGGCAGGAAGACTCCCGGAACAGCCCACACATGACTAGCTTTACCTTACTGGGCTGTGGGAAGGTTGTGCAAGGCTTCTGGAAGGTTGTAGGAGGCATCCAAGAGATCTCGTGGTAGCCTTACAGAGCCTTGCGCAATGTTTCCAGGGTCTGGTAAGCTTTAAAACTCTTTCTTCACTAGAAAACCTGACGTGGAAAGTGCCTTGTTTTGCTGGGCTCTAGGAACGTCATGCAAGATCTCATGGGCTCTTTAAAAGATCTCGCAAGATCTTAAACAGCCCTTTTCAACTGCCCCCCCCCCGCTCTCCATTAATTAATTTATTTTCCCACCCCCACCCCCACCAAACTGGAATTGCATGAGTAAATCATGTATAAGTTGTGGGTCTGCTGTCCATAATTCTCAAGCAGCCTGTGCACAATCATCACATTTCACAGCTGCATGAATTGGATAGGTAAAACGGTTCAACTAAAACAAATAATTGCTGTAACTTTCTGTCGTCATTTTGATTGCAGACATGACACTTTTGCCTTCTCTTGTTGCCAAGCAGTTCTGAGGCTGCTTTTCTTAAAGTTCCAGGCAAGCTGGCTCTGTGTATCAAAACTCAACTCAGGGTTTGATAAATTGTAGACTTGGGTCCTGGAGTGCTGGTGCCAGTATGGGCTGTTGAACTTAGGGTAGGCAATGTCTGCTAGATTGGAAAAACCACCATTGGCTACCATTTGATCGTGCATTTGCATGTGGTCACAGATGTTAACACTACCTTTGGTTTCATTTAATAAATCAATAAATATAATAAGGAACGATCTCAGGCAGGGAATTCTGGTCTGATATTGTTGCACTATTATACATTGACAAAATAATAAGAATGTTCCTTTCTTCCTTTGATACATAATTTACAAGTGTCAGATATTCTTGAAAAAACAAAAACACTGTTGTTGACACTTTTGGATTCATGAGCCAGGAACTCTGGGGGAATTTAAGGCTTGTTTCTTTTTCTTCTATTTGTTGATAGGAGCCAGGTTTTCTTAGCTAATCTCCCAAGCAGCAACACAATAGTGAAATTATCAGTTGCTATATTCTATCTAGCAGGCTATAAATGTGTTAATTTTTCAACCACCATCTACCTATGTTTTGAGCTGCTGAGACAAAGCAGCCATAATTTTATGCCATATTTTGTGGGTTTGGATGGCATATATTGCCTTGTTGGACGTCTTCCTCTGAACAGCCCTAATTGTTCATTAATTGTAACATTCTCATACAGCACAAAGCAATGTGAGAGTGGCTTGATGAACATTTCACAGGTCGTGTGTAGTGGGCAAGCGTCCTTCACATAAATAATTCAACATTAAAGCCTATCGCCACATCTTTTGATTCTTTTGAAGGAGGCCAGCGGCAATGCGTCCTGGAAGTTTTGCAGCAACCCTCAACAACACATTTTGCAAAGATCTTCCTGTAAACAGAGAAATGTGATCATCCAAAGCTTCTTAATTAAGAGTTGCCATTAAGTCTAGCCATCTGCTGAAGTGAAGGTGTACGTTGCTTGCAAAAATGTGCAGATGCAGTTGAAGTTGCATTGACCAAGTTAGCAAGTTTTGTATAAACAAAACAGGTTTATAAACAGGTTTTAAAACTTGTAGGGGTACTGTCAATGACCCCTAAAACCATTTGTAGTAATGTTAAGGAAAGTGAGTAATTTTTCTGGTATGAAAATTATGGAAATGTTATTTCACCTTCTGTGCTCTCTTCCTGCATGAATGAAAAGAATGAAGAGAGTCTAGGTGTCTGTTGAAATGGCAGGTGAAAACTTTTGGAGGGATGAGTTTGATGTGACACTTCATGTGTCTGGCTGTGTGACTTTCCAGGTTATTTAAATATTGAAATGATAATATATATATTTTTGAAAAATAATTTATGCAACTTTAAGAATCCTTTGAAGGATGTTAGTTTGCAGGGGTGTAAATATGTCTATTAATCTAACAAAGTGGAACATATGCAAATAGCAAAAGTGAAAAGAATAAAAGTGCAAAATCGACAAAAATAATCCCAGTGGTTGACTTTAATTTGGCTTTGCAATAAGACCTGCATGAGCCATTACACTGTTTTAGAACGTCACCAATGGTGCTAGTAGGCAATAGCAAACTAAGTCATACTTGGAATAGATTCACTGAAATAAATGGATTTAACATTGGATATCACCTAATATCTGTTCAGTCTCTTTCTGGATGAGTGCAGTCATACTTAAGAGCTGTGGAAATAATTGTTTAATTGAAGATTATTTCTGTAAGGAAAGATCATGTTGGTACTAGAATGGTGTTACTCAATAAACATTTAAAAACTCAGTAGGATCCAGTTGTAGTTTCCTGTTGTTTGCATTGCTTGAACAAAATTATAACCCAATGTTTTAATGCATTGATTTATCACTTTCATTTGCTTTATTAGGCCATTTATGCTGAGTACTTCATAGAATTTTATAAAGTATTCTTTTAGTCATGTGGCTGGCTCTGTGGCCCTAAGCAAGAGTGGAATGCTAATGCTTGGTTACCATTTTTGTCATCCTTTCAGAATTAAAACTCCCCTACATGCATTCGTTTGAGCGTTGATTAAATAATCTAAAAAGAAATTCCTACAAATCATTAAAAGTCACAGCAAGAAATTTCCCAGAGTCCTGTAAAACGATGCCCAGAAGCTCTCTTTTCAAGTTGCCTTATGTAAATAATTATTCTGTAATGCAAAGAAAATCTGTCCTTTGATTCCTAGGGTACCGAATGTGCTGAACAAATTAAAGAGCTGGTTTTAAGCCAGTGTGAGAAGAACTGTGAACAGAGTATGGTTGAACAGCTGGATAAGCTCCTAAGTGACACCACCAAGCCTGTGGGCTTCCTACTAAGTGAAAGATTCATTAATGTACCTCCCCAGATCGCTCTGCCCATGCACCAGCAACTGCAGTAAGAGCTTTTCCAAAACCATTTTTGAACAGATTTTTTTTTTTTTTTATCCTCGGATGACCTCTGAAATCTTATTTAAATGGAAATGTGTAGAGTGTGAAGAAAAAGGTCCCCCGAGAAGCAGAAACCAACATTTTTAGTATTGATCTCTTAAAGTGGCCTTTGGTGCAAACATTCAATATTTCACATATTGTGTATAGGTGAGTTTTACTCATATGTGAAAGCACTTTGTAAGGGATGAAAAAAGCCACTTAGAATTACTCTGCAATATATTGGATCCAGACAAATGTGTTCTGTGAATTGTTTTGAGAGTTGTGCTGTCGCTTGGAGAACACTCACTAAAAACAGCTACATTCTAACCATTTATCTTTCATTATAGTGGTTTCTATTCCTGGCAGATTGGTTACAGAAATTTGTTTAAATTTCTGAACTTTTGACTAAACACTGGATATTTATTTTAAGAATTAAGGCTGATAAGTGAAATGCATAACCAGAGATCAGTAAGCAGTTTTAGCAAAGCTGATGCCAAGAATTCAGAGAAGAATCTTTAGTTGTTTGTAACGATTTTAAATAGTTCTGGCAGTAGAATAATTTGCTCTTTCCCCCTGGTTGCATGGCCTTGTTTGTTTGTTGTTGTTACATCAGTTTCCTGATTCAGACATCACAGAACACTGGATTTAAGGAATATTAAATAGTCATAAAAACTGGGAGCAAGGAGTGTAGTACAGACATATTCCTGGTCCAATAGGCTATGGGTTATAGAACTGGAAGTGCCCACAGCTTTGGTTCATGTAGAGAGAGCTTCACCACAGTTTGGGCCATATACTAAATCAAACCTTTCTTAGTAGAGTTGCTGCAAACCACTCTCCAGGCGTTTGTGGTCTAGCTAAGCCAGAATTTGACTTAGCATGTTGGGTGAACTAGGCCAGTGGTTTTGCCCAGTAACCACCACCTTTGCTTCTGGAACGTTAGGTGATCTTCCTTAATGCCCTTACATGTAAAAAGAGAGTGGAACAGAAATATTTAATTTCACAATTATTCCCCTAAGCAGATTATGAATTCTCCTGGAGGACCATAGGTCTGCAGGGCTCATGAAGGAAAAGTCTTCAGTTTCAACGAAGCAGCTTTTTTGCTGTGGAGTGAGATGAAGAGAGGCAGTGTGAAGAAGAGGAAGGAGAAAAAGATGCATAATCCTAAAGTTTCCTTTTATATTCTAACAATAGCAGGAGCATTTGTTGCTCAGAATGTTTTCACTCACCTCTTAAGGGGTGGTGGAACAGTGTGTTTATTCATACTTCTGAGGATTGTGTTGGCACATGAGAAAGCACTGTTGTGGCAAAGCAGGCATCTTTATTTGCGGATTGGGCTGAAAATATGTGAATCTCTTGAGTGAGGTCTGGACACAATAGAAGTGTTTTCCGATTGATCTTTCCTGCAGTTGTGCATAGGTTTGACTGAAGCATGAAGAAATTTTTGGTGTAAATATGTGTTTATTTCTAGGAAAGAACTTATTGAAGCTCAAAAAACAAACAAACCTTGTGGAAAATGCTACTTCTATCTTCTAATTAGCAAAACTTTTACTAATAAGAAGAGTAATATCAGAAAAAAGGGAAGCAGCAGCCGTCAGAAAGAAGAACTGATGTTTTCAAATGCTGAGGAAGAATTCTTTTATGAGGTGAGACTTCGTTGTTGTTGCTCGACTTTTTTGGTGTATTTTGATGTATACCGGGGAACCTAAAAGATTTGAGGCTGTTTTTCTTTCTAGCGTGTAGCAGCTATTGAACGTGGTCAAGGCAATTGTTCAGCATAGATGGAAAGGGGGCAGGGAAAACAAAGACGAAAGATCTCCATTGCTCTTGCACCCCAGTTCATGCATCCTGATTCAATGGAGTCAGCTCCAGGTTCAATTGCCACCGCTACTGCAGCAGCAGCTTTGCTTGGAATGGCCTGCATTGAAGCTGTCCTTGGGGCTGAATGGGGAATGAATTTGGTTTTGCCAATCCTAGTCACGAGGGCTTGTCTCTGGCTAGTAGAAGTATAGCTTGGGTGCTGCAGTCTGCTGTCAGGGATATTTCTGTGTGCAAATCTTGCCTGTGTTGATTTAAGGGGTGGCAGCTAGTGCGCTTTTTTTTTTTTTTTTTTGGTAATGCTTCCCTGCCCCATCCTCTCCCTACCCTTTTAAACTTCCTCATTATTTGCATGCAGTGTCCCACTTGATTTAATACAGGGAGTAGTGTTTTTCATTAATTACCAGATTAATGAAAATCTGCCAGATTTCAGATAATATTCTTTTAGCCCCGGAAGCACTTGTACACACATTCAATAGTTCAATCTGTTGTTTATACAAAGATACTCTTTTCTCCACAGGCATATCCCAGATTAGCCTAGCCTAGCACTGCAGTTATATTCAAGCAGACCAGACATAATAAGTTCATGGCCATATTGTACATTGCTGTAAACTGCTTAGAGAGTGATGTAAATGGACAGGTAGTCTATACATAAAAGATAAAGACAATTGCAATGCCTGATCTTTAAAAAAATAATTAGTCCTGCTTGTAGAGAGATTTGAAGATGCAGTTTCCTTTGTATGTTCCAGTTTTCAGGGGTTGCCACCATATCTGAACATTTATATATTGATTTATCATGTTTTTAAACTTCTCATGACATTGTATCAGTCCTTGCCATAATACTTTCTGAAAACTAAAATGTGGTTTAGAACACTTTAAAATTGAGTGACATCATGAAAAAATAATATAATTTACATGCATCCTATTTATTTGCATGATCAGGTAGGCATACCATGTGCTTTTAAAACAGAATATGGGAATTATCTGAAAAATAAAGAGTTGTCCAAGGCTACATCTTAACATGATGCTATTTTCCCTTGGTTCAGCCTACTGGTTCATTATATTTTTCCAGAGTCTCCTTTAGGGTGTGCAGTGACCTTTTTCAGCATTTATCTCTGCATACTATGTAGAAGCATTCAAGCAAGTCTAAATTTGGTATGCAAGTTTATGAAACGTTGCACACCAAGTTCCATAATAGGACATCGAATCTTCGGTTACCACTGTGCCTTATTAAAATGACTTTACCTGGCCTTTCTTTGTAGACAGTGTAAGTTATATACGTATTCTTAATTCTTTTTTAAAAGGAAGCAGAAATATGGCAATTCAAATGCTTTTAACGAGTTTGCTTATTTTGTTTTAGAAATCGCTTCTGAAGTTCAGTTACTCAGTAGAAGAGGAAAGCGACTCATGTTTGGGAGGCAGATGGTCTTTTGAAGATGTACCCATGAAACCTTTACGAACTGTGATGGTAATCCCTGCTGACAGGATGAATTCCATCATGGATAAACTCAAAGAATATCTTTCTGTCTGAACCACTCTCTGAGCTAACGGTTTTGTGAAGTCACCCTGTAAAAGTTATTCGACTTTACAGTGGTGTCTAGAAATTTTCCATACCAATTCTGCATTATTTCAGGATCTCCTTTATATTCTTATAAAGTACATCACCTACACAACTTATTCTTATTGGCAGAGAATTGCCATTTTGAAACATCAGTGATTACAAGTGCAATAAAAACCCTCAAAACAGTAATCACTTAATTATTGTTGAAAACTTTTCTAACTAACTGTAGGTTGTTTCCATGTTGCCAAAGATAATAACAAAAAACTCCTGCGATTTTGTTCTGTTTTAAAATCATTTCTCATGTCATATAAAAGCTGGTGTTGGGAATATATTGTACATAGAGGTTATATACTTCAACACAGTTTGGGATAGCAAACTTATTGAATAATGCATCGCTGTTTGGCAGGTGTTTCAGGATATTTTTTATATTCTTTATCTTTGCTGTTTGTTTTTTCTTCCTTGCCTGTTGTTGAAATGGGTGATAAATGATTGATTTCTTCCTGCAGAATAGCCTTGCTCTCACTGGCAGGCAGATTACTAAAATAGTATTGAGGTGCCAGCTCCACAAATCTGTTAAGAAACAGAATAAACAAGTGAGGGTATATTTTTTTTAAGAAGGCAATTTTTCAATATTTTCTATGACTGTTTTATGACTCATGCAGCAAATGCTTACAGACAGGAACATTTTGATGCATTAAATATAGAGCTGCATAGCTGGAATCGGTTCCAAATTATATATTCCAGGTAAAGTGTACATATAAGATTATACAGTTTCTTTACAAATTAATATGTTCCGTTTGCCTTGGAGTGCTAGTAGTTGGTTTCCAGGTGTTGCAATCAAAATATAACATAGTCCTGGATATGAGTATACTCTTTGCAAATTCTACCAGAAGCTTCAGTGCATAACCTATTTAAATTTAGGGAAACTGTAGAAGGGCACAATTTTTATCTATTTTAGTAGTTTGGGGAAAAGGAATGGTTTCCTGCTACTATGTGCATTATAGCATTTCAAATAAATTCAGTCATCACTAGCCACACATGTGCGGAATTATTAGTTATTCATTAGTGCTCCTGATTCAATATATAACATGAATTTTGTTTAACTTTGATTTCACATCTGTGTATTGGTTCTGTGTGCCAGGACACAGGAATAGATATGCTCAGAGTTAACTTGTCCATTAATTTCATACTAGTCTTAACATTGTCTATCACCCATATTCTTCAGTCTATCTTACTAAAAGGGGGATTGCATTGTATCAATTTGAACTTACTACCTGCTTAAGCAGGTGCATCAAACCAAGTTGTGACATAGGACTGAAATAGCTGAAGGCTAAACATTTCATTTTTAAATTTCTAATTAAAACTTTACTCCCTTATCCATGGTTCAGTAAGTGAAATGCTTTTAACCAAAATGTACTTATTTATTTAATAGAAAGCACTTCTGAAGTTCAGCCATGCTGAGCTGCAAGCTCAAACCATCTGCACGGAAACAAATTCTCAGTATGAAGTCAATGAGAACATGTGACTATAGCCTGCACTTTGTTTCCTTTTGTAAGGCCCTTTTAAAAACAGTTATTTATCTATGCCACCAAGCAAACAGTGAAGTTAAAATGATTTGCTCAATGGCTATTTCTGGACAACTAATGTGGAGCTTGTCAGGTAGTACTTCATTACTGGGATTTTGCTTGAATGGGAGACTAGGAGCATAGCTTGGGCTGATGGGCCCAAAATGAGCAACTCCATTCTGCACTGATTCTGCATTTATTTGGATCATAGGATCATGCTAGCCCTGCAGATAAAATCAGTTGTGAAATGGTGAGATTTAAAAACTTTAAAACATTTCACTTCCTTGCCTCCCTTAATATACTTTCAGAATGCTGACAGATCTAATATACACTTCCATGAGATTGTCAGTTGGATTTCTATAATTCAGTGTGAAAGTATCCTAATGATATTTGATATACCTCCCATATAATAACTTTCAGCACAAGTCATACTATTTCCACCAAATCAAAATTATGGAACAGGTAGCTACCAAATATCCAAACTCTGCAGAAATGTTAGAGCACACACTTTGTATGCAGAAAATCCCACATGAAATACAGTCTGTACTGACAACACTGAGCTAGAGGGACTAATAGTCTGACTCACTATAAGGCAGTTCTCTGTGGTCATAACCCGCTTAAAATAAGAAAAGTGCTAGGAGACCTTTCAACACTAACTATTGATGTGGGTGGTGGGGTGCCAGCTTAAAAACACACACACACACAAATGTATCTTACTGCTGGAAGCTAAAGGCAAAGATCACCCACCCTTCCTGTTTCTCCAATTTTCCCAGGAAGCAAGCTGTGTAATGTTGGGTTGTGCTCTTAAATGGAAGTTGTATGCTACAAACATGAATGAAAACCTAAATTCCAACTTCCTCTTACTCACAGATCAGGTGATATCGCTGAGATGATTTTTAGAGAGTTGTTTTCAGGAATACTGAATTCATGGAACACAACCCACTCTGGGATCCTTGCAGTGTTGTAGTATATTGACAGAGGGTGAAGCTGGGCTACTTGCCTGTGCGACAACATTAAATAGTTTCCAGCACCATCAACATCACGAGCTATCTAGAACATGAAAAGTCAATAAATGACATGTAATTTACCTGGACTTATGCCTACTGCAGTGTATTACCTGCATTCAGTTATCCATTAAATACCAAAATACGATCCAAGAATAGTTGTGTTGTAGTCAAATGACTACACAAATTAATTTTACAGCTTTAAATGAATTGTAAGAGGACTGAAGAGTAAGCTATAGAATTAAAACAAATTGGGGGATAGGAATCAAAGGGACAGAGCATTATTATGTCAATACAAATGAAAGCAAAGTATTTTGATTAAATTAAGCTTTTCCATAACATTAATAAACCTAGATGAAACTATCCATTTGGTTTCCTTACTTGCATAAAGTAACCAGACAAGAGTGCTTTCTTTATCCTCAGTACATTTTCTTTCAATCCAAAAGCAGGTGCTGAAATTGGGAGTTCAATTCGTTTCATAATGTCATCCAATTCAGCTCTGATAGCTTCCGCCATTCTTAGTGCAGAGCAGTTCAGAAAATACTCTTGACACCACTTTTCAGTACTACGGTCTGCGAGGGGGAAAAAGGTAAAATTGTGTTTGTTTTTGCTAGAGAATCCAGTTCCATTACACTCTAAAGGGACTTATTCCCAAATAAATTTGTACAGGACTGCAGCTTTCATCCTGAAAAGAGGTTATTCTGTCATGCCAGATGTAATTATGAAGATTTTACCTGGCAGAATAACCCTTTTTTCAGGATAAAGGCTACAGTCATATACACACTTATCTGGGGATAAGTCCCACTGAACTTAATGGAACTGACTTCTAAGTATGCGTTTTCTTCATTAGACCATATAATTTACCATTTTAAAATTGGAATTCATTGCTAGCCCTCTTCAAGCATTCCATAGGAAGGGAAGTATGAAGCAAAAGGAGCCACTGGAAAGGGTGAGCTCTCTCCCCATGGTCCTCATTGTCCTCTTAAAATATGCAAGAGCCTCCACAAAAAGAGAAGAAGGCTCTTTGCTTCAGTCACCCTCCCAAACAATGCCAGTGGCAGAGCTAGCACAGTCATTCTCATGGATTTGCCCCCCTTGTATTTGCTTAATGCTGAATATGCTGAAGAGGGCTCCTGCTGCCTATCCTCATTGCTCACATTGCCTCTTTCCCTGCTCCTTTTGCTGTTTTTTATTATTAAATAAAAATAAAATAGTCTGTTAGCTTATAGGTCCTCTATAAGTGAAAGCTGGAATAATTGTTCAGAAGCATTTCAGGATGAATTTTTAAAGTGTAATTAAAATATTTGACACACACTTACACAGGCCTGTGGAGCTTGTCCTAGCTTCCTTGTAAGCCCTGTAGACATTGATAAGGGTAAAATGATCTCCAGCAAGCGACTGCAATCTCTTCTGTTCCCTGTGGCGGGTTTAAAAAGCAACTAGGAGCTTGTGTTCAAAAGGAAAGAGAGAGAAATGAAAACAAGCTGATACGGTGAAATAAAGCTTACTATATGCACAATGTATGCTGTGTAATAATTTTTTCATTATAATGTTGCCCTCACTCTTTGGTCCTTCAAGCAAAACCTATGGTTCACTCTCATCCTCTCCATTTTGACTGCCACAGTGGGTCTGAAAATACCCCTGAAAGAGTGGCAGTGTTTTCAACTAAAGCAATGGCACCAAAACCATTTTTTTCTCCAGGCTTACATTCTGGGGAGAAATGCTGAATTGATGATGTCTGGATATTCCCCCCATAATACATAGTTTTGACCTCATGTTGTAGATAGGAGCACACATGACAGAATGTTTCCCCATGGAAACATTCCTGCAAGCAAAACTTGATGAACCAGGCTTCTCTGACATGCAAGTCTTCTATGTATTTTTTAGGGGGAAGAGGGAGCTGAGAATTCCATTGTGGGATCTCCCAGTTAATGTGGGACATTCAAGAGAAGTGCTCATCACTTCACTGAATATTTGCGACAACTGGACCCAAGTGTTGCTACATTTGCGACAACTAGACCTAATGTGTTGCTACAATGCTAGAAAACAGTGGGATTTATTTGTAATTAAATACAGTATGTGTAGAATGAGACAGAAAAGCTATAAATGCATAACAATGGGAATATTGGCACAACATTGCTTGGTGTGTTAACCTTTTTTGCTACATCATTACACTAAGACCAGTGTTTTACTATATTGCAGAGCAAGCCTCTATAGGCCTGTATAATTTTATTCTCATTAAATATTGTGTGGAAGAAGTGACATAACCCACCCTGAACATCTGTGCAAAACAAAAAATAACTTGAATCCTTTTTAAATTTACATTTCATTAATTGTGAGTACTGCGATTTTTCTGGCTCTGATCTTTAATCAATTTAATAAGCAGATTAATTAAGGAAACCTCTGCTTGATTAATTGATAAGGAACAAATTTAACTGATGAGGTGATTGAGTTAAGGGCATACCTCTTGTCTTTTTTCAAATTTATTCTGATTTAGGTGTGTTAGCAAAATACAGGGTGAAATTATTAATGAAGCAGTAACTTTTTAATTAAACTGTAAGGTCTTTCACTGTTGCAAAGGGGCACTACTGAGGTTTTTGTAATATTTTAATTTTCTCATTTACTTGGTTAAAAGGCAAACTATGAATCAACTAATCATCCTATAAATGGTTGATGGCAGTAGTTCTATATAATTACACTGGGCCTGAGCAGTAGCCACAAACGCTTCAGAAAATACCTGTTACCATGGCAGCAATGGTGAGCATTTCTTCCACACAGTCAAATTCACACGAAGCTAAAATAGCCTTTGACAGCTGTGGATCGATAGGAAACTCTGACATTATTATTCCAAATTCTGAAAGGTTTCCATCATTGTCCAGCGCAGCCAAATAATCCAGATCTTCCAGAGCTTGCATGAGACTTTCAGGAGCTGGGATGGGGAGAAATGCTTAGTTACACTGGTTGTTACATTCTGTCACTGTTCAGTGAAATGCCTTTACAGACAGAATTAAACTAAGTATTTGATTATCACAAGGTTACAGGAATTTTTGCCTAATTTCTCTCTCAGGTAAATTGGTGCAGCAGTTGCCAACTTTTTTGGGTCCAGGGGCACATTTGGAATTTTGAGGCAGTGCGAAGTCAGAAAATTGCCGCTGGGGGTGTGGCCTAGAACAAAATGGCTGCCACACACCCCAAAAGAGCAAAAAAAGAGAGAGAGGAATATGAAATGGTTCAAAAATGGAAAAATCTATTTTTATTTTTTGCTCTATAACAAAAAAGTTTCTTCTTTTCCAGAAACTCTTAAAACTGTTCTCCCCTGTACACAGCAATGTGGGAACAAACAGGAATAAAAAGTGATCATATGGATAATGATGCTTCTACACTAGGTCCCACTAGGTGATCAAACAGGTACACACGCGCGCACACACACACACACACACACACACCGCCCTTGCTGACAGTTCTGGCTATCTCGGCCTCATCACTGGAACAAAGAGCAAGCCTTCCCCAGAAGCACCGGAAGCCTTTCCAGAGGTTTGCAAAGAAAAACTTGGTTCCACAGCAGAGCTTCAATGTGTTCCCGGGGGGAGGGGGGTGCTGACACATACAGGTTTTGTGTGCAGTATTGCTTCTAGACTGAGGGCGATGGAGCTGACAGATATATTGACTGGGATAGTTGTCCTTCTGTGGTCCTGACATTTTCCTTGGAAGTGAAAAAAAGGCTAGAAGGTGCTTTCCTGCAATCTGCTATTTGGAATGCCAGTAAATATTATTAATTATTCTTATTATTAATAATAATAATAATAATAATAATAATAATACCCCACCCATCTGGCTGGGTTTCCCTAGCCATTCTAGGCAGCTCCCAACAGAATATTAAAAACATGATAAAACATCAAACATTAAAAACTTTCCTAAACAGGGTTGCCTTCTAAAAGTCAGATAGTTGTTCATTTCCTTGACATCTGCTTGTAGCTGCTTGTGGCTGTCCACTGGCTTAGAATGCTACCCAATTCATTATGATTGGAATGGCAGCTCTTGTTTTTGTAGGGTTCTGGGGCAACAGGTTATCTTGCCACATTTGCCTGGGGACAAACCTATGCATGAGGGACAGCCTAGGGAGTTTCACACCTAATCTGTGCTACCTGTGGTGGTGTGGATTCCTCCTAGCAGCACACAAGCGCCGTGTGTGTGGCAGAGTGCATGGAATGGGTTAAGAAACAATCTCATGGCATCCCCGCCATTGCCACATACTGGTTGGTGCACACATACATTGCTAACATTGGAGGAAAGCATTAAATCCCTTCTAGTTATACCAAGGTAAGGTATAGAATAATGACAGCCATCACAGTTGGACCACTGGGCTTCTCTGAAAGGCTGCAATCTTCTGCAAAATTCCTGTGCACAATTACTTAGCAATAAGCCCATTTAATTCAGCTGGACTAAATTTTAATGCAGCAGATGGGTAACTTTAGATGTTGCTGGACTACAGCTCTCATCCTCCTTGCTCATTGGCCATGCTGGTTGGGGCTGATGGGAGTTGGAGTCCTGCAACATTAGGGCCGCAGGTTCCTCATCCCTGATTTAATGCATAGGAGTGGGCTGCATGCCAAACAACTTGAATTTTTGACCATCTTACAATACTCAGCAAAGATACCATGTGTTTGCCTAGAGATCTGATTTAATATTATTAGAATTCAGATCCCTGCCTGCACATCATGGAGAAGAGAGAACATTTATTAGCCAGCCTGTAAGGTTTAATGCGATAAAAGATGAGTCCTTGAGAAAGTCAAAGCATCGAAGAAGAAAACAGGTTGGATATTTAAGGGGGGGAAAGTTGGAGAGTTTTATCACTGAGCCATGAAATGAAAAGTAACAGCTGATGAATGGGAGAAACCAAGAGTCGGTGACAGAAAAATAGGGATGCAAGATTTAAAAGGGGGGGCGGGGCGGCATGAATGGCTACTGAGCCTTTGAAGTAATTACCAGGGAATCATGGTAAACTAATTTCTATAAATCAATAAAGCAGTTTGTATTGTGAGCTGAATATATGGCTATTGTCCTTGGAAGCATCTGGCTCCGCAGCCAATTCTATTCTCTGGGGAGTCTTACTGTTTTGCATTTTTATATCTCCAAGTTGGTTGCTCCGAGACTGGGAAACAGGAATGACTCTAGGCTTTTGCTTCAGCATTATAATAATAAAAAAAGTGCTTCATTTTTTATTATATTGGAAAGGACAAGTTAATAAATGCAGATTATACAGGTGAAGGAACAGTAATAAAATAAAAAAAAACCTTGAATAGGGTTTTCAGATATTAGTCTGCATTTGCAGGCACAAATGCAGCCAATAAAAAAGTCATTGTAAAAATGGCAGAGGTTCATTTGAGAATTCTTTATGGTATTGTTCAGGTTTAAATAAAGCTCATCATAAATAAGAGAAACAAAAGCAACTCCTGTGTTTAATTCTGAAAGCCTTTCTTAATAAAGGACAGGGACATGTAGCGCTTTACAAAATAGGACTTTAACAACATACAATGTCATTTTTATTACGTCTGGTCTGACCAGGTCAATGTTACTGGGAGCCAAGAGGCAAGCTCCACCTAGGGCTTTGTGAATCAAGGGCTGCCACAGTCACAGTGCACTGAAAAGGAATCAGCTATATAAAAATATTCAACTACATTTGTTCCCTCCATTATATAAAAACAAAATAGAGCTGCTTTTCACATATACCTTTGCCTACTTAAACTGGTTAGATTTTTAATACATTTTAAAAGGGATAATTACTATGCAAAGCAGAATGTAAATTTTACAGGTGAAATTTGTAAAAGAAACTAGCAAACAGCTAACCATCATTATCTGAAGTTCTATTCAGACAGAAATAGACATTGCAAGAGACATCATGCTGATTCTCCTATTACTGATCATGTGTTGTTCTGTACAAGACACTAGTATGAAAAGAGAAAGAGGCACAGAGAAGCAGCAACTTTGAACCACTTGAGTGCTATATTCAGTGTTATTCACTGTATTATAAAATTCCACGTTCCCATTTAAACAAGTCTAATTCCACAGATGTCATAGGAAAAAACCACAACTTTATCTTATGTCCAAGTAGTTCAATCACTAAAAAAAAGGAAGGATGGCATCATCAGTAATCCTTTCTGCAGCTATGAAAGGTAGGCCAATACAATTATCCCCACGATGCAAATAGGAAGCTTATGCTCAAAGTGATTTCTTATGGCCACCTTAAAGAGATAATCTGGAAAGGCCAACATTTTTAAGGAGAGGAAAATGGTTTAGCTGTCCAGACCCAAATCTATCTTGGTAGAAGTGCGCTAGTGCTACAGAAGAGAATTGTATTTGCTTACTTTTAAACATAGGAGGAAGGAGGAAGATTTGTCTGATAATGTGCCTTTTGGTCTTTCCAGGCTCTTTCCCATAGCATCTGGACAAAGCAATTCTCAATTTCACATCTGAATGCGAGGACATTGGTGCTTAACCTCAGAGGGACAACAAACATACTATACAGCTTTGCAAATGTCTGCATTTTTCTATACCTTGCCATGAAGAAAGAACAGCTTTAATCATAGTCCTTAGAAACAGGTGTGCTTTTACTGTGCCAGCCCAATGGGCTGTAGCTTGGGACACACTTTGACTTGCGGACATTAAACAAAGAGAAGGTTCACTGGCTGGCAAATGGCAAGCTGTAAAATTATTGTTTTGGCTTAGCTAATCTACTCAGCAAGCTAATGTTGCGGGATAGTTGACTTGGGAGCACCCATCCAAGACTACTGCCACCAGGTACTACTTTTCTAATCTATTGCATGTATGGAGAACTTATATAATGTATCAACACTTGGTAAATAGCACTTCTTTGAATTACCACGCTGTGCTACTCTGTATTTATTATCATTGGTATTCAACCTTACCTTGAAATAAAGCAAAACTGTACTTTATGCTGAGAGATTGACTATTCAAAGATTGCTCTTGAGTTTCATGGCCAAGAGGGGATTCTAATTTAGGTTCTGATTATGCAAACGCAACACTCCAACCTGTTCTTAGCAAGCTGATGTGCATTACTATTTAAACAGAGAACACTCACACCTAAAGCTGCCTCAGGACAGTTTCAAATGGGGCCATTGGATATTGTTCAGATTCACTCATATGACTCAGGCATAAGTCAAGAGACCAGAAAGTGGATAATTGGTTCACATTCAATTATTTTGCCCTCCAGATGTTGCTGGACTCCATCTCTCACCATCCCGGCCATGCTCACTAGGGTTGATGGGAAGTGCAGTCCAACAACATCTGGACAGCATGATGTTAGTTAACCCCAATCTCTTAAATATATTTTGTCCCACTCTTCACCTATAAAGGCTCTCTGAACATATTATATATAACAAAAAAAAAAAAGACTATGATAAAGTCAAAAGGAAATGGCTAGGTTAAAAGATGTAACAGGGCCCCAGTCTAGTAAAACAAATTGCTTGAAGTGGGGTGTCATCCCACCCCTTTTCACGTGGGCCTATAATCACCCCATGTCTTTCAGCTGATTGAGACTGGCCTAAACATTATACTTTCTTTCTTCCCCCAAACTTTGAAAGCATCCCACTTCCTTCAAATTTGCAGGGGGGAAAGGAAGTGGGGTGGGGTACTGCCCACGTCTAAAGGCTTCCCCATTCATTTAAATGGAATAAGATTCTAAAAAGGCATCAAATCATTTTTGGCACACAAAATCCACTATTGCCAAGTACACAATACATGGACAAAAAGCTGAATGATGCACACACCATTCATAAATGAAGCGATTTTTGTCATGGGGATAAGTCCCTAAGTACAAGTACCATATGGAGGGAATGTACCTGAGAAATCAAAATAGATCTAATGCAGTACCACTAAGTGATTAAAAAATAGTACCTAAATAATCAATCATCCTGAGAGTGAATCAATTCTCTGCAAAGTAAAGATGAAGTATACTTGGAAGGCATAATGGCAACTATAATGTATTTCTAAAATGGCATTGCAGAGAAGTCTGCCAGAGAATCATCTTAAGCAATTATCACCCTGAAAAATTCAGTCTCTTACTGAACCGCATTTCAGGCAATGTACTTCAGAACCTCCATCTAGTCCAGTTTCTGCTTCCCACAGCAGTAAACTATATAACGCTTGGAATCACACAAGAAGAGCCTCAAGGCACTAGACATCTTCTGCTATTTATTTATGTCTATATTACAATCATATCCCCTCTTTCCAAAAAAGAGTTCAGGATGGTGTACATGTTTCTCCCCAAGTTTTCACCTCACAACAACCCTGTAGGGTAGGCTACGCTGAAAGGTTGCATGATGGCTTTATGGCTGAATGGGAGTTTGATCCTGGGTCTCCCCAGACCTACTATTATTATTTTTTAACATTCCAATTACTACAGTATGCTGTTGCTTCCTAGCAATTGGTACTCAGTGGACAACTGCTTCTGAACATGGAAGTGCAATATAACCACAGTGATTAATATTCCCTGTCCACCAAATTGTCCAATCCCCCTTTAAACACTTCTAACTAGTAAATATCACCACATATTGTGGCAGTGGACTCTGTAAATTAATTACATGTATGAAGAAACAAGTTATCTTTCCTGAGTCTACAGCCCAGAATTTCATTTGATGATCCCAAGTTCTACTATTATGAGGGAGGAACATGCATAATTTTATAAACCGATATTGTGTCCCCAGTTAGCAATCTCTTTCTCAACTAAAAAGCCCCCAAATGCTTTAGTCTTTCCTCGTAGGGAAGATGCTCCAATCACGATAGTTTTTCTGGACCTTTTCCAGAGCTACAATATCCTTTCTGAGATGAGCCAATCAAAACTGTACATAGTATTCAAAATGTGGAGGGACTTCCTTCTGAGGCCATTCCTAATGCAACAAAACATAGCTCATTCTTACTTAGAATGGAAATTGGCTATGGATTGTCAAGGGAGGCTCCTCACATATTTGGATGACAGTTAAGAGTTCTGTATTTTCAATAAAAACATAACAGACTGTGAGGTTGAGTGATCATCTCCACAGCTGATACTATCCAGTTTGACCTTGCTTTATTCTTGCTTCCACTTTAAACTGAAAATACAAAACCCACCTTTAAATTATCCTAGTCAGTACTGAAAGCAGACACAAAGCTTGCTGTGCAGCATACCAAAGGAGATTCTTAGAATGACAATTTTGAGAGGCAACACTATATAGGGGAAACAATAACCGATGTTTCTCACTCCCTTTTGAAAGCACAATGCCTCTCTGTTCAGGAAGGAAAGTGTTACCTTCCCATATTTTTTCATGGTTTTTTAAAAGGTGTTTTTTTTTTTAAGGTCAAAACAAGAGTGATAAATGCAATAAATCTGGAAATACAAAAGAAGTACTTGTTAAAGATCTGTAAAAGCTGTTTTATTTAAATGAATTGCTCCATCTTGCTGAAAGTCAGGCTTTATCTTTTGTAGAAGTGAAGATTACATTATTGTTTAATGTGGCACTTCCATTAAATAAAGAATTGGCTTGAATTGCAGGTTATCTTTAGTAACTGCTAAACACAGAGCACTTGCTAAAGGATAAAGCTAAAAGCCAGGAATTTCACCAGAAACAAGACCTGTTTACAAGCAGATACTGGTAATATTTTATCACTGCAATTGTTAGCGCTGACATTTGCATGCTTTCTGCTTCCCTCCCCAACAATGTTCCTTTCTGTATCATATCTATTAGATTGTGATCAGGGATTGTCTTTCTTTTAATCTCTGTTCAGTGCCTGGAACATCTTAGACACTGTAAATTAATACTAATACTATACACATGGCTTCTGTTCCTGATGGCCACCATGTCTTTATTGTAACATCAAGTTTGATCTTAAGAGTTAGATCACGGTAGTTATCAAGCTGCCACCCTAAGCACAGTATTAGCAGAGCTTGGGTTATGATATTATTTGTGAGCGTCCGTTTTATTCTAATGGTGTAACTGACAACCACTGTGGTCACATAATCTGTGCTATACGAAGCTTATGCTATCTTATATTATCTATCCATGTCTTTATTTATTTAGGGGAATGCTACAGGCAAAGAGGCAGGTGCTAGGTAGCTATGTATGTACAGGCAGATCCTGCTACCTGAACACAATGTGTTCCATGGAAATCGTTTGTTAGGCGAGTGTTCATGTATCGAGTCGACAATACCCATTTGTTAATATGGGAAATTTTCTAATGCGTTCCTGACCAAAAATTCCCCTCAAATACTCAACTTTCATTCTGGAACATGTACAGCAGATAAAAATAAACAGGTTGTGTGCAAACACACCATAAGAGTAGACCTTAGTTACAGTTTATGGTTAGCAAGGAGAGTGTTGAACCATGAGCCCTGGTTCAGACAGCAGACTAAGGCTAAGAAAATGGATAACAATTTGGTATTACCTGGCCTATCCATGAAATCACAGTGGCCTAGGCCTGCAATATCCATTCTTTTCAGAAAAAGAACCATGCTAGTCAAGTTGGATTCCTGAATTTTGGCCGGTGGTAGCAGCTTCACTTCATTATCTGTAAATTCTTCAGGGTAGAGGCAGAAACATTTACCTGTCAGGAAATTCAACAACAACCTTGCTTCAACACATTCTCTTATGATAAACACGGTTGTTTAAAGCTGACAATGATTCCCCCCTCCTTACCTGAAGACATGCCCAGAATTTGCCTACGCATCTCAGCTTGGCTTTTGCTAATGGGCTGTATCACAACAGCATCTGTTCTGATTCGAGGACTGTATACCTTGCAAATCAAGAGAGACATGACTTTGTTGAAAAAAAGAAAGATTGAGCAAGATTGCAATGGATTTGCATTGAGTTTTTGCTTAGAAGGTTTTTCTTGCTGTGTTTCATGAAATGCTTGGCTGCAAATTCATTTCCTTTCCACAATATTTATTATTGTTTCACTTGTCTTGAAATGAAAAAGTGAAAGCAGTTTGATAAATTGACTGAAACACCACTTGTTCCTGTCAGGATCGTTGTAGTTTTGCTGTCATATCTTGGAGAAATTCTCTTCAATAAAACACACCAGTCCACTGAGGATGCAGTGCCTGCACACACAGTACTCCCATAGACTCAAAATAGCTCTTTCTCCCCCTTTTCCTATGTCTATGTGAATATAGGTAAAGGGAAAGGACCCCTGCATGGTTAAGCCCAGTCAGAGGTGACTATGGGGTTGCACGCTCATCTCACTTTCAGGCCGAGAGAGGTGGCATTTGTCCACAGACAGCTTTCTGGGTCATGTGGCCAGTATGACTAAACCGCTTCTGGTGCAACAGAACACTGTGAGGAAAACCAGAGCGCACAGAAATGCCATTTACCTTCCCGCCAGAGCAGTACCTATTTATCTACTTGCACTGGCGTGCTTTCAAACTGCTAGGTTGGCAGGAGCTGGGACAGAGCAACGAGAGCTCACCACGTCACAGGGATTCGAACTGGTGACCTTCTCATCGGCAAGCTCAAGAAGCTCAGTGGTTTAGACCACAGTGCCACCTGCATCATACAGACACAGGCAGAACTGGGAGATAAGGGGTGCATAACAGGTCTATGAGTTCCTCCTGTATTCCTGTCCAGTCCCACACCCACCACTGCTTGATACACTTGACTCATATTCCATGATAATCACAGAAAGCAGGTGCAATAACCCCAAATGTGGGGAAAGTCAATTACATTCTCAGTTGTAGTTTACAGTGAAAAAGCAATGATTTATCAGTGCTAGCAGCCACCCATCTGGAAGCAGCAATGGTTCAGGCTTAGGAGCTCTGATGTGCAGCAAGATCCCATGCCTGGAATAGTTCTCCATTTATTTCAGTGAATGGAGAATGGAATCTGCAAAAACATTCCTCTTTTCATGTCAGTGTTTTGTTTTGTTTTGTTTTAAACACAGCAGAGCTCACATGGAATTCTGTATTGGCTGAATGGCTATTTCAAGAAAGGACATCCCTTCATACATGTATATTTGTCTGGACTGACGTTTCTTAAAAATAAAACCAAGAAGCTTGAAAATCAATGAAAATACAATTTGGCCTCTGCACTGAAAACCTGTTTTAATTAAAAATGTTGATTGAGCTGACTTCCAATGCTGCAGCACAGAGTTTGAGGGTGTGGAAGGAACTATGGGGGTGGGGGAAAGAGACAAGAGGCAGGTGAATCCCTGTTGTACATGGGGGGAGGGAATAGAAAATTATGCCAGCCTTTTAAACAAGTACATATCAAGATCCACACCATAATGAACTATGCAGGTATGTGAAACCTCACCTTTGAGACATGTGTTGCCCCACTGGTAATTTATTAAATATTATTTTACTTACCTTTCTTTTCTCTATCCCAACATCTATAACAAAGGCCACAGTTTTAATCCAAACCAAAGATCCCCCAAAGCTTGTAGTTAGCAACACTCTTCTCCTGTAATTTTTGCACGGCCCTTCTTCATTTGGCTTGAGGATTCTCTCTCTTTCACTGGGATAGAGAAGAACAGGGACCAATTCACCAAGTTCAGGATTTAAATTAGGCCCTTCTTGTTGAATAATCTTGTAGGCTTTTCCAATTTCCTAGAAGCAGTGAAGACATCTTTCATGAAAATTAAACAGGCTCACTGTGCCAATTCTGAATCTATTCTCTCTTTTTAATGGATTTTATTTCTATGTTAAGCTCTAATGGCAAAAATATAACAGTCATAATGCTGATTAAATTGAGGAAATTGTAACAGAAGCATACATAGAAACATCATATACGGTAATGCGGCAATTCTGTTTCTTGAGGAATTTATTTCAGCCCAAGAAGGGGCTTCTTTCTCTTCCTTCCCCCATTTGCTTAAGTGCCATATTCCTTACAGATTTCTGCCATTTGACAGTCTATCATGGCTATACCAATCTCACAGAAAGACATTCTAATATCCATAACAAAACATTAACATACTACTAGAACAGTAATACTGTAATGAAAAATTATAACATGGCGCCTTGATTTTCCATATCAGTGTGTTCCATACACTTCCCAGAAATAGGACAAATTAATTTGGAAGAATCTCTATCTTGCTAACTTTGAAAATTACTATTATGTTCTTAGTCTATTTAGAATTTAAAGTATCAAAAGTGCTATAAACCATATATGAAAGTGACTAATTTTTCTTTATCGCTATTAAAATAATTGAACATATAGGAGAATTGCAATTTTGCTTTATAGCATTCTCCCCAGTGGCAGATGAACTCTCTGGGGGTAATAAAAATCAATAAAATGCTAAAGAAACCATTAATTGAAAAATTAAGTTTGAGAATTTAAAGGCATAAAAGTGTAAGAATTCAACAGCTCTAAAGTATTTGTTAAATTATGTCGTTCTTCTTCTTTCACATTATAGAAAATGATTGCTTGCAAAAGATATGGAAAAGAGTATAATGCAATTTAAAATGCACTTCTCTCTCTCCAAAGGCTTAAAGTATTTCTTTTGCATACTACTGTCCCCTCCCCCAAGTCTTTTAATGTCAAAGTGATACATACAGGACCAAAATGCTTTGCCTACATGATTATTCACCTTGATTTCTTAGTAGCAGTTTTGATCCCAGAAAATCTAAAGACCCACTATTATAGGATATGCTATCTAGGGCTCCGTCTGTACTATACACTGAAAACAGTTTTAGACCTCTTTAAACCATAATGGCTTCTCCCAAAGAGTCACGGGAGCTGTACTATGTTAAGGGTGCTGGGAGTTTTAAAGGTAAAGGTAAAGGTAAAGGGACCCCTGACCATTAGGTCCACTTGTGACCGACTCTGGGGTTGCGGTGCTCATCTCGCTTTATTGGCCGAGGGAGCCAGCGTACAGCTTCCAGGTCATGTGGCCAGCATGACAAAGCCGCTTCTGGCGAACCAGAGCAGCGCACAGAAATGCTGTTTACCTTCCCGCCAGACCGGTACCTATTTATCTACTTGCACTTTGACGTGCTTTTGAACTGCTAGGTTGGCAGGAGCAGGGACCGAGCAATGGGAGCTCACCCCGTCACAGGGATTCGAACTGCCAACCTTCTGATCTGCAAGTCCTAGGCTCTGTGGTTTAACCCACAGCACCACCCACGTCCCGCTGGAAGTTTTAGGAGACCCCTATTCTCCTTACAGCAGTACAATTCTCATAGTTCCCTCGGAAGAGAGATTGACTGTTAAATCGCTTTGAGAATTGTAGCTCTGTGAGAGGAATAAGCCACAACCTAGATAGCAGCCTTGGTAAAGTGAGCTGATGCTAGATCTTCCTAAAAGTAGCTTGCTACAGTTACCTTACAGCATAATTATTGGCATGCCTACTCTGAAGTAAACCCTACTTAGTTCAATGGGACTTTCTCCCAAGTAAGTATATATAGAACTGTAGACTTAGTACAACATGAATACTTTTTAAAAATTGGCCTAATTACAGAAGGGGTTACGGAAATTGCTCATCCTAACATGGAAGCCCAAGTATGCAAATATTTTCTGTGATACATTAAATGATTTACTTACTTGTTCACAGGCCAGAAAGATCACGATATCACCTCTCTCTTTAGAGTTATGAATCTCAAAAAGCAGTCTTAAAGCAGAAGAGAAATTATCTTTCTGAATGCAACAGGTATACACAACCTCCACCTGGTATCTGCTTTTCACTGTTATGAGAGACGTGCTGCCATAATATGTCTGTAGTTTGGTGCACATCTGAGTAGATGTAATTACAATTAGCTTCAGCTCGGGTCTTAATATCACTACATCTTTAAGGAGTCCAAGCAATACATCTGTTGGGAGAGTTCTTTCATGCACATCATCCAAAATGATGATTCCATAATTGCTCAGAAAGGGATTGGACATCATTTCTCTTTGTAGCATGTCATCTGTACTGTATCTGTAGCCATGCAAAGAAAGAAAGATCATTATTCAAAATTGGTGATGACATACGGTAAGCTGAAGGAGACAGCATGCATTCTTCAGGCTATGCATAATCTGCCCAGGTTTTTCCTTCAAAATGAAAATATCAACAAAATTGCACTAAAGTGGTGGGGTCGGAGAAATCATGGCAGATTAGAATAGCCTGTCATACCTGCAAGAAGAAGAGTAGAAGAGTTTGGATTGGTATCCCACTTTATCACTACCTGAAGGAGTCTCAAAGCGGCTAACAATCTCCTTTCCCTTCCTCCCCCACAACAAACACTCTGTGGGGTGAGTGGGGCTGAGAGACTTCAGAGAAGTGTGACTAGCAGCTGCATGTGGAGGAGGCAATAATTCAGCATATATTTGGTATGAGAAAGACACAGCAATCCCATGTGTGTTTCCTCAAAATGAAGTCCCAGTGTGTTCAACAGGGATAACTCACAGGTAAGTAAACACAGGATTGCAGCCTAAATTCCACTGACTGCAGTAGGTTTTAACATGCCAGACTGTGAGCACAGAGTTGATTTATGCTCAGAAAAAGTAAAAAAACAGCTTGTCAGAATTGGAGGTCAAGTACTAAGATGGGTCCCAAAAATATACACCTCAAGTGTCAAAAGCTAGGGTAAAGCTGTATGCCATACATGTACACATATGTGTGTGCATTACATGCACAGAAACATGATGCATCTCCTATAGGGTAGGGTTTAGGCCATCTGACAGCCAAATTTTACATCCACAACAATGTTCCTAAATGCAGTAATTTGTTTTTTCACATTTCCACATCTAAGTTGGTTAATTAAAGGGATCCACAGAGACATCAATAGCACATGTATTTGTAAGGTGGGGAATGATAACCCTGTCCCCGACTCATTTTGACCTCAGTATCTGGTTCAATGCAACCCATTCACTTTATCACATAGAGCTACTGAAGATCAAGACCTTTATAGTCTTGCCACATAATCTTCATGGAACTGTATCAGGCTCGGTTTCTTAGCTAGTGTGTGATGCTAGAGCATAATGGAATTACACATTTGTATGTAGGTTATCTAGAGTACCTGTACATATTAGAGGGACTGAATATGAATGCACAAACCTCAGGATCGTTTCACTATTGCAGCAGCTCTCACATGGGACCACATAACCCACTTCATGACCAATATTGACGTCCATCTCATCAGCTACTTGCAATGCCAGCCATACTGCTGTATGTTTATGTGTCTGTGTGCACACAATTGTTCCGTGTTGAAAATGAGTGGAAAGAGAATATTCAGCACACCACTGGGGCACCTTTAATATTAAAAAAGTTAGAGAGGAATGAATCCATCTATGAAATGAATACACAAGCTTATTTGATTACATGTGCTGTCTCAAGTGAACATCTGCTGTTTGCTTGCTAGCTGTCTGCCTACTAGCAGCTGAACAGTTCAATAAATGGAAATTATTTTCCTGGATAAATGTCAAGACCCCGAGTCAGTTAAGTGGTCAAACATAAAGTGAAAGACAGGTCTGGGAATTTCTTGTTCTGAACTAGATTAGCCTGAGTATATTAGAGAAGTGACAGGAATGGCCTCTGGGGAGAAAAGGACACCAACCCTATCATACTTGAGCATTTTGGTTCCTTGCTTGGTTTAACAGTGTGAGGGACATTTCTGATCAGGGTCAGGGGGGCCAAATCCCTGTCTGTGTTTCCTTCTGGGCTTACAGCCCTGGCTCTGCTCAGTCACTTTAGCACAAAATGACCATCTGTCAGAAAGAAGTAAACAGCTGATGTTAATGTTTATTTGAAGCAGAAGGATTGTTTGTATTTATTGCCATAACTCTGGAATTTGTAGAGGAACTCCATGGGGGTTGTACATCTGTAGACATTCTTGGAGTAATCCACATGGCTATAAAACAGGGGAACAAAATATATTCTTTCCTTTTGAAAGGAAAATTAATAAAGGGTCAGTTTATGCACCATCATGTATAATTGTTTAAATGATTGAATTAGATGTTAGGGGAGGGCAGTATCTCTGGTGGGGACACGTTGTGTTTCTTCTGGGGAAGTTTGTACATCTTTGGTCCCCAAACCTGCACTCAGCTCTCACCTGTGGCTCATAGAAGCAGTCAACACGTAACAGTGGTGACATCCTGGGAAACAGCTGCAACTGGCCAGCTAAACCAGGTAAGGGTAGCCGATGGGTCTTAAACCCTCAGTGAGTTAAGGACTTATCTATCCCCTGCATTTGAAGACGAGGCCAATAGCAGGTACAATGGTCAAGAAGACTTTTCTTCATGTGCTGTTAAGGGAAATCAGGGGGAAATGGGGCTCACCAGCCTGGGAAGGTAGCCTATCTTGGGGAAGGAGAAAACCTCCTAAACCTCTGTTGCCTTGTGGTTATGTTGCCTTGTGGTTTCCCATGAAGGAATGTGGCCCTCATGCTGGAAAGGTAGCTCACTCCTGTTTTATTGACAGTATGGCAAGGTATAAGTGCTGGAATATAAATGTCTTCTTCACTAACTAGAAGAAAGAGGTCCATTTGAGCCTGGGTGTGTGGGAAGTATTCCATAATAGTGGAGTCACTGAGATGGCCCTATATATGTCATACATTAATAGCAGAAATGAATGTTCTTAACTTTTTGAAATGCTTGTGGTGATGAAAGTTCAAAGTCCTTGTGCCAGTGGAGGGGGCTGGCAGATGCCCTTGGGAAACAGATTGCCTTTTCTTGTCTTAGTGAATTGATTTCAATGTAGCTCATATGGAAGTAACTACTGATTGATTATGCTTGTCTTATACATGATAAAGAAATTCATGGAATTTAAAGTTAAAATTCTAAACATGCACTATATCTCTATCTATATATCTAATCATATTAATCTGTTTAAGTACAATGTTTTAACTTTTGTATGTTTTGAAGTATGGCTTTGATATTTTTTCTTGCTTTTATTTTATCTTTTTGTAAAGATAAAATAAGGTTATTTTTTAACAAACAAGCAGTGTATAAATTTTATGAAATACAACATTTATCAGTTAATTTGTCCTCTGTTTCTAAAACCATATCACATTTTAATTCTTGACTTTTCAACCACCTACAATGAAATGTTGGATAATATAATCAAATAGGCAATAAGAAGTGCATTCTGTCAAACTATATGGTGAAATGAACTTCAGGTACTGATCTTTTGAACTTTTTTTTAAAAAATGGCAATCTCTCGCATACTACATGCCAAACAAGTATTGAAACTCAACAGTTGAGAGAGATCCCCTCCTGCATGAACAAATCTTTAACTGTGCAGTACAAAACTGGATCATGGGTCCTGTTTTTTTAAGGACCTCAGTCCTGAAGCCCTAGTAAAACCATTCCTGTCACCACCACTCCCAAGCCTACTGCAATTAATGTTGTGCAGATGAGATTTTGATTGGCCTAATACATTTGACAATATTGGAATACTACAGGACAATCACTGAAAGCAGGCAACAGTTTTACATTCTAGGATGTTCAATAAGTGGTAACATACAGGATCACATGCCTAAAAACTTAGTTCAATGTTCTGTCAATTACAAGATCTATTTTAAAAATATGAATGTTGCATATAATTAATTCATATCATACTGCAAGTGCTTTGTTACAAACACTCACCTGGGAGCTCTTACCAGTTTTGGCATCTCCTGAAACAATCACAATCTGATGATGATGCAGACTTTCCATGAAAGCATATTTCACTTGCCAGACTGGAAGTTCCTCTCTTTCTTTGAGAAGTTTGTAGTAACGGGAAGAGAATGGCAATCCATCAAAAGGATTCATCTCTAAATCTGCTGCATATCTCTCCATCCTTTCCTCTTCCATCTCCTCCCCATCAGAAGAGTCAAATAATTCTGAAAAGCACTGCTTCTCAGAATAAGAAACAAAGTAGTCCATAACTCTCCTTCATGTATTATTCCCAGCAATGAGTATCAGAACATCAATGAAAACCTTTTACATTAATAAATCACCAAAGTCACCCAGTTCAGAAACAGTATATTCCAAAACTCAGTTCAAAAGTGCCACAAAGTTTATATTCCAAGGGTTTGTTTTCTCTTTCCCTTCTTTATTTCTTTGTCACCTCTGTGGGCCGTGAGGCTGATTCATCAGAAAGTTTATTTGAGAGCCGTCTAAAAACTAAAACACCTACATTTAAAATGATTTACTCCTGGAGATACAGTTCTGCAGAAACCAATCACTTCCTGCATATTGAATTGATGTATTTTTCCTCCAGATCAGACCAATTAGTAAGAAGTTGGTTTGCTTTCTTGCAGTGTATTCTGCAGCTTCTCTCTTGCTGGTCTGGTGATTAAGGATTCTGCTGAGTTACCACTTTGTCACACGTGTCTCCATCCTGATTCATTGTGAATAGAAGCCTACAGGATGAGATTATTGTGTCTGGTTGTGAAAAGGGTCACATGCTTGCTTAATCCCATTACAATAGATTTTACCACAGGATGTGCAGTGCAAAACTGGGGGAAGCAGGCAGCTCTGTGCAGCAACCATATAAATGTATACAATGGTACCTCGGGTTACATACGCTTCAGGTTACAGACTCCTCTAACCCAGAAATAGTACCTCAGGTTAAGAACTTTGCTTCAGGATGAGAACAGAAATACAGTGGTTACCTCAGGTTACATATGCTTCAGGTTACATATGCTTCAGGTTACCGCTAACCCAGAAATAGTGCTTCAGGTTAAGAACTTTGCTACAGGATGAGAACAGAAATTGTGCTCCGGCGGCGCAGCGGCAGCAGGAGGCCCCCATTAGCTAAAGTGGTCTTCAGGTTAAGAACAGTTTCAGGTTAAGAACAGTTTCAGGTTAAGAACAGACCTCTGGAACAAATTAAGTACGTAACCAGAGGTACCACTGTAATTAGAAACGTGTTTTAAATTTAGGCCAAACATTTGAAACACTGTAGTAAAATCTGAAGTGTTCTAGAATTTAGAAAACAGTATGGGAGAATGAGACATTATTATTTAAATCACATAAAGGACAGATGAAGGGGCAGTCCTAGACAAAGTGCACTGGGATGAGCAGATATTTGGTTTCGCTGGCTGATTCCCAGCTCAGCCAGTGTTAAATTTCCAATCCAGCTCAGCTGAAGTTATGCTGGTGTAATTGCCTCATCCTGGCACAGCTGGCTGAGCTAAAGTGGTTGCAAAAGGGACTTAGGCTGGATCCTAAACCCATTCAGCTCCAGCGGCCTGACAATCTAGCATAGCACGCTATTTGAAAGGCCTATTTCCCCTCTGCCAGGCTAAGGCAGAACAGCAGCAGCCTTGCTGCTGAACAGGGTTTGAATCTGCTGTAACTACACTGGCTTCATTTACACCCGCATGCTGCTTTTGCATAGGATTGCTCTTGCTCCTGAAAACATTTTCAATTAAGATTTTTTAAAAAAAAAAATCCAGCAGGGCTTCCTAGTGACTCTAATCTAAGTAACTCTTAATCTGAGTCGTGCATTCGAGTCGTACCCAATTCCTGCATTGCACCTGACATGGCCCCTTCCTGCTACTTCCTCAGCTCATTCTCAAAATTCAGGGTGGCGGAGGACAGAGTGGCGACGGGCCGCTCCTTGCCGCCTTTCCTCCCTCCGAGCTCGCTCTCTCGCCGCCCTTGGTTTCGACTTCGGGGGATCCCTAGGCCTAGTTTGGTCTCCTGGCCAGGCCGTTGGCGTTGCTATGGCAACGGGACTCTGGGCGCGGCCCAGCCGGCGGGAGGAATCTCAACCGGCCGCTGCTCATGGAGGCCGGCGGAGGTGAGGAGAAAAGTAGCGGAGCGGACGGGAAGGCTGAGAAGGAAGGGAAGAGGGGTGAGAGGACCTCGTCGAAGACGGAGAGGGCAGGGGGTGAGGGATGAGGAGGGAGACATTTCTTTCAGCCACGACTCAACAGCGTTTGAAATAATATTAAAAGTCAAAAAATGCCCCTGAGCATGCACAGAGTGCATTCCCCCCCTCAGACATGAACCATGTCTCCTGGTTTTTCATTACCACTTGGCTCCGAGGCCGCCTCCTTAAACGGAGCACTTGCCGTAGGATTTGATCCCACGGGGAGGAGGTAGAATAGGGTTGTTGTTGTTTTTTGGTAAGGTTCACCGCACTAGCAATACCTGCAGAGAAAGTCAAGGATGCAAATTTTTTTCAGCATATGGAGATTCAGTGAAAAGGGAAGCTTAACTTGTTGAGTTTCTGCATGTTGGTAGATTCCCGGCTGATCCTGGTAGATCGCGGGATCCCCATCGTGCACAAACAGTTATGGGGGGAGGTAACTAAAAAACTCTGCAATCCTGTGCAAAACAGCTCAACAGCTCTGGGCAATCCACGCACCCCACGCACGCTCCTCCTGCCTCCAATGACAATGGTAGATCACTGCCAGTTTTTTTTTTATATACTGGGAGTAGATCAGTCTCTTGGGAGTTGGATATGCCACTATAGCTGTTAAAAGCGCAGGGAGGAGCTGGCAAGCCATTTCTGGGTTGATAAGCCTATGGGAGTTACCGGTAGTTGGAGTCCTGGATACTGGGTGCCCTTACTTTAGTAGTTGCCAAATTACCACACACACATGCCTGCTGCCTTTAAGGGATACACTAGTTGCATGTCTGAAATAGGATACCTGTAAGATAGTTTCTGTGTTTGTAGGGAAGGGGGCTTTTTTTTTTTTAGGTAATAGAAAATTGGAATCCATAAAAAGAAGGGAAGCCTGGGGTTGTGAGCTGTAGGAGTGAGAATAGGAGCAGCAAGGATGATGTCGAATCAATGAAGCCTGAGAGAGCAGTGTGTATGTCGCTTGGAATAGGAGGTATCGATGGAAGAAAATGCTGGAAAGTAGGAACATGGGGACTGTGAGGAATGGGTAGCATGATTTTGCACAGCAAGGACTGAATGGGAATAGTGCTGTGAAATTCTATAGGTCAGGCACTAGAGAAAACCTGGATATTATTATTATTATTATTATTATTATTTTCCATAGCTGGTAGGAAATCATACCGTTATATTGTAAACCACTAGATTTCATTCTGTTATTTAAGCTGCAACACAGTTTTACTGTATTTATCAATTGTTCATGAGAGACGCAAGACGTCATTATGAAACAATGATACCTTGAAGGATCACTAGCAGAAATAGTCAGTTGCATCATTCAGGAAAACGAGCTTAATTTATCAACATTCAGAATGTGCATTTGAAACCCCTTGACTAATTTCTGAAGAAATATATCCTTCATTTGCTGGATTTACTGCCTCCATCAGCAAACAGAAATTTTCATACAAGTAAACCTCACACAATAGGGGCAAGGGGAAATAAAAAAAGTGCTTGATCCCAAAGTAGTGATCATTTAGACCAGAGGTGGGAAAACCTTTTTCATATAAAGTTTCATACCCGTAGTAGGCAGGGTCAAGGCCAGTAGTGAATGGGGGACATTCCATTTGTTTTAGACGCTATGTATGATGAAAGCTTATCAACACCATATCAGAGCAAGCAAAATTTAACTGGGTACATTCCGCATCACCCCAAATTCAGTCACTGGTTATTTCTATTTACAGTGGTACCTCAGGTTACATACGCTTCAGGTTACATACGCTTCAGGTTACAGACTCCGCTAACCCAGAAATAGTACCTCGGGTTAAGAACTTTGTTCAGGACGAGAACAGAAATTGTGTTCTGGCGGCGCGGCGGGAACAGGAGGCCCCATTAGCTAAAGTGGTGCTTCAGGTTAAGAGCGGACCTCCGGAATGAATTAAGTACTTAACCCGAGGTACCACTGTATTTGGTCTTTCATAAACCAGAGGAATGTGAAAGGTACAGTGGTACCTCGGGTTAAGTACTTAATTCATTCCAGAGAAAGAGGGACGCGGGTGGCGTTGTGGGTAAAACCTCAGTGCCTAGGACTTGCCGATCGCATGGTCGGCGGTTCAAATCCCCGCAGCGGGGTGAGCTCCCGTCATTCAGTCCCAGCTCCTGCCCACCTAGCAGTTCGAAAGCACCCTTAGGTGCAAGTAGATAAATAGGTACCGCTTTATAGCGGGAAGGTAAACGGCGTTTCCGTGTGCTGCGCTGGTGCTGGCTCGCCAGAGCAGCTTCGTCATGCTGGCCACGTGACCCGGAAGTGTCTTCGGACAGCGCTGGCTCCCGGCCTCTTAAGTGAGATGAGCGCACAACCCTAGAGTCGGACACGACTGGCCCGTATGGGCAGGGGTACCTTTACCTTTAAACCAGAGGAATGGGGTAGTGATGTTGATAAGACTCTTCCGAACCCCAGCCGACCACAGTTAAGACCCACCCTTTGCAAACTTATCCAAACTGGAGGTGCTTTCACGAAATTGTGATTGGTGTCTAGAGCCTGGACAAAACCCCAACAAATGTTAATTTAAACGAATATTTTGCTTTGAGAAATATTTTGTTTTTGTATGATTTGTTCAGTCGTTCAACAGTGGGGTTTCCCTCATTAAGGCTGCAAACATATACACATTTGCTCAGGTCTTACTGGGGAGAGGTTCTTCAGATGTTAATGTGTATTCATTCACCTACTTCAAAATGTAGTTGGCCAAACCTGTTATATCTGGGGGAATTTCTGCTCATTCTGCTGAGTAGGGTCCACAACTTCCACCCCAAAGACTTGCACTTATGGCAGAGTGTAAAGCAAACCCCACCTCATCTCAGAAGTTGGAGGCACACTGTTCAGGGTTTGATAATCCCCTGTTCAGGAGGCAGCAAATACACTTAAACTACCAGCTTATTAACACATAACTATGCTCTTTGCGTCACAAATTAAAGTTGGTTAACTGCAAATTAAAGTGGCTATCTGTGTGGCTAGTTCTTTACCCGCCAGCTTATAGGGGTATTGGGCTACTTCACTGTTGTACGAACACTGGAAAGGCACAGTAGCTCTAGTAAGACATAAAATAAAATAGGCACCTGTATTTCATGTTGGAATCTTGCCTTTCATAAAAATGGAATATCTGTGTCAGTTTTTGATTGAGATTTATTCATGTCAGAACCTTTAGATCTTGCTTCCTAAGCTACTCATCACATTTACACCGAAAGGTTTAAGTTAAGTGTTCTGTTCTACATAAGAATATGTGTGTGTGTGTGTGTGAGAATGTATATGTAGTTGCTGCTAATGGAAAGGTTTGTTCGATAAATGAGGTGTCTCTTGTTAAGAGCGTATGTACTTCTGTGAGGAGGAAAAGGCCAGCAAGCTTGTTATCAGGTTTTATTGCAGCTCTCCCAAGAAAAAAATTTCCTTTTCCTGCTGTTAGATTTCTTTGGTGTCAGACAAATATTATATATGCCTTATCGGCTTAATGAGAAAAGCTGTAAGAGAATATAAAACTTAAAAATAAAATAAAATCTGAATTGTGCCCAAGGTATTTAGTCATCACTTCTGATCTGATCACTTATTTATGTAGTAACTTTATTAGCATAATGAAATAAAATTTTAAAATAGATAATTAAAAGCCAGCATGCCATTAGTTGTTTAAATTAATTAAACCTGGATATTTTTAGTAATCTATGAAGTTTTTTTGTTTGTTTTTATGAAAGTCTGAATGCATCCACCTTTCCTATATGCAGCAGTGAGGCAGAGCTCTGCCATTCATATTACCTCTTTCCTGTTGAGTTGCTGCAGCATACCAGGAACGAGAGAAGAGAGAGAGAGAGGGAGAGAGAGCGGGGGAAGTGTTGCAAGGTTGTGTGATGCAAATGTGCCAGCAGAAGCATGGACACATTTGCCACACCCCTCTGTTCTATTTTGCTGTAGTGACTCAGCCAGACAGAGGTCAGGTGAATGGTGCAACCCCAGCACATCATCCGCTGCTGCCTGTGTGACATGCATGTGGAACAGTCCTCTGGATGTTGCTGAACTATATTCCCCATCAGCCCCAGCCAGCATGGCAATAGTCAAGGCTAAATGGGAATTGTAGTTAAACAATTTTGGAGGGCCAAAGCTTTCCCACTTCCACTACATGGAATATAGAGCTTTCCAGTATTTTTTCTGTGGCAACTGGAGTACAGTGGTACCTCGGGTTAAGAACTTAATTCGTTCTGGAGGTCTGTTCTTAACCTGAAACTGTTCTTAACCTGAGGTACCACTTTAGCTAATGGGGCCTCCCGCTGCCGCCACGTGATTTCTGTTCTTATTCTGAAGCAACGTTCTTAACCCGAGGTACTATTTCTGGGTTAGCGGAGTCTGTAACCTGATGCGTATGTAACCTTAAGCGTCTGTAACCCGAGGTACCACTGTAAAATGAATGGTTGTGGAACTGCAGTCTCACATATCTCTGTTATACTGTATCTAACCCCCCTGCCCCATAACTGAACTGTCCATGATAGGCGATACAATTCCATTTTGAGGAACCTATTTTATCTGTGCTCCATCCTGTAATTGGTTAATTAAATAATCATCCTGAATTATAACCATGACTGTCCTAAGGGCTTGGGGTGGTTACAGTAATTATTTGTCACAGTATGTATTTAGCAGGCCACTACACGCAATATAGGAAAGATGTGTTCACAATATAATAATTTATTAGATTAATATAACTGTCCATCAATAAAAAAATCCTAAATGACTTACAACAAAATATCAAAAACAGAGAGGAATTCAATGACCTAATGTGATTGTTCTGTCAGCAGAACAGTGCCATTTATGCTTGCCAGACAGAAATATCTCCCCCCTTCTCCCCCCATGTGCTGCTTTGAGGGTTCTCTTGAACCCCCCTAGCTGATTTGAGGGTGGGCATGATGGGACGCGGGTGGCACTGTGGTCTAAACCACTGAGCCTAGGGCTTGCCAATCAGAAGGTTGGCGGTTTGAATCCCAGTGATGGGATGAGCTCCTGTTGCTCAGTCACTGCTCCTGCCCACCTAGCAGTTCAAAAGCATGTCAAGTGCAAGTAGATAAATAGGTACCGCTCTGGCGGGAAGGTAAATGACATTTCTGTGCGCTGCTCTGGTTTGCCAGAAGCATCTTAGTCATGCTGGCCACATGACCCGGAAGCTGTCTGTGGACAAACGCCGGCTCCCTCAGCCTATAGAGCGAGATGAGCGCGCAACCCCAGAGTCATCCGCAACTGGACCTAATGGTCAGGGGTGCCTTTACCTATGAGGGGACACACTAGGGGGATGAAAGGCCCATTGTGCTAGTGGGATTTGTGCTGACTCCTGTTTGTACAATTACTTAGTTGAATCCAGCCCAAAGTACAGTGAAAAACATTTTTGCATAGAAGCAGCATAAAAGGTATAACCCTAATTGAAAACTTCTTAAAAGAGGATGTAAAGAACATGATTTTTACTTTGTGCTGTGAAACTAAAGAAGGTTCCAGATGAGCCACTCTCAGGAGGTTCTATAGTTGAGGTGCCAACACTAGAAATACCTTCATCGTAACCATATGCCTTCCTTCAGTTACCGGGTGCACCCTGGTCAGGGTCTTAATATAAGATCTTAAGGTTTAAGCAGGCAGAAGGTGGTGATCTTAAGCCACTTAGGATGTTAAAACCCACAATTTAAATTGCTCCTGGAAATAGACTGGGAGCCAATACAACTGGTAAAACATCTAGTATCAATTAGTAATCTTGGGGCTCTATTTTGAAACAACTGCAATTTCTGGACTGCTTTCAATGGAAGCCCCTTGTATACTGCACTGCAGTAGTCTAAACAGGCTGTTACATTCATCACTTACCTGCCCCTTCACTAATCTCCCCTTCAAATATGTATTTTTTTAAAGCTGCTATTTAAGGTATTTATATACTCTCTCTCTCTCTCTCTCTCTCTCTCTCTCTCTCTGTGTGTGTGTTTATGTTAATGTTATTGACCATGCCATGGGACACATAGGAATCATTATCATCATTCATTATCTCATTCATGAATTCCATCCTATGAGACATCCCAGAGTAATTTACAATGTAATAGAACAATGGCATATATAAAAACAGCAATATCATTTGCATATATAAAAGCATACATATAAATCAGAATAACACCACTTATATTAAATTAATTTGAATCCAATACAGATGCTAAGTCTCCACTTAGCAGGTTGTCTTCAAATGGGAAAGAAAGGACAATAGAGAAGGCACTGCTAAACATGTTGCTAACACATATTTTTTCCTATTATGTGAAGTAGCTCTAAATTAGTGGAAAAGGAGGAACCAAACAAGGAAATCTAAGCAGAATCTGGCATATATAAATACATTTAAGCATCCTAATTATGGCTTCTATAACAATTCCTAATTGACTTCCTGCTAGAAAAGGATAGTGACAGGAACCAGACTGTCCCTGCCAGTTTTTCTTTTTAAAGTATGCGTGCATATGATAGAGTTGTATAAATTATCTTGTCAGCTACTCAGCACTCTTACTGAACAGTTCCATAAAGTGCTGCTGTTGCCACCTGAACTGAACAGTTTTGCACACTACTGAAAGTCATCCACTTCCTATGAGTATCCACCCCACCTCCTTGCCATCCAGAAAAGAGTTTTTCTGCTTTGTTTTTTAAAGCAAAAATAGTCTTTTTAAAATAATAATAATAATTAATTTGGTTTTCAGATTAAAGTTTTACAATCACATATCCAACATACAACGTAAAGGCAAGATTCCAAAGAATCTCCTGGACTTCCCTCCTCCCATTTGTGGGTCCTATTAATCATTTCCAATTCCAAGGTGCTGAGGTCCCTTCAGCCCCCCCCCAGTAAAATATTTGAGGGAGCCAGGCCCCCCAAAGTTAATGGGCATTGCCATTCAAACGGGGGTGTGGGGTGTGTATGCCGTGTCTTGTGATCGATTATGTGGGGCAGGGCTTACTTTGCCCCCCCCCCCAATAATTTACTCAGGTTGGCAGCCCTGAGCAGTGGCCTCTGTGATGCCAAAATTCAGTGTCCCCCTGTACCTCTCCTTCCATTCTACATCATAGTTGTGGCACTCCCAAGGCTCTGCAGCCAGGATGGCCGAACCGGTTACGCTCCCCTAAATCCTTCTCTGATTTGATCTGTATTGGAAAGTGGAAGGGACAGAACACATCTAAGCTAGGGATGGGAAATATTTTTCAGCCTGTGCTTTCCTCATGAGGAACCTTCTGAGAGCCACATCCCAACAATGGGCAGTCCAGAGGCAGAGCTGTGCAGAACAGTTGATATGACTCTTGCCTCACAAATGTCAGAGGTTACCAGACATGCACATATTTCCACCCAGGCAAGCTGGAATCAAGGACACATTCCAGTCAGGAGTGGGTGGAGCAGGGTTGGTGAGGGATGGGGCCTGGTGAAGAGTTACAAGGGCTGGATAGAGATGCCTGGAGGGCCACATTTGGTCCTTAGGCCTGCGGCTCCCAAGGGCTGATCTAAGTCATCTGTAGAAGCTGCTATGTAGAAGATGTACGCTTGCTGTTTTGTTACTTTTGACATTCCATGTGCTTTTGCCTCATCATTTTTCTTTCCCCCAAAGCAAGTGTTGTATAGAGAACGAAGACTTTCGATCAAAGTGATTCTGCTTAAGTACAGTGGTACCTCAGGTTACATACGCTTTAGGTTACATACGCTTCAGGTTACAGACTCCGCTAACCCAAAAATAGTGCTTCAGGTTAAGAACTTTGCTTCAGGATGAGAACAGAAATTGTGCTCCAGCGGCGCGGCGGCAGCAGGAGGCCCCATTAGCTAAAGTGGTGCTTCAGGTTAAGAACAGTTTCAGGTTGAGTACGGACCTCCGGAACGAATTAAGTACTTAACCCGAGGTACCACTGTAATTGGTTTCAATAATTAAGCAGATTTTTAAAAATGTAATCAATTCTATTTAATTTTTCATTATTCATGAGTTTCAGGTGTCTCCAGAGAATTTAAACTCCCAAATTGACTTTGTAGCAAGAGATTATAAGGTTGACCAATTTGGAACTTTGTCTGGGTGATAGAGGCAGTATCGGTAATTAGATAGATGAACCTGATCTTTCCCTGTTCACTATAAAAGGATAGTGGAGTGAGCTGCGCCATCGCTGTCTTTTTTCTTTCTTGTCATTTTAAGGATATGCCACTGAGCTATATGAATATCTGTACTGTATGAAAATTATGTAGCAGCTTTCACTGCAAAAATAATTAGGACAAAAGCTTATGATTTCCTGATGAGGTGGTTCTTTATGTTTTTAAGTCATAGTTTTAGTGTATTGACACGGAATTTAACTTTCCAGATGCAAGACAATCAATAGGACAACCTCATAGCTCACAATGTTTCTGTTTCCTGTCTATGATGTCATAAAGCTCCATGTTGGTCATAGCAATGAAATGAATATTAAACAAGCTGTTTCTGGTTGAGCTGAAGGTCAAGCCACTGTTAATCTGGTTTCAAATATTTTGTGTGTTTTTAAATAGTCCAGCTACTCTTTTGGGCATGATAATGATAGATTTTATGCAAATATTTTGCATTTTGGCATAATCTTTTCAGACAATTAATAAACTAACAATATAATAAAGCAATTATTTCCACATTTAACCAAAACAAGAAGTAAAGAATATAGGTTTTGATATTTTTGATATTTTCTCCAACAAAGGGTCTTGTTGGAGAACAAGTATGACCGGCACAAATTCGTTTGGAGATGCTTTTGTCATCTTTGGAATGTGTATGGCAGGACAAGCTGTGTGAAGTGAATGTTTGCCTGCTACAAAGCTGTCATGGGGCCTCTGTCTGTTAAATGTGCCAAGCAGAATGATCAGAACTTGGTTTATTGGAAATAGAACTCATATGCTCCTATAACTTTTCATTAAGTGAAATGTAATATAATATTGTAGGTAATCTTAGCTACCTTAGAATGAATTACCTGAATTATTCCAATATATACCTTATCCTGAACTTAACGGAACACAGTGTAGTGTGTCTTATAATGTGCTAATACCTTTATGAGAAAAGGAAAGTGCACAGCGCATAGGATTAGTGATGGTGTGAATTTGGAATATGAACTCACCTAGTTTGGAAAGCCAAAACCCATTACAAACCAGACCCAGGCCTTTCAAGGATCAGCTGGTAATGAAATTCATCCTTGCTACCTGCTAGCTCCCTTCGCCAGTATTTTAATCCACTTTCAAAGCAAAAAGGTTATTCTTGGAAAGGGGAGTAACTGATGGTAGGGAGGGCTCACTAGAGACAGTACTGGTCATTCTGACACTCAGGATTGTATTTTTTTGCCCAAGGCATTGGAATTTGTAAGTTCTTTTGCTTCCTTCACTGAATTTTGGGGAGAGTAAATAACAAGTTCCCCAGCTTGTTATTTCCTGCTGGGGAACATGGGATCTTAGTTTCCTTGGCTGCTCTGGAGTTCTAAATTCCCATGCTCCCCAAAAGCATATGATGTTCCCAAACATGCTGTGGAGTGTTATTTCCAGGCTGGCAAGGGTTTTCCTGTTTCTAGCCTGCTCTCCCTGTCACTGGCTGTCTCCTACTCCTTCTCAAAAGTAAGCATATTTGGAGTGAAGGGTGAGGGGAACTGGCAAGTTTCTAGTTTTCTCAAAAATAAAAGAAGATTGAGGTTTGTGTGCATAGGGTTATTGATTTCAAGGGATTTTCACCCATCGTTGCATATGATAGTTTAAACTTGGATACCCTAGTATACAACATTTTGCATGTCAAAATAACCCTTCTGTAATCATCAACTATCTTTACAGTATGCATCCTTCCCTGTATTGAATGTTAAATTGAGAAGCTGATGTATTGCTTCAAGTTAGCATCAGTTGTTTGAGAAGATGGTAGAATCATAGAATTGTAGAGTTTGAAGGGGTCCTGATGTTCATGTAGTCCAACCCACGGCAATGTAGGAATCTCAACACATAGTCCCCAAGCTGATTTCAAACCATACCAGATCCTGCTTAGCTTTGCACATGTGCTAGCGGTTTTTATTGTTACATCTTTAGGAGGCAATGCCAGTTTGTTTCTTGGCTCTGAATTATATCAGTGTTTGATGAATAGCCACATTCCACCCCCCTTCCCCTTGTTTACTATGGACCAGATGGGCAAAATTCCATCTTACTATAGGAGTAACATACCTGAATGTCTTTATAATGGATGCCTGTTGCCTCTAGTTAGAGTATCTGCTTTGCTTTCATTCTGAGCGATGGTCCACTTATGCCTACAACAGAATAGGTGTTTAGTGACAAACTACCCCCAAGTCTAAGGGTTTACATTAAGTCTATTGACTAATTATTTTTTCTTTTTTAAAGCAACATAATTTTAAGCACTGAGAAAGTAATATTTCCACTATACAGTACTTGCTAAAATGGTCACTAAGGACAGGCTGACAGAAATATGGAATGCTTTATGAAGTTTGTTTGTCATCCTTGTGCTGGGGCCACGCTAATCTTCTGTGTATTTTTCCAATTTTTCTATAGATTATTTGCATTTATAAAATGTAAGACATGTTTGATTGGTCGCTTAACTAATACACTTGCTGAAAAGATGTGAAACTGCAGATACAGATAGTATTTTCTGGGAAAAAAGTCATTGTTCCTTGTGTGTGACACAAAGGGTGGTTATGCAGAATGGGGCCTTCTTGGTAGTGGTGCTGAGACTCTAGAATTCCCTCCCTGGGGAGATGCACCTTGCTGCTTTTTTGATGGCATACAGATTCCAAGTTAAAACTATCCTGTTTGAAAGCCATTTGTGAGAAAGTTATTTAAAAATTAAGTTGTATGTTGCTGCTGTTTTGTATTTGCTATGTGGACATTTGTATTTGCTATGTGTTATAATTTTATTTCTTGGAGGTTATTGCTTACTTATTCTCAACTATCTTGTGGATATTTTGTGATCAAAAGGAAAGATATAAATATTCCACAAAAACAAATAAATGCTTAGGCTGTGCAAACGTTTGTCACAGCAGCTGAAGTCCATAGATACAATGCAAAATGGTTTACAGTTCTGTTTATTGTATTGCTGCAAAGTGGGGGAAGGTACAAAAGATTAAATAATGCAGAGATTGTCCTACAGTGCTTTTGCAGTCCTAGCCATATTCCTGTTTGAATCAAGATAAATATCAGACATGTGAAATGATGTAATTCATTTGTAGGAAGACATTCCATCTCAAAACCACGCCCTCCAGTTGTAGTTGTACGCCATGTGAGCCACCACAATATTCACCTTAGTTGGGACTTGGAAGAACAACGAAAAGGTCCTCAGGAACAATGGTTAAAATTTTCAGTTGAAGAAGAGGACACGAAGTTGCATAAATATGGTCTAATTTATACGTAAGTGAAGTTGTGCTGCCCCCTACAAAATAATTTGAAAGCTTGGATAACAAAGCTGACATACTTAACATAAATCAGTGGTTCTGAAAATGGTCTTTGTGGTTGTAGGTGTAACAAGAGTATGTCAATACTTCCATGCATTGCAGACTCTTCCCCTAAATCTGTACCTCTCAGTGCAGCAAGTACCACTCAGATGACTTGAAAGGGGAAGGTTCTATAATCATGGAATCAAATCATTGATGGGTCTGACTTGTTGCTGTTGGATCCCGAGTGTGGACCACATGACCCTTCTTCATCCAGTAGTTCTCGTGTTGCTTTTTGTGGCTAAAGCATAACTCCTTCACTATTTTACTCTTGTTTCTTTGCTTCTAACTTTATGATTTAATTTGTAAAAAGTTTTCTTAATTGTTGAAAAGGTCAGTACATTAAACGATAAAATTGATCTTCCTCTTGATTTTCGGGGGGGGGGAAGTTTTATTATCAGTTACATTGAGCATTTGGAGAGGTGGTTTATGTGTTGTAAAAGTAAAATAAATAAATTGACTGCAGTGCTACATAAGCTGCCAGTGGTCCCCTGACTGCTCTGAGGTTTGCTCTGAGAGATCATACGTTCTGTTGTCATCAGAAAATTTCTATGTAGAGTTTGTCACTAGGTGGCAGAATTAGACTGTTTGAATACTACCTATTTCATCATATGTCAAGCTACATATCTTATACTATAAACAGTACTTTAAAATTTAAAGCATTCTGAGCATTCTAGGAAACAATCTCTTTACAATGTCAGACAGCTTAGAAGGATTTTTGCTTTTTAGTTAAAGCAGTAGCACATGGCAAAGTAATGGTAATTCTGATAGACATTTTTTGGTATTCCAAATATTATATGAAGACATTAAATTAAAATATTCAAACCTGAACTTTTGCCCTTAAAAATGTGCTGGGAGTATATATTTGATGACATTTATGTAGATGTTCTAGTTCTTGTTTTTGAAGACCTGAAGTCCTTGGGTGATATCCAACATAAGTCATACTCAGAGTAGACCAATTGAAATCGTAGATTTCACAGAGTCTACTCTGAGTATGACAGATATTGGCTATCGCCCTTTCTTTCCTTTTGGGTTTTAAAGTATGTACAGCTTAGGTATTCATGTAGGTTTGAGAAAACTTTGGATTTGTATGTGCAGTTAGGGCAAATGAATTTGCAGATGGATTCACAGTGGCACAACAATAATGTGCATTTAAAAAGAACAATTTTGGCACATATTTCCCATCTAAGCGGATGGGTTTTTTCCCCAGTGACCTTCATACATTCACAGTAACAGGTGTTTGCTACTTGGTTTTTAGTACCATTTGTATTTTTAATTTTATTTTTAGAGTTAGTCTTGTATAAACAAAACATGTGAAAATGATTTTAAAAAAATTTTTTTTTGGGGGGGGAATAACATTACTCTCTTTTAGGGGCTATGCTCAACAGCATGTGGTGGAAGGTCTTGAACCTAGAACAACCTACAGATTTCGGCTTAAAGTGACAGATCCTTCAGGGGAGTCTGCTTACAGTACACCTGTTTGTGTAACCACAACGAGTAAGTTGGCAATTCATTGTTCATTCTAAGTATGCACAATATAAATTTGATTTCTACCCAATGAAAATAGCTATTAAATGGAAAGCAGTTTATTAAGTAAATTTAACATGCAGCACTGCTCTCAATTAAGCATTTTTATGCAGTATCTTATTTGGGATACATTTTAGACCTTTTGTATTTGGTATTTCTCACTGTTATCTAAAGTGGGGAAAAACCCTTATCTTAAAATGTTTGCTTGCTTTTTTGATGTTGTCTTCTCGCTATTCAGTCCTTGGCTGCCCAAATTAGAAAACAGGACAAGAAACCTCATCAGTTTCATAAAGTCTCCGTGCTCTTTAATGAACTGAGCTAGGCATCCAGACAGTATTGATTATTTAGGAATTCAGTCTACAAAAATATTATCTGTGGTGATCCCACAATGAATCACTACATCTGGGTGGCTAGCTAAAATCCAGCCATTAGGAACAACATGTACCACTTTGTGTCCTTTTGAAGATACATATCTAGTAAGAAGCGTGCTTCTTGGCAGCAGAACTACTTGTCCTGGGAGTTAAGAATGGAGTGTTGTATATTCCAGTCCTCAAGAAATCCATGCACCTCTCCACACTCCCTGAGTTGGGAGTAAATTATCCTGTTGAAGTTAATAGACTTCTGTATTGTACCAAATAGGTTCACAGCCAAAAGCTTTCAACTGTTTCACCGATTTCCCATTGTGCTCTAGCCCATGGTGAGCTATCCTAGAACATTTTAGTGAAAGTATGGCTGAATCCCTTTGCCATTGCTTCCTATGTAACCACCAGAAGCCATTAAACTTTAGCATCTTAATATAACACGCTCACATTTCTCCAAAGGCCGCCATTCCTGAATTGAAACCTTGTTCTGAAAACAGTGTGAGTTTTCGGGGGGGGGTGTGTTTGGGAAATAATCCTATGCAAATTAGGGTAAACATTTCAGTTTGCATTGGAAAAAATTCTGATACCTAGAGAATGATCTAATTGAGCATGCTTATTTTACTTACATTCAGTTAACAAAGCAAAACACTTTGAATGTACAAAGCTTGCCAAATATTGTATCAGCAATTGGCATCCATTTGTTGTTACTAATGTGTTTATGAAATGGAAAATTTTCCTCAGGAAAAGAAAGCATTGGAAAGAATTCTGCCCGTCATTATCTAAAAATATGTTATGCGTTTGGCATGTTCATAGCTCATTTTAATATTGCACTTCACATAATGTTTGCTTTCTAAATAGCATAATGGATTTGGATAAAAATCTGAATTGTAAAACCAGGATTTTCCTATACAATGCACAGCTTTATTATATGTAAATATCCAAATCCATTCATATTCATATTTCATAGCTTCGTTGTTTTAATGTGCATGTTAGGAATATGCACATTAAAACAAAATGTCTCCTTTGGTTTAGCATTTGCATTCAGCTGGAAAAAGCCTTCATAAATCAGAATGCAAGTACTTTGAAAAAGGGTGTGATGCTGCTTCTTTTTTTCCTCAGGTAAAATACAAGAAAGTCCTGTTTAAATGAGGCGTGCAATTTTAATCAATTGGTCCCTAAAATAGAAAGACAAACAGCTGCTGCCTGTTAATTGGAGAATGTCTTCACCAATGAGTTCATCATTTATTCAGTTTTCAATAGAGCCTTCAGTTCCATAAATAAAATTCTTATAGCCACATTAGAATACATTGCTCTGTTCATCTGCAACCCAGTACCATTTTATGAAGGATTTATTTCCGAAGACAAAAGCATGACCTTCACCTATCCGGATTCCTTTTGTTTATTCAGTAATCACATTTATTGTGTGGACACAATTTTAATGAGTAACTATGTCAACCTTAAGCTTCTTGTCTGAAAGTTTTATGTACTGCATATATTTTTTAATATAACTTCAAAGAGAGAATGATTGTACATTTTAAATTGTTTCTCTTAGCTTTTGGTTCTTTTAATTATTTGCTCCTACACACCCAAAGAATTGTTTTTAAGAACTGTCATAGAGGTAAACTATGGTCAATATGGGAGCAGCATGTCCTTAATAGAAAAGGTCTCCTCAAAGACATAATAAAGGGCTATAAACATAAATTGAAATAAAAGCATACACCTGTTTTGTCCAAATGCATTATTCATACAACAACCCCAGTATTATTATCCACTCCATATTGCAGATGGTGGGGAAGGCATTAGAACTACAGTGGTACCTCGCAAGACGAATGCCTCGCAAGACAGAAAACTCGCAAAACGAAAGGGTTTTTCGTTTTTTGAGTTGCTTCGCAAGATGATTTTCCCTATGGGCTTGCTTTGCAAGACGGAAACATCTTGCAAGTTTGTTTCCTTTTTCTTAAAACCGTTAATACAGTTGCGACTTGACTTTGAGGAGCAACTCATAGCACGTGGTGTGGTAGCCTTTTTTGAGGTTTTTGAAGACTTTGGTGATTTTTGAAGCTTTTCCAAAACTTTTCCGACACCGTGCTTCGTAAGACGAAAAAAACCGCAAGACGAAAAAACTCGCGGAATGAATTAATTTCGTCTTGCGAGGCACCACTGTAATGGGTTGCCTAAGCCCTAAAGCTACCTCAGGAGTTTGTGATTGAGGTGAGATTTGAAGCAGGGATTTTCTCACTAACACCTTTTGCTACTCTTCCCCCCCCTTTTTTTTGCAATGCAGAGACTCAACAGTGTGCACAATATTTTAGATGTTGTCATTATTCATGAGTGTTTATTTGAGAGATGGTGCCCAGGTTTTAAAAATAAATAAACAATTGTCTGGGTTTTGTGTGTTTTTTTTTAAAAAAAACAGATTTCAAAGTTACCTTTGAAATATTTCATCTTTCTGCTAAACAGTGATAAAAAGTCTATTGTTTAATTTAGGAGCCTGGGAGGTGTCCAGATGCTGTTCTGAAAAATGTGAAAGCTAGTTATTTGACAGTATTTTAATAGCTGACAGAGTACCAGCAGAACAATTTTTTATCCATCCTGCTTTCATGCATTGTTTTCTTCAGGTGAACCAATGAGTGGAGACCATCTCCATCGTGCTGTTAGCAGAAATGATGTAGATCAAGTCCTTACTATTCTTAAAGGAAGGTGAGAAATGATTCACCTTTTAAAATCTTCATATCTATGTAATAATGAGCGAAAGATAATGACAATTGCATGACAAATTGTGCTCATTTTTCCTGTCTCCTAAATATTAATGTTAAGCTTATATGTTAAGCTCAACATGATAGATTTCTAATTGCAAATTATGCTGTTACAGAAATGGGTGCTAATATGTATATGTGTGTGTGTTTGTATGTATGTATGTGTATAGATATATATAGATGCACGCGCACACACACACGCGCGCGCACACACACACACACACACACACATATTATAACATTGACCCCTGTGTGTAAGTAGAAGGCAGGCATTCTATATAACTGACAATTCCCTTTCCTAGTGACGGCACTAGTGAGAGCTGGTGTGGTGTAGTAGTTAAGAGCGGTAGTCTCGAAATCTGGGGAACCGGGTTCGTGTCTCTGCTTCTCCACATGCAGCTGCTGGGTTATCTTGGGCTATTCACACTTCTTTGAAGTCTCTCAGCCTCACTCACATCACAGACTGTGTGTTGTGGGGGAGGAAGGGAAAGGAGAATGTTAGCCGCTTTGAGACTCCTTCGGGTAGTGATAAAGTGGAATATCAAATCCAAACTCTTCTACTCTATCAGAAAATGCCACTGCAAAGGGTCCTCAATCCTTGGGAATATTTTTTCAGGGAATTTAGAGGTTGATATCAGAAATGGGAGCTTAAAAGTACCCTTTCATGGGGAAAAAACATACTGTGCTTATTGGATCTAAGCCATATAATTCTTTTAAGTTATGAAAGGCAGCAATGATCCATGAAGTTGTGTGCTGAGGAGCACTAATCTAGGCAGACTCGGTGCTCTTGTTGTTGGGCACTGCAAGGTGAGCAGCAAAAACATGAAGATTACTATATGAGCATTGTGCAGCTGCTGACTGGCCAGTGCATGGTGTAAATTGTGGGCCATGGTGTAAGTGGCCCAGTCTACTTGCTTGTCAGCAGGTCATAACTGCAGGGTGCTGACCTAGTAGGTTCATAGCTTCCTGCCATCTTGCAGTGCCTATAAGTAAGAACACTGTGCCCCCACCTCCTCCACTGGGACACAGTGGTGGCAACTTTAATGGATCCTTACCACTGATGAATAGGCAGAATATGCACCTACGTACGTTGAGAAACATTGGAGAAGAACTGTAGTGATGGAAATGTTTGAAATGATAACGAGTCTACTTTTTTCTTTTTTGAAAAGGCAAGTGGTGGTAGATACACTCAATAAACTAGGATTTACAGCGTTGATGGTGGCTTCACAAAAAGGATATACTAGGTAGTATTGTAATATTTCTTTTACCTTTCTTGTATGAGACTCTGTACAGATCAGAATATTCAGTTATAGTTCTCATTAGTTTCGTGGTTTGGGGTGTGTGTGATATGAAGCTGCCATTATCTGCTTGAAATTCAGGGATAGCTGATTGATGACCCATTGTAATATCTAAACGCAAACCAATTTTATCTGGCCCTCCACTGACTACCTAATCCCTCCCCCAGCAAAAAAAAACAAGTAACAAGATTCCCCACTTCAAATTCCTCTTGCTCTCTTTCATATTGCATGCATTATACGTATTTATACATATTATATGTACTGCTATGCCTGGGCGTATATGATTCATTACTGTGAATGTTTGACTAGACAGCAACAATTTTATTATGGGGTATTGGAATCACTGACAGAACAGTAGCCTTCAAAACTGCAGAAGGTGGCCACCTCCCCTTTCAGATGTATTAATTTTGGGATTTCCTCCTCCCCCCCTTCATTCCTTAAATACTATTTTATAGCTACAGGCCTGAAACTGATAATTTATTTAGTGTTCAGAGTATGTTCTTTCACATTCATCCTCATAACATGACAGTGCAATGAATAATTATTATTTGTTTTGTAGACTGAGAGCTAAGACTGAAGAACAGTGACTTGCTCTTGCTCAAAATTACCTAGTTAATTATAAACAAAGTTTGGCTTGAAACCAGAATTTTGTACAGTACTCTAGTCAATGGATCACATCAACTTTATATTCTAGACTGGGATAACTTGCTGCAGCAGTTGCTATTGTTTATAGTTGTACTGACTTACAAGGCAAGCTGTTAGTTGATAAATAATTTCAGTGTGGCATATGAATTTGCGCATGGTTTGAAGACAGTGGTCAGTTTGCCACATAACAATTTCTTACTATAGCAGCCATCATAATTGGCACTCTAACTGAATATTCTTTATATGTCCTGGCAAGCTGCTGGTTGCTGAAAAATAATATAATGCAAATGTTTTTTATCTAGACTTGCACAGATTTTGGTAGAAAATGGAGCAGATGTGAACCGGAAGAATGCCAGTGGGAAAGACAGGTAATAAATGCAGTACATTGCTTCATCAGATAACATGGCGGATGTTGATATTGTGGACTTAAAAAGTATATTTAATGTAAACCTGTGTCCATGGGGGAGGAAATTTCACTGGGATACTGTCTGCATCAGTAATAATGCCTTAACTGATTCTGATCTGAAATAGAACTCTTAATTTTGCAGCTTTTGTTCCCCGGCTGTTGTTGATACTTTGAGGCCTGGGCAACACAATGCTGGCATTCTCCCACCACCTGTAGGCAATGGCAGCAGTACATACATAGCTTAGCCCAGGCATCCCTAACCTTTGGCCCTCCAGATGTTTTGGACTACAGTTCCCATCATCCGTGACCGCTGGTCCTGTTAGCTAGGGATCATGGGAATTGTAGGCCAAAACATCTGGAGGGCCGCAGGTTGGGGATGCCTGGCTTAGCCTAACATTCTGTATCGGAGCTTGACATCATTTCTCTACTACATGGTCCTTGATGGTGATGGGAAACACAACATGACATGGATGGAGGAGCAGTAAAATGTGGAACAGCATGGGTGCAACATTTGTGAACAGCAACAGAAAAAGCAGATTAAAATTATTATTTTCTGGGGAGGGATTGGTTTTAGAGCCCATAAACCCTCAATTTTGACCCATGTGTGGCACTTCAATTTTCCTTGGAATGAATGATAGCCATTAATTTAAATGGCAGAAAGTAAAGGTATGCATTCAGAGGCACACATGGACTAGGCTGAGGCTGATAACTGAAATGAGAAGCAAGTTTCTCTCTTCTCAGGTGTTGCAGATTGCAGTCCATTTATAATGGGAGTGATGGTTGTGACAGCCTCTACTGACACTACTCTGATTTGGGTTCTGTTTCTTGGTTTGTTTGTTTGTTTTTTACAATCACACGGTATATATAAGTTTATGAAATAGATATGAAAATAAATTATGAAATTGGTTATAACAGTGTATGACATGGTAAAAACTGTGCATATATATATATATATATATATATATATATATATCATGAGATATATTTGCATTTCTATTATTTAGTGGATTATACTTTTGCCATTCTATGAAGCTTGTTAAAATTTGTTTTAGTTGTTTGTTTCCTTAAATACCACTTTTGTATGCAAAGGGCCATTGTGCTCTTTCCCAAATATTCAGTCTGTTTAGTGCACGCAACACTCTTACTGACCAGGAAGGACTTTAAAGTAGTAAAGTAAGCCAATAGATACATATAATTTAGGACAACCAGTCAAATTAGCAAGTGAACCGTGTTCATCAGCCAGCAGAATGAACTTCTGCTCAATGGGACTTCCTTTTTCTCTCCTTCAAACAAATGCAGATAGAAGCCCCGTTTAGACCTTCCGCTTTCAGCCTGAGAAGGTCAGGGACTCAGCAAGCAGGGATGGGGTTATAGGGAGTATGGTTGGCATACACCCTGTCCAGGCAGAATGTCCAGCCAGGGCTAGTTACTCATTTTAAGGCCCAAATCAATAATAGTGTCTGTTGGGTTTCCCCAAGTGTTTAATAAACAACAAGGGTGTTCCGCTCTGTTTTTTTTAAAAATAATTTCTGACAGAATTAGTTTGATAAATACAGTTATTTTACTATCTCCTCAAGACATGTCCTTATTAGAGCCTTTCCTGGACCACCTCTAGCCTCAACTCGCTGCTGATCAGTTGACATATCACCTACTAACTTTTCATTTGCCCGCACTTTGTCTTTCATATCTGTTTTGGCAGTCTAATGTCGATCCTAAACGATTCAGGCAGTTTCTGGTTCTGGCATTTGGTGTGGATTGTACTATGTTGTACTATGTTGAGAGTACCATGTTGAAAGTATCAGCAGTATATATAAAAGAATCTTCCTGAACACAAAAGTATGGTGATTTTCTAAAAGTAAATTTGTCCAAAGACCTCCAAAAAGCAGTCTATTCAAATCAGAGGAAAATACAGAATTACAGCAGTTAGATGTCAGCATATAAGCAGCAGCAAGAAATAAGATACAATAACTCATAGAATAACAATACAATTTTTAATAACTTGGTCTATGAGCCAGTTAATTTCTAGTATTACTTAGATATTTACACAAAATCATGCAAGTTTTCTTCCCAATGATATTTTAAGTTAATCTGAAAGGCCTGCTTTTAAAGGTGTTTCATAAGTGGTACTAGATGTCCCTGGTAATGTTGGCTGATGTTCTGTGGTTGGGAAATCGTAAATCTTACACTGAAGTCAATATGTTGTGTCTTCAGTTGATGTCTAGGATTTTGTTCTCTATGGAAATATTAAAATGAAGTAATGTCTCAAAAGATTCAACAGAATCCTCAGTGATACACACTGAACTGCAGATGTTAGCAGTTACTAGGAAAATGTTCTTTTGGTTTTTTCTTTGGCTATTTTTGCTAACCCCAGTTATACATTTCACAAAAGCCCTTATTTTATATATATAAAGGCTTCTTTTACAATTATCAGCCCATTTTGTCCATCTGGACAATTGGATATTGTGTTTTGGTATTGTACTACCATTTCCTTTTAGCACTGTGAACAAGTTCTTCTAATAGCTTGTTTACATATACTTTATGTAGGCTTCAGTTTTACTAGTAATATAATAGTGATTATATCAGTGGTCATATAACATAGCAATATACAGTCATAAAATGGTATTTAACAGAAAATTAACCAACTTAGAAGAGTATTTAGACTAAGGTGTGGCTCACTTAAACAGTACTTAATTTTCTATAAACTGCAAAATAACAATCTTTTATGTTAATAAGTAGTGTTTTTTGTTTCTTAGTTTAATGATAGCTTGTTATGCTGGTCACCTGGACATTGCTAAGTATCTCAGATCCCAGGGAGCTTCTTGGTTATCCAGAGATCTTGGGGGATGTACAGCTATGCACTGGGCTGCTGACGGAGGACATGTCGATGTTATTGAGTGGATGGTCAAGGATGGTTGTCAGGTATGGTGTTCATCTGCATACTTTGAAGCAGTTTATCAGATGTGTACATGCCACTGTATATAGGTGTGCTGTTAATCATTATGGAATGCTGCACTAGTTGTTGCCGTAATTTCAAGGTTATGAAGAAATTGCATTACCTGCTTTAAAAAGCTTGTATATAACTTTAATAGTCATTGGTTACTGTATTTGAAACTAATCTTGTTTACATAAGAGGATACTTGGTGGAATAGATTCAAATGACCAAATAAATATATTCCAGGTTTGAAAAAAAGTACAAATTTTGGTTGAATCCAGTGTGTGCCTGAGTGAAAGACACTTGTGCAATGTGACTTTCCCATCCTGTCCTTCCCACTGTGATCTTCTGTGCTCCCCACAAAGCTATCCACTCTGACAAGCTGCTTCTATACTATTTTTTATCATTTCCACTGTATTCCTCTGTGCCACATCCTTTCCTAAGGATTTTCCAGCCCTCAGGAGAGGCATTTGAAAGGCCCAGAGGACTGCAATGGAGAATGGAGGTCCTTGAGCTTGTTTGGAGGTTCTAGCAGGGGAGCGCAGCTATCGTATACCCTTGACTGAAGATCTCCTTCTATCTGGGATGGTTGTCCTCTTCCACTGAGCGCGCAGCTTCAGGAGGGACGCACATGGAGCGGTGAGGGAGAAAGGGGACACCCGCCTAGACAGCCAGATCAGCTGAATCAACCCTGGCAATCAATGGGGTGACAGATGTCGCAGCCAGATCGCCCTCACATCAAACATACTCTATCTATTTTCCAAAGTTTGGTGAATTCTGATCGTGTGACCCATTTGTTCTCGGTAGATAAAGGCAAACTTTCCCCTGTTGTTGGAGTCACCAACAAGATGATCCCTGAAATAATTTTTAAAAACCAGGAAGAGGAAGTTCAATTGAATATATACATTATTGGATTATATCCAGTATTGTTTTTCATGGGCAGGGTGGGCTTCTTCTCATACAATAGGACTCTACCTCCCTATCTCTACCCGCCTGCAGCTTCCTGTATACCCTGAAAATCTGCTCTGGAATGTTGGGAACCCTCTGGGACAGAATTTTAGGGTATTGGGGAACTGCAGTCGAGTAAAGTGAGTGGAAGTCTGCTTGTACAATACTTGATTCCACCCAGTGTATTGGAAGAACTAATAAATTAGGAATTATAATACAAAATGAACATCAAATATTATGTTGAGTCAATTTGAAAAACACAAACACACAAATTATAAGTGCAACACCTGCAAATGTAACAGGGAAATAAATGTAAATTGTAAGTTAAAAATATGGAATGAATGGGCATTATCTTGACCAATAATGCTACCACTGCTGCTGCTATTACTACACTTTTATCAGCAGCATGCTGTGCACTCTGCAGATAACAGTAATGACACCCTCCTTGCCAAGAAGTGTTCAATCAAAATAAAATGGAGAGGATGAAACTGAAAAGCAAAGCTGTATTAAGGCCAGCGAGTCTGTAAAATAAGACTGAATTTGGTTACCTGGCGGAAGAAGGCCCTGACAATGTCAAGTGGTCTAGGAATGATTTTATGGAAGGAATAGATAGTGGGAGAATGAATTGGGCTGATATATAGAAAGGGCTAAGGAGGCTGCTCCAGGCATCGAGAACTGCACAGCATGAGAAATAAATTGCTGGAACAAGCAGGAAAGAGTAATGCTGAAGATAGGTAATAAGCTCAGCAAGTATTCAACAGAACAGAAATCTCGTCAATTTTCATTGAATTCATGTTTCAAGTATCAGAAGAACATCTTTTCTTTGACAGATTGATCCTAAAGACACAGGCTTGGAGTGGACTCCGCTGATGAGACTATGTGCAATAACAGGAAAAGCAGATGTGGCCACAACTTTACTAGACGCTGGAGCTGATGTGAATGCAAAAGATAAGGATGGCAAGACACCTCTCATGGTATGCTCTGCTGCTAAGCAGTGTGCTGGGATATTTTGGAATACACTTTGCAACCTCATGGAAAAGTGCTGTGTGAAAAGCAACTTCAAATCCAGAGTTCTCCTTTTTGTACACTTTTCCCCAATATTTTTGTAGTTCACTAGGGTTTATATACACTATACGTTGTGGTTTTTGTGGTGCAAGTCTCCAATAAAAAACACAACTGTGTAAAAAGCATATGTTAGTGAGAAGTGTGCACAAAAATATATATTTGTGAGAAAAATGCACACAAATGCTTTATATTAAGGAAAATTGCTGGCAAACGTGTATATTAGGTTAAATGCACCAAAATGTACTCAAATTTTCACAGACATATGCAGAAATGAGGTGAACTGAAGACTGGAAAAAATAAGAAACTGAAATCAACAGGTTCATCCAGTCCTGCCACTAACACAATGTGGGGCTGCACTAGACTTTCTGCTAGGGGTCTGCACAACAGTCCATGGAACTGCACTAATACAGACATACTCAAACTTTTGTCTGCTCTTAGAAAGGTCTTTTGAACTTACTTGTATACTATAGAATGAGGCAGCTAGATGCTTTGCTCTCAAAGATCTGTAATGTATGAAACTGAGTTATTAATCCTGCCTCTTCCCTTCAACAAGGTTGTGCTGGTATAATTGGGGTTTGGGTGTGAAGCTTGTTTACCTGGTTGTCTGTTTATCTGAGAACTACCTGCTCATTCCGCCAGTTTTCTTCTGCATTGTGAAACATTTTGATAAGGCGGTGTCTCAAGAGGTCTACTTAAGAAAGGCTTCTAGGTACTGGTGCTCCATACTATTCCCTGCCCCATGGAATATATTTACTGTTATGGAAAGCCTTTCTTGCACAGATGACAAGTCCTTTTTCATTCACTACTAATTTTGCCCACAGAATGTAGTGGCTGTGCTAGAAGCCTTTTTACCTGTATTGGGATGACAGGAGGATTTGCAAAGTAACACTTCACTTCCCCTTTGATTTCTCTTATTAAGGCACTTTATCTCACAATCTCTTTTCTGGTTTGGTGCATGAAATGAAGTACGTAGTCTGAGCAAATTCAAATGTTTCTTTAATAGGATGAGCCCTCTTATTCCTTCATACTTGGAAATTCATCTTTCTGAAGTACTGCATTTGTATTTGTAGATTCTATAAAGATCAAAATGCTCTGTTAACATTTTCATTCCAGTCAGCACACAGAGCGAGCGAGCAAGTACTTCTCTACCTTTACAAACAGGTGTTTGGGATGATATTTTAATGATCTGTAGAAGCAGGTGTATTATCGCCAAGCTCTAATGGCTAATATTCGGATCCTTCATGTAAAGGCAGACTTCAATGCTGCAGTAGAGGATGGAGATCGTCAGAACTCCAGGAGAGCCTACAGAAGTTCAACATACTGAAGCAGTGCACAAATGACTTGTAGCAAATGACTCAACTATCACTGCTCCTATATGCAAAATTCTGGTCAGGATTATATAGCTTAAGATCACCACATACACTGTTTTACTATTTATGTAAGGCATCTATATACCACTTAATCATTAGCATTGCTAAGCAGTGTGCATAAACCCAAACTAGACAGAGAATATAATGATAAAAATTCATCGTAAAACTGAACACAACCCCTGTGGGTTGCATTCAGCTAAGTCTTACTCAGTCAGCCCTTTGAAATTAAAATAGTCATGTCTATTAACTTAGGTGGATCTACTCTGAGTGGGACTTGCATTTAATACCACCTCTGATATTCAGTGGTGTAAATGTAAGTTGTTTCAGTTGTACACTACTATAAATGTGTTGTGCAAAATACACTCGGGGTGCTATGACTGATGGCAGCTTCTTGTTAAGTGCACAGATTCACCCCCATGCAATGGTTTGTAAGGCCCTTAGATCTTGAGTTCTGGCTGCTAGGCCATGTTTGGCCTAGCTTTTGAAAGCTATTTAATAAGTTTGGCATACTTGTAGTTGGTTGATGATAACATTGTCAAGAGAATATTTAAATATAGTCAACAAAATTAAAAATAAATAAAGCACAGACCCTAGCTGTCAGGAGTATAAACCAACCCAGCCCTCTGTTAACATTCTAGCTGCTCTTATTCCAAAATAAACACAGCTATGTGGCTGTCAGATACGTTTGTGTGTATCTCAGTACCAGAAATGAAGATGCATTTGTTACATTCCTTCTAAAAGTGATACCATGCCAGTTCCTCATAGAAGTGGTAGTAGCTTTGACAATTATTTCTCATCAGTTGGAGGTTGCTCAAACAGTAACTTTCAGAGTTGGAACACAACGGTGTTTGGAGTTTATTTCCAAATTTGGGATGGTGTTCTGATATTGAGTAATCTTTGCATTGTGTCAGTAGGTAATGTGTTGGCTTTCATTGAAGAAAAAGGTGTCAATTTGTCTTTTCTCCAAAATAGTTCCAATAGGAGAACAAGCTTATTTTATGCAAACACCCAACTATATATAATATCATTTCCCCTTAATTTTAACTATATACATTTTGCATATATAATTTCCCCCTAATCTTACTTCCAGGTGGCAGCATTAAATAACCATGAAGAATTGGTAGCATTACTTCTAGAAAGAGGAGCAGATCCTGATGTTAAAAATGAGGTAATAGCAGTACGAGTGGCTTTTTCAGTACCAGTTTTATACACACATCCAAAAACTGTTTAAAATAACAAAATTAACATGTTTTTTTGGGGGGGGGATTTTTTTCCAGTTTGGCAAAGGTGCCCTGGAAATGGCTAGAGGCATGAACAGACAGGTATGGGTATCTTTTACTTGAACTCTTCTCCTGATTTCTATTCTTTAAGCATTTTATCCTCATTTGCTGTTTTTCTTCCCTTTTTTAGAGTGTGGTTTCAATAATAGAAGAAAGGAAAAGACAATTAAGTAATGTGAACATGGAGTCTTCTGCATCCTCTGCTACAATTGTGTGAAGCAGACAATTTGAAGCCTAGTCTTACCTACGAAGGAGGTCAGGCCACAAGGACTAAATCCTAGTTGTTTTTCTTTTTCCTAATTAGCTGTTACACACTCTTGGGTGCCTTGATTAAAATGCTAACTTTGCTTCTCCAGCATTTTTCTCTGGCGTTTAAATTCATCTACATTTTAGCAGCATTATTTTCTCATTATGGTCAGTTTTTACAGTGATCCTATTTTTTGCTCTTCTGTCCTCTTGTTCTCATGCTAGCAGCTGTTCCTGTTACATGCCCTTGAGTAGTAGCAGTCACTGACGTTAAGGGCAAAACTAGAACATGTCATAAATTATCATGTAGTTTGCTGTAGAATGCATGGCTTCTCAATAAATAAATAGGTGGCATAGTAATAATAATAATAATAATAATAATAATAAAATTTTTTTTTACAAATTTATACCCCGCCCTCCCCAGCCAAGGCCGGGCTCAGGGCGGCTAACAAGCAATAAAAACAAGTTGAATGAATACAACTTAAAAACAGGATTAAAATACAACATTAAAATATTGAAACATTAAAATATTAAAATGCAGCCTCATCACAGGAGGAGAAAGGAAAAAGGAAAAAGAAAGAGGGGGAGGGATTCCAATTGGCTCCAAGCCAAAGGCCAGGCGGAACAATTCTGTCTTACAGGCCCTGCCGAAAGAAATCAGATCCTGCAGGGCCCTGGTCTCATGAGGCAGAGCGTTCCACCAGGCCGGAGCCAGTGCTGAAAAGGCCCTGGCTCTGGTTGAAGCTAATCTAACTTCCTTAGGGCCCGGGACCACTAGGGTGTTGCCATTTATGGACCTTGAGGCTCTCAGTGGGACATACCAGGAGAGGTGGTCTCGTAGGTACGAGAGTCCTAGGCCGTGATGTAGTAGGCCAAATGGCCAGGGCGGGGGAATGGAGAACAGGGCTGGGAGCACAACATAGGAGGTGGGGCTTAGCGCTTTGTCTCTGCCATGGCCCCAGTGGGAGTTGCGTGCATGCGCGTACTCTCTCTCTCGTGATTCACAATGGGGAAAATCTCCCGTTATGACCAATGGTAGCTTTACTCCCAACAATATGATGATACCATTTTGACTCCCCCCCCAACAGTTATATATTAAAAAACGAAAATCCCAAGGATGCCTGGGCATACTATGTAATAAAATAATTACGTCTAGCTTGGCTCCAATGCTACGTTCTTTGGATGTCCTTGTGCAGTGTAACTGATTTTTGTAGAGGAGAAAGTAGGTAGCAAGATAATTGGGAGAGGGCAAAATGAGCCACTGTCCATGGAGTGGCATTCTGCCACAGTGACCTGAATTCCTAAGGCTTGTGCTGCCACACTAAAGGAATGACTCCTTGCAAATGCAGAATGGATTTTATGCAATACTTGGAAAACTGTGAGTTCAAAGTGATGGAATAAATGCCATTAGGGACTTTATATGCCAATAGTATATTGAACTTGGTCTGGTAAGAAATTGGTATTTGTCCAAGTTTCTTGGCCACCTCATAGATGCACAGCAAGCTGCTCATTAAAATCAGATTCTCTCAGAGTAATTGTACATGCAAATACTGCAGTTTTTGTTCGGAACAGAAACACCCATGAAAGAATTCAGAATGTTAGTTTGTGGGGATAGTGAAACAAGCTGGTTCAAATGGCTCAGTTGGTTAGAGCATGGTGCTGATAACACCAAGGTTGCAGATTTGATCCCCATATGGGAAAGCTGCATATTCCTGCATTCCTGCATATTCTTGCATTGCATGGGGTTGGACTAGATGGTCCTCAGGGTCCCTTCCAATTCTACAATTCTGTGATTCTAAATGACAAAAAGCTGAACAGAATAACAGAAAATCCATTCTAGAAACACTGTATTTTGTAAGTTAGAGTCTAATCTTTCTGAGCAGCACAAGACTTATGATGACATCAGAACCATGATCATAGCTTTTTAAATATTAACATAATAATAATAATAATAATAATAATAATAATAATAATAATATGATTGACTCTGTACTTGCTTGCAGTAAGTACACAAGTTGGAGGAAATCAACTTTTTTGGGAGGTATGTGTGTATAGGATTGTGGTCTTAATAGCACATTCAGGAGAATCTTATGAGATTATTATTTTCAATGTTCCCCGTTCTTTGCAGACAAAATAAATGATCCCATACCTGGTCAACAAAGTATTCAAAGTTTTATTTCCTCAATAAATTATTCCATTTTCAAAACCTTTTAATAATTGCAGAAAACACAAATCAGTACATAACTAAGGATGTATTTACTGTTTATTTAATACAGAATACTTAATAGGAAATAGATTGTCCTGCTATTGAAACATGTTTGTAGCCTCTTAACATGATACTGCAATAATCATTACAAAAAAGTGTATAAAAGTAAGGTAAACTGTTACACAGTGCATTACGTAGAAAGTTTTAGCAAACTGACATTTAACTGAAAGCATTATAAAGGTATGGTTCATAAAAATTAATGGCTTATGTCACTCTAATATTCATATATAGTGTGCTAAATGGTTTACAATTAACAGTCTTATCACCACAGTCTTAAAAACATCACATGGAAGAAAGTCCCACTGAATGTAGCTAATGGAACTTAACTTCCATGAAAATGTATCAAGGATCAGGTTATCAGCAGTTAAAATATCAGTTGCTACTCTTAATGCAAAGAGTGATAGCACCTTTTGTTCATAGTCAGTCCTGGTGGCAATTCACATTGCATTTTATATGCCTGCTTCATGCTAAAAGAGATACCTAAATGTAAAGTACAACAGAAGAATAAAAGGACTGAAATGTCTTTCCTTCCCAGGATGATACAGGAAATTGTTTACTTGCATTATCTTGAGTAATAAATACTATTTATTACATTGGTACAGTTACCCTGTGATGATGATTGCATGTGATTACAACTTAGAAGGGATATTCAAATCAGATTTATTTAAGGGCTGTGTACCCCACGCTTTAACAGGTTCCCAGGCTGGCTTACCAGGTAAGTTCGTTTGGTGTTTTTTTCCATTGGTGCATTAACAAATTTATTATATTATGATATATCAGGAAATGTAAATCAAATTGTAGAATTCCAAGAACATTTTTGTTACATTAAGAAACCTACTATAAACGGCAATAGTTAAAAATGCAAAAATATGTCATATGTGCCTGATTAAACCTGCAACATAACTAATTTTGCACCTTGATTCACTCTGACTGTGCAATGAGAGCTTATTTAGAAGCTAAGCTAACTTGAGGAAGAAGCATATCTGATGGTTTAAGGTGGGGTGGTTAACCTGTGGGCCTCCAGTTCTTGATGGACTACAACTCCCACCATCCTTCTCCATGCTGACTGGGGCTGATGTAGTTCAACAATATCTGCAGGGCCACAGGTCAGCTAGCCCTGATTTAGGGGCTCTTGACTCATATTTATTTCACGTTCAAATTAATTATGTAAATATTCAACGGATCTGGAAGCACATGGAGTTCTCATTTTTATGTAAGCAAAATTCAAAATTATGAACAAGGAGGGATGTGGAAGAGAACCTGGGATTTTCTGTTCATTTCAACAACAGTATTGATACAGTAATATTTAATTACAGTACTTAACATTTATCTAGCATTCAAAACACTCAGTGTAGTTTGGGTAATTCCTATAGGGCTGTTCCCCAAACCCTCCCTACATTGAGGGCTTAAGTTGATTAGAAGTGCCTAGCCTAAGGCTGCCTAAGAAGATTGTGACTGAGGTGATGTTTGATTTGGAGCTCAGGGATTATGCAATGACAGGTCAGAATCAACAGCTTCTGAAACAACTTTGGACATCTCTGTTTGGAGTAATGTAAGCAAGACCCTACCAGTGAGACAAAGATCAGAACTGAGGAGAGAATTAGTTATCATTATACTAAGAAATATACAAAGGTTTCAATGAACTGAAAGAGACTCTTGTCTGTTTCAACACGTGCTCAAAATCTGTTCTGTTGTGTCTTATAATGGTTCAAAGTAGTTTAACTTTTACCAGCATTTTATAAAATTGGCCATAACTAAACTAAACATAAACTAAAACTATTGGCCATAATCTAGCACTGAGAGCATGCAGCTGGCCTGTGTTGGGAGTGGGGGAGTCTTTCCCTTCCCCTGGCTCATCCAGAATTACAAATAAGCAGTAAAGCAGCAAGTGTTATGAAACACTTAGCAGATGTCTTTAAGTAATACCTAGGATCTGGCTGATCACAGTGCAGGAAAGTAATTATATCTTGGTAAGACTGGCTAGTGAACTTTTCCTTTTGCCATTTTACTATGACTTTTGCTTATTTGCTTGAGTCACCTGCTGCTCTTTTGCTCTATGGTTCGCCTGCTCTGTTTATGGAATACCCTAGTCTTGTTGTTGTTTAGTCGTTTAGTCGTGTCCGACTCTTCGTGACCCCATGGACCAGAGCACGCCAGGCACTCCTGTCTTCCACTGCCTCCCGCAGTTTGGTCAGACTCATGTTTGTAGCTTCCAGAACACTGTCCAACCATCTCATCCTCTGTCGTCCCCTTCTTCTTGTGCCCTCAATCTTTCCCAACATATGGGTCTTTTCCAGGGAGTCTTCTCTTCTCATGAGGTGGCCAAAGTATTGGAGCCTCAGCTTCACGATCTGTCCTTCCAGTGAGCACTCAGGGCTGATTTCCTTAAGAATGGATACGTTTGATCTTCTTGCAGTCCATGGGACTCTCAAGAGTCTCCTCCAGCACCACCCTAGTCTTAGGACAGGGAGTTAAAGTAGAAAAGGCATCTAGGTTCGTCCAACTCAATATTTTGTGATTGCTCTGTGAGAACAATGTCTAATATTTGAGAATTCACAAAATCATTCTAAACTATGCTACTCAAAAAATTAACAGATTCTTTTCATCATTGTATCATTCCTGGGTTTAATTATTTGTTTATCTGCCATGTCTTCCATGTTTACAAGTTGTGGTTACCAATGCTTGTATGAACTGAAACTGTGTAGCAATGATCACTTTCCTCCCTCCACCACGAGAGACACACAGAGGGAATACTATTCGACTTTGCAGAGGAAATCATAGCTTCTTGGTTGGCAAGTCAGTCACTGCAGCAGACTTTACTTTGTAGGAGAATAATCAACTTTCCTTTGAGACATCATTGTTTTTACCTATTTTTTTCTGGAATGCTACCTGATTTTGTTAGGAGGACTACAATGCATGCAAATCAAGTGGCCTAAGGTTTCATAATACAGGTAAATCGAGAAGCAGCCCTAGCAAAGTGACTGAGCACATGCTCTGTATACAAAATGTTCCTGGTTCAGTGGAAATTATCTGGAAGAAGGGCTGGGAAAGGTCCTGAAGTAACTGCTGCCAGTCAGAACAAGCAGTCCTGGGCCCATTGGTATGACTAGGTATAAGCAGCTCTTTATGTCATTATATGACACATAAATCTCAGCTTACTGAAATCTATTGTGCATGTTAAAGTCGAGAAAGAATATCGTGTTTGCCATTGAAGTGTGCTTCCCCAATCCAATAATTTTTTCCAAATCACATCAGAAGCTCCCTGACATGAAATGATTTTCCTTTCAGCTGAATGTGCCAGCCCATAGGGACAAAAGAAATGTGCACAGTACTAACATTGACAGTGATATGAGAGCTTTTTCTGTGCATTGAATTTCATATGGATTTGTATCAGGGTGATGGCTTGTAGACCAGAGAAATTTAAATCTGTTTAACATTATAATGTTAAATATATTTTTATCAAAATAAATTCCGTGCTTTAAAGAGAATGTAGGTTCATGTGTGCACAGTACTGTTATTGACAGTAATATTAGTGACTAAGCCATCACAGATTAATCACCACAGATAGGAAAATTCTATTACACAATATCGATTCTGTTACAGAATATAAAGTGAAATACCTTTCATCAGAGACAATCTATACATTTGGCTGAGAATGAAGAACTGGTAAGTGATGATACATCAAGTGGAAAACATGTATGTGTGAATCAGCCTTAACATGTATGAGATAAACAATTTAACTCCACTGAAAAGCAATGGGCCTTCAGGGCTCCATTGACTGCCTTTGGTTTCACTGGAATGAAAGCATACATGACCTTATCTAATAACGCAAAATTGTTTGAAAGGTGCAGCTGCTGCTTTAAAATGCTTAATTAATTAATTAGATCTCTGATCCACTCTTTACCAGTGTATCTTTGGAAAGGTTACCACTTCTCCTTCTCCTTGCTGACTTCACAACAAGAGGTTCCCCTTGCTCACATCACAATAAGAGGTTTAAAAGCATTTTCTAGTGTGGGAAGCTGATAGATACAAAAACAGCCCGAGAAAGCAAGCTGCCATGAAATTCAGGAGAAACCTAGTGTTTGCTGAAGGCTAATAAACATAAGTATTTGCATTCAGCTTTGAAGTAATCTTGCCTATTTAAAAGGTATGTTACAATCCTTTGTGGAAATATTATGACTGTTTTGTATTATGTGCTGACTAGCATATTGTATCTTTAGTCCTGACATATACTATATGGCCTCACCTCTCTCTCTCTGGTTAAAAAGATACTTATGCATGACTAGTTTTACCATGATGGGGATGCACATTAAAATACAAATTGCATTGAAGATTTGCAGTGTAAATATATGAGAGCAACAGTCAGTTACAAATTCTGATGCATGTTTTGATGCTCTTTACCCAGCAAATGATAAACATAGGGAAGAAATAGGGAAGAGCACCTACAGATCCACATGGTGATATGCATTTAAAGCCTACCAATCTGATTTCCATTTTGCACATGCAGTGGTACATAGTGTGAACTGAGCTAGGCAGAGGAGGATCATGTTCCTCATGTGAAACCACCTGCCTTTTGTAAAGCACAGAGTGTTCATTGATTGAACAGTTCAGTTCTTAAATAGTATTGCTTTAGCTCTTTCATGATCAGGAACAGAAAAAAATAATGTAGTGATTAAAAAGGGAATTTACAAACCCCAGCATCTTTTTACGGCAATCACGCCCGAGGATTTGATTCCTGCTAAATAAAATAAAATGCTACTTTAGTAATAATCAAGTTGGGGTTTCCTATTAATGGCAGTCAAATGAAACAACATGGCGTGAAGAAGTAAGGTGCTGTTAGAAAAATAAACTACTCAAGATGCATGAAAGGTAATTTAAAGAGCCCCAACAGCACCTGCCTTTCATTTAAAATGAAATGCCAAATCCTATCTTTAAAAAGTTGAGTGCTTCCATCATCAGCAACTCTCCTCATTTAGCATAAATGTTACATTGACATTTTCCAGAATGTCTTATTGTGTAATTACTGATACTATAATTTATATCATATGCAAGCTTCAGGAGCAAAACTGTTTTCTGTGGATTCTTTTTTGCTTTATTGGTTTTGTTTGTGATGTGGATATATTTTATTTGCTTTGTTCATAAGCATGACTGTGTGGTTGCCTAGTTACAGGGCAAAGTAATTGGGAAAGTTAAATTACTTACTGGTAAAAGACAAAAGGTCTTCAAGTTCTGTTTCTCTGTCTGAAGAAGCACAGACACTTTGGATATTAGCACACTGCATAGGCAAGAGTAATAGCCAAAGGTCTAGGTGCTGGAAATAGTTATATAGTGTGGAACAAATAATTTGCCAACTTTATGATGATATGAAAGAGAATATGTAAGCTGATTTTCTTTTGCAGGGTTTGAGTATCACCAATATCAGCTGTGGTATTGGTTCAATACTGGTAAAAGGGACGGAGAAAGGAGAATAAAGCTAGTTCTAATTGACTATTATGAATATGACAGGGGTTTTCCCCCATAAATATGCTGAGCTGTAGGTGGAAAGGAGTCCATGTCTGGGCTCCCAGTTCTGTCTGGGCCATCCCAGTTGCCCCACCAGCTTGGGCTTTCAAGGCTTGTTGCCCAGACAGCTTCGACTAGCTTGGCAGTTTGAAAGTTTATAGCCTTGTTTGCTGAGTACAAGTAAAATATGCATGCTACATTAGAACATTTTCTAGGGCATCAGAAAATTTCAAACTGAAAAATCTCCTATGCAAATTCTTCTAATTCCAATTGTTTCCAGAAAATCCACAGCAACGTTGCTCAGAAACAGGAGAGAGAGGAGGGAAACCCAGTAAACAATCTCTAAATTATGATCTACTGAACCACATAGTCCTTGTGTTGCACTGAGAATGCAAATTGCAGACTTTTCAGTGCAATTAACACAGAAATCATGTACCACATCCAACAAAAACAATGAATTTAAAACTGTCTTGTACAATATACAGTTTTTTTAATTAAAAAAACATGCTGAAAGCCTATATACTCACTTGAAATACAGACTTTCAGTTAGTTTCAAACAGCTATAGCAGGCCTTTTAAGATTTAGAACACTGAGACATGACACATGGGGGCAGATGTAGGGGTTTTTCGCTGTATAATAGGAGAAATAGTTTGTGTGATCTGTTTAAAGATTTATCGAAACCAGTGGGATTATAACTTGAAATCTGACAACTGCTCAATGAGAGCAAGTACTACAGTTGAAGTGTACACTTCTGTGAAACTAG